CATCAACGTCCAGCAGCACACAGCCTGGGGTCTGGGAGATGGCTCGAGAGATGGCATCAATCACCTGGAGACAGAGACCCAACACCATGATTCAGTCCCTGCTTGGAAAGGCTGTAGACCCACACCCAAGTGTGATCTCAAGAAGGTGGTTTTGGGGTTCTCCCAAAAAGCTAAATTTCAGCCCAAGTACTGTTGTGGCACAACAAGGAAGGCCCCTGTAGCGGTGGCCATTTCCATTCCAGGTTCAGGTTGGCCCAAAAAAATAAATAATGGGTCTACTGCCAATACCCAGACACTCAGAGGTGGTGGGCAAAGTAACAGCCTTCTAGTGAAAACAGCAGGGTAGGAATCATTAGCTAATATAGAAAAGCAGCCTGATGAGCACAGAACCTTCCAGGTCAGGAGCTGGGGCTCAGAGCTCAAACCCTACCCTGAGGACCCTTCTTGCCTTAGTTTTCCCATCATCTAAGGGGGCTGATAACAGTGCTTGCATTACAAGGCTTCATGAGTGAGGAAGAATTAATACATGTGGGCATGACCTTCCCTGTGACTTCAAATAGCTCTCTGCATCTGTATTCAGAGTACTTCATTTTCAGGTAGGAACACTGAGGTCAAGGCATTCATGACCCCCACCAGGAGTGCTCCAAAATCTCCAGGCCCACCGCCAGTTCACCAGAGTCCTCCATATCCATGGAATGTTCCAGAGCTGGCAGAGATGGCTCCTTGGAGGGTGCCAATAGGCTGTGGCTCTACCCATTCTGGGAAGGCAACCTCCTCCTCCACCAAACTCACTCCCTTCCATGTGACCAGGTCACCCACAAACTCTGCCAGCCCCAAAGAAGCCTCACCTCCTGATTGTTCCCCTCTGAGAAGTTGGGAACACATTCCACCAGCTGGGACATGGTCAGCACCTGAGTCCAGTTGCTCCTCTCAAGAGGCAATAGAGGGATATGGAGTGCCAGCTCTCTGGTGGCCCTGGGGCCTTTATACCTTCTCATGCTAGTTTCTTATTAACCAGGGACAGTGTGAAGGGAGCTGGAGAGTGGAGGGTACTCCCCAGTTAAGTATATGATCTCCAAAATGAGCTCTTCAAAGATCACATGATTAGGGTCGGAGGGGCACATGCTGAGGATTCTTGGATGCCCAGAGAGGCTGAGTTCAAGCTAGGGCATCAGGCCAACTTGGGCTCAAGGACTGGCTTGGTCCAGGGTGGCTTGTTGACCATCCAGATGACACAGTTTTGACCTCAGAATGTGGCCTTTCAGGAGGAGGAGCCATGGTATTTCTAAGTTGGTATTTTTTCATCGAGGGCCTGGTTCTCAGGGGTGTGGAGAGGGAGGCCATGAGAGGCCTAGCTTAAAGCCCAGTCCTTCACAGAAATCAACTGAGCTCAGAGAGGCACAAGAGTGTGTCAGAAAGGGGAAAAGAATCCGTGTAACCACAGGAGCTTATGTGTGTGGTTAAGCATGCAACCCTTGGGGTATGTGTACATGTGGGTGAATTGAGTGGATATGGGTGTGGGTGTATATAAGAATACATGTGAATGTGTAGGTGTTGGTGTGACCACAGACCAGTCTGATCTGGCAATCAGTCCCTCAATTGAGGCTCTCTGTTCCCAGGAGACACTAGGTTGCATCAAATCAGTAATTAAAGCTGGCACAATGTATATGTTGTTGTGTTAGTATGTGTGCAGTGTTAGTGTAAATATGCTTGTGGGCACTGGTATGAGTGTTCATGTACAGATGTTAATGTTTGCATCTATGTGGGGTTGTTATGTATCTATGTATTCAAGTATTTGTATATAAGTGAATGTTGGTATGAGCATGTATAGATGGTGTTTGTGTTTGTGTGTGTATTTGTATTTGTATATGTGTAGATACTTGAGTGAGCATACATGTGTACATGTGGCTGTTGAGGCAGGTGTAGGTGTGAGTGTACATATGGTAATTGGCGTGAGTGATGGCTGATGCTGTTGCATATGATTTGCTATGTGGTATTGTGTTCCCGGGGTAGGCAGGTGAAGAAAGCCCAAGTATTCCTCACCACTCGTTCAAGATCCAAAACTTCTTAAAATTTATAGCCCTAGCTGCATGAGAATGGCAAGATCCAGCTTGCAGCTCCCAGATTCCTTCTTTGCAATTCTTAATTCAAGGTAGAGGCTGGTGTGTCCCTTCTGTATGGGGTCCACAGATCTTATTACAGTGCTGGACACACATGAACATCTTGCTCTAGATACAGATCCTTTCTCAGGTACCCACGTACTTCACAAAGATGCCCCCATACTCCACAAAGCTTTTTGTGGTGTCAGAGTGTCAAGATACACTACCACACAGCATTGCTGGGCCTGAGTGAAGTGACACGTGTGGAGGTGGAGACTCTATCTCCCCTGTTGAAGGTACCACAAAGCTGGGAAGTGAAATGTTGGGTACAACAGGCACAAACAGAGCAGAAACCCAGGAATCCAAAAGTAAATGACAGATTGCCCATGTAGAAATATCCCAAATCATTCACACAGGCATTGGTCCTGGGCAGATAGAGCATGACTCTACCCCTTCAATGTGGGCTCTGGCTACAGGAAACCAGTCCCAACCTATACTCATCTCCAGGGTACTCAGCCAAATTATACCACTGTCAAAGTTTGCCTGAACCACACACACACACACACACACACACACACACACACATCTTTACCACTGTCCTATCTCCTTTCATGCAGGAATATCCTCAAGCCGCCTAAACAACACACCAGATACTGCAGTCTGGCAGGAGCTCTGTTGAAGTACAGAACCTTATTCTCTTGGCACCCTCCCAAGCCTGGGCCTACCATATGCATGGAGGACAGTCAAGTAGACACACAGCAGCCTGGGGCCACTCAGAGCTGAGCTCAAGAGCTTGGGGACACTATGATCCTCTGGGTTTGGATTTGTTATGTCCCCAAAAGGCTCATTGTTGAACTCTTGGTCTTGACATTAATGTTAAGAGAAAGGGCTTTCAGGGCATGATTGGATCACGAGGTCTTTGATCTTTTAGATGGATTAAGCCATTGATGAGCTCATATTGAATGCAGTGTTGGGAGCTGGCAGAAACTGTAGGAGGTGGGGGCCTGGCTGGAAGAGATAGATTCCTGGGAGTTGGCCCCTGGAGAAGGTGTAGCTTGTCCCACAACCATGTTCCATCTTTGCTTCCTAAACACTGAAATAAGCAGCTCTGTCCCACCAGCACCCTCTGCCCTGACATTCACTCCATCCGAGACCCAGATTCAATGGAGCCAGCCAAGTATGGCCTGAAACCTCTGAAATGTGAGCTAAAGAAATCTCCTCTCACTAAACTGACTTTTTGAGGGTGTCTTACCACAATGATGGAAAGCTAGCATAGACTTAAAGTCAAGTCTAAGAGCCCAGTATCCATACCACTTGGTCCCCTGTCCCCCCTACTCCCCCCAGGGTCATTTTTGCACTTGGTTGCCTTAATATTTGGGAAAGCCACTTTCCACTGTGAGCTAGTTAACTCCTGGTGTGTATGCATGCCTGTGTTGTGCAAAACTACCAACTCAAAGTCAAAGCCCACTTCATTTAACTCTTCCCAAGCCAAGGGTCCCTGACCTCCAAACCACACAGGCCAAGACACTTGGTCAGTAGACAGCCTCCTGTATCCTAGCCTATGGGAGCTGAGCTCTCCTATACCTGCTCATACTCACCTGCTGCCTCACTCATTCCTTCTCAAGCCACCACAGGCCCTTGTTCCTTAGCAGCGTCCACGCCGTCCTCTACATAGCCCCGCAGAACAGCAGGATATACTTACTTCCTATTGGAATTGAGAGCAGCACACTCTCCTCTCACCCCATGTCTGCCAGCCCGCTATACCTAATTAAACAAACCTAGGTGTACTTTATTCGTTACCTCAGGTCTGCAGGAAGCATCCAGTTGCTGACTTCAAGGGGAAGTGGATGTGGCCTGTCTGGCTCAGACAACAGACATAGCTACGGGGCTGTGGTTTGACAGCTCCTAGTGCAGTTGTTTTGGATGTAGTCCTGTTCATTGCCTTGCTTTTATCACCTTAAAGGTGACTCCAAAGGGGATAAAGTGATGACAGCAACACTGAGCCAGAGCCTCTCAAGGGCTTAGGCAACTCCAGGCTGACCAGACCCTCCCCTGGTATCGGGTTTGGCCTCTTCCTTCACCAAGACTCAGCACTCCCTTCAACTGACAGGCATCTCAGAACTGAACAAGAATGACAAGCAGAGTGGGGTCCCTCATGGGTGTCACTCAGTATTCTGGCCCCAACAGCTTAGTGGGCAGGACAGAAACCCTACCCTCAAAACTCAAGAGGATAGCACGGGACCAGGTTGGGGTGGCTACCTGCAGTGCCTGAGCCACCTCCGCCCTTAACCTGTCTTTGTCTGGATCCCTAGCCCCAAGCCCACCGATCCACTGGAGATTCCATCTCTGCTGTAGGGCTGACTCTGCAGCAGGGTACCTGCACACAGGGAGGTACCTGTGGGGTAGGAATGGATGTGAACTTGCAGCAGCTTTGCCACTCTGGCCAATATCCAAGAACATTGGAGGTCTCCTGGGTCCCAAGAACTAAACACCATCAGTGGTCCCTTTCCCTATATTACTGCTTCTTGCCCAGTATGTGCTGGCTTGGTCACACAGGCCACACACAGACTTGACGCACTCTGTTGTCATAGACCAAAAACCCTAGCTTCGATTGCAAAGCCTTCCATTCTGATAGGCTCCGCAGGTTCCATAGCCATTTCTCCTCCAGCACTGCATTTGGGGAAACTCAAAGTAGGAGAGGACTTGCTGGTCCTATCACAGGAGAGATTGAGCCTTTCAAGGATGTTGTGCTACTTCTAAGGGAAGGCAGGTGGCCACAATCCTGGAGTTAAGAGTCCCAGCATCAGCCCAGCCCCAGGTTCTGTTCATAAACACTGATCCATAGCTCTTGTAGGCTAATAGAGACTAAGACACCTCACCACGCCCTCAAAGAGCCAGAGGTAAGGCAAACAAATAAATAAGCTTTTAATAAGGCAACAGGTGCCCTGCGACTGTGAGCGGCCAGACCTTCTAGGTGCACAGGGCAAGCGCAGACCTGGAGGAGGCCTCTCCCCACTGTAGCTGGGCAGACAGCTTTCCATGCGGGAGGACGCGGGTGGCCCCCGGGTTTGGAACAAACATGTTTATTGCAGGAAGGGTGAGGTGAGCGGCTCACCAGGCGAAGAGTGGCTTGCTGTCCTCCTTGGAGAGCTCACACAAGCAGTTTAGCAGCAGCAGGGAGTCACCCAGGAACTTGGGGGGCACAATGTCAATGACTAGCTTGCGCAGCGCTGCGGGGCTGCTGTGAAGCGGGTTGGCCCGCAAGTCCGGACGCTGCTTGAGGATACCGTAGGTATTGATGAGAAACTCACTGAACACCGGGTGCACGTCACGGCTGTACCCCAGCTTCTCCAACCGGGCTGTCAGAGTTAGATAGCGGTGTGTCAGCTCACGCAGCTTTTTCTCGTCCACGGAGCCATCTAGGGACTTGATGGATGTCTGAGGGACACAGAGGAGTGGAGACAAGGCGCCAGGTCAGAGACGTGACCTTAGTGGAGGTAGGTAAAACAGGGCAGACTTGGTGGCTTAGAAGGGAAATGGAGGCTCTAGGCCCCTTTCAGCACTTCAGAAGGATGAGACTTTGGTGGTGGTAGGGGTATCTACTCTTGGACCTAAGAAGGGTCAGGGGTCTGCCAGGACTTGCCAGCACCAGTACCAGCTCTGACCTGGGTTAACAAAAACAATGTACCTGCTTGATCTTCTCAGGGATGTTGGATACAGTGAAGCCATAAAGGCGTGTCACCCCCGGGAACACATAGGCCAAGATCCGCCGGTCAAGCTGGAACGCAATTTCCCCGACAATGCGGCCATCCTTCTCCGCACCGGCAAAACTCTGGATTTCTGCATGAGACAGGTGCCATCCTGACCATTTCAAGGTACCGAGGTACCTTTGCCCCCCAACTGGCTGAGTAAATAAAAGTCTTTAAAAAGCTGAGATGTTTGGAGCCAGGGAGGAGACTGTCTCTCTGTGTGTGTTTGCTCTCAGCATGATTCCCTGGGACCTGGGCACATGATCACATTCTCTGCCTGAGATGTCAAAAGGCATGTGACCTGAAGAAGACGGTGGGATCCCTGGGGAGGATAGCACACGTTTCTATCCTGGTAGAGTGGGGTTCTTCCTGTTGTTCCCAGATGGTCTTCTGTCGCCCACCAATTCATCAGAGCCTGGCTCCTGAAAGGGCCAGCTTCTTCCAGTCCACATATCACCCTCACAGACTGGCTGATGTCTAAAGTTCAGTATCAACCTGATCTTTCCCATGTCTGTGGAGAGGATAATGGGCTAATAGAAGATTCTCTTCTAGGAACACTTGGATCCTTCTTCACCCTGGCATTCCCTGCCCCCACTCATAAAAACCAGCCCCCAAATAACTCTTCGGCCTATGGTAGCCTCTGGTGTCACAGAAATCATTATTAAACAACACAGTATATATCAACATCCTTTCAAAACCTTATGCTCTTTGAAAAATGAACCTCTTCTGAATTTGAGAAAGGACCTGTTGTTCACGTGGAAAACTCTCCGGTATGTGTGGGGTGCATGTTGACCTGTCACTCTGAGGGAGTAAGCTCCATGATCCCTCTCAGTCCAGTTCCTACATTACACAGGATGGCAGCATGGGTAACTTCAGCTAGGGAACCCCCACCCCACATTCCATATGATACTCTTGCTTAAAAGCATCACTCCTGAGCTTCACAATCCATCCTGGCAGAAGACACAGGACAGCATGCTCACACCTATGAAACAAGCCCTGACAGGATGCTAGTTTGGTGAGGTCTGACCCAAAAGCTGCAGTCCATGAAGACACCACTGAGGAAGCTCAGATCCAGTACTCATTGCAGCAACTCAACACCCACACTCAAGACACTGACAACCACACAAAGAAGCAGGCTCTAGACTCTGCTGGTCTTTGTGACCTTGGACATTGCTGGTATGTCCTCCCTACAGCCATGATGGAATGAAGGGGCAGGCCCCAGAGCTAGCTCTGCCTATACCCTTGGTCAACCAGTTGTACATCAGGTATCAGGCCCTAAGCCAGGGTCTGAGATACACACTGACCAGGATGACACTGCCAAAAAGCATGTACATCTGTGAATACCAGTTACTCTGGTGAGTGAAACAACCAAGGCGAAGCTTGGCAAAAAAAAAAAAACCAGGACCCCCAACCTGGGCTCACAGAATAGGGAATATGGCAGATGAGGGCTAGTACCTCCCTTGCAAGACTAGGCTCTCCCAAAGTCAGATAGTCTATACATTTCCCAAGTGTGATCTGTGAAGCGATGCACTGCCAGACAGTGCAGAGAGGCCAAGGACCCACATCTTACCCTCCTGCATAGACTTCCAGGCAGGAAGAGTCAATGGCTTCGAGTTCATGGTACCTGCAGAACTATACTCTCCCCTAGCCTGTTCTGGTTATGAAAACAACCAGAGGGCACGGACCAGGAAAGAGAGTGAACTTTGTTCTTCTCTCTGACCTTGGCTCAGTCTAGTTGGAAGAAGAGAGCTTCCTCAAAGAGAGTGACACTCATGACAGGGATGCCCTTCCAAGCATGGCAGACCAGCAAGCAGCCAGGCCAACAGCACTCCCTGTTTTTATCTCTTAACCTTGGAATGGTTGACTCATCCACTGAGAATCCTTTGAGGGAGCAGAGGTTGGGATCACCTGATCCCCCAGCAGATTAAAAGTCCATCAGAACAAAATTCTCATCTTATAACCCTTTGAGCCTCTTTTTAAACCAGGGCCACACAGCCATTGCCACTATGGCTTTCAGAAGTTTACATGACCCTCTCAAAGCAAATGAACCATCCCTTTTCCTTCTCCAGCCCCTGCAAGTGGTGCTCTGTATTATGGATTCATCTAGGATGGGCATGCCACATAGGTAGAACTACATGGTGGGCATCTTTTCATGTCTGACACCACCCACTTGACATAATGTTTCCAAGGTCAATCCTTGTAGCACACCAGCATTCCATTATTCCTATCGGCAGCTGAATAATATCCCATCGTATAAATAAGCTCATTTGATTTGTCTGCTTAACTGTTGATGGGTGTTTGTGCTATTTCCCTCTCTGGGTCATCATGAATGAGGCTGCAGACACTCCTGGGAAAGTTTCTGTGTGAACATGTTCCAGTTCTCTGGGTGAAGACTGAGGGATAGGATTCCTGGGTCATAAGGTTTATGACCTTTGGAGGACCTTAATGGCTACCCTATTTTGCATTCCCATCAGTGCTCAAAAGAAAATCCCCTCTCCCCATCTTTTTACACCACTATGGCCCATTGTGTTACTGCAGATGGAGATAGAACATGGATCCCCTTGTGGTTCTCATTGGGAGCATGGTTAATGGTGCACATCTTTGAAGAGTTATCTGCCTAAGTCCTTTTGCATGTTTTGTAAAAACAGAATCTTGCTGTGCAGCCCAAGCTGGGCTAAACCTAGAGATACTTTTGTCTCCATCTCCCAAGTCAGTGGTTCTCAATCTCAAGGTGCATAACTCCTTTGGGGCTGAATTGTGACAAACATGTAAAAAATAAATAATAGCTGGGAAGTTGTGGCAAATGCCTTTAATCCCAGTGCTTGAGAAGCAGAAGCAAGTAGATTTCTGACTTCAAGGCCAGCCTGGTCTACAGAGTAAATTCTAGGACAGCCAGAGCTACACGGGGGAACCCTGTCTTGAAAAAAATAAGGGGAAAAAAGAAAGGAAAGAAGGAAGGAAGGAAGAAAGAAAGAAAAGAAAAAGGAAAGAAGACAAACATGACATAAATTCTTCAAGCTACATAAGAAGACTGTAACACTGTCTATCTCATTCTTTGGGACCATCAATTTATACCAAATCAGAAAATTGTATGAAAATTGAAGAATGGCATCCCACATGAATGGCACACATTCATAGCAAAATTTTAGCAAGCAGAATTTAGTAAGGTGAAAAAGTAAAATATATCATCATCAAATGAAGTTTATCTCAGGAATGCAAGGTTAGTTTAACATTTAAAAATTAGTGTGGGGCTCAAGAGATGGCTCAGCTGTTAAAGGCTAGGCTCACAACCAAAAAAAAAAAAAAAAAAAAAAAAAAAAAAAGTATGATTTACCGTAGGCTATGACATGAATGGGATCTTAGCTCACTGAGCATGTGTCCTCACATGGACTGTGGAACTTAAGCCCCCTGCCCCTTCTCCCCACTTCTTAACTGTGCCTCCCTCACCAGAATCACAAATCCAAGGAGCAACTTGATCTTAGACTTGAGTCTCCCCAAACAAATCTCTCTTTACTTTGTAGGTAGCTTGTTTCTAGTGTTTCATCACAGTGAGCAAAAGCTAAAATATCTTATTAACATCAGGGGAAAATATTATTCTCAATAGATGTTGGAAAAGTATTTAACAAAATTCTGTCATCTGTTTGTGATAAATCAGCAAACTAGAAACCAAAGTGAATTTCTTTAGCCTAATAAGAGGCATCTACAAAACCCTTAACTAATGGCAAACTTCACAGTTAGCACATGAAAGTCTCCCCTAAGTAGAGAAAGACAAAGATGTCACTGTGGTCATTCCCACTCTACATTGGTTTACAGACCTGGCCAGTATAATAGGATAAGAAAAAGAAATTAAAGACATAGTTAGAAATGAAACAACGAGCTTGTCTTCCTTCACAAATGACAACTGGAGAAGGATATGTAGTTCAGCAGTCAAGAGGGTGCTTGCCCAGCATGCTGGGGCCCTGGGTTCAGTCCCTGTACTGAAAAAAAAACAAAAACACACACACCAAAAAAAAAAACAAAACAAAACAAAACAAACAAAAACAGAAGGACTCTATCAAAGCAGTATTAGTTTGGTAAATTTTTAGGACACAAATTGTATTCATCAGTGTTCTCCAGAGAAACAGAACCATGGGAGGGGGAGAGAGTGACAGAGAGAGACAGAGATACAGAGAGATAGACAGAGATAGGGAGTATAGAGGGGTTCATTATAAGAATTCACATGTTTATGAAATCCCACAGATCATGAGAGCTGTGGTTGATAAATAGAAAAGCCAGAAAAACTGATGATATAGACAAATCCTGCCAAAAGGCTAGTGTCCTAGAGACCAGAAAGAACTGATATTTAATGTCCAGGTCTGAAGTAAGAATTCTTAGGGGATTTCTTCAGACATTCAACTGATTCAAGGACTACCCAGACTGAGAATGGAGATTTGTTTTTTTTTCCAGTCTACCAATCTAAATATTAATCTCATAAAAAATCTTCACTAGCATAGCCAGAATAATGAATAGCTAAATGACTAGGTGCCCTAATCCAGAGATGCTGACATCTACCACAAAATTAACTATCACAGAGGTCAATATACATGCATATAGTAACTATATGTAGGACTATATAGATTGTTGCATGTATAAGAAATATGAAATTATGTTAATAACATTTATGACCAGAACATGATGGTGCACGCCTTTAATCCTAGCACTTGGGATGCAGAGGCAGGTGGATCTCTAAGTTAGAGGTCAGCTGGTCTATATAGTGAGTTCCAGGACAGCTGAAGCTACATAGAAAGACTCTATCTCAAAAATAAACAAATAAATGAAAAAGCAACATTTACATACCTCAACTTACATACATTAATAATATAAATATACAGTGTTCATATAAAGAGTCAAGTGGTCAGCCCTAAAATCATATGCAGAATTGTTAAAGTTAAACCTTGCTTTTTATTTAGACAGAAGAGGATGTCCTGCCTGTATACTGTGAATGTATGTCTCTCTTATTGGTTTAATAAAACTTGGATTGTCCAGTAGCCAGACAGACAGTTTAGGTGGGGCTACTAGACAAGGAGAATGCTGGGAAGAGAAAGGCAGAGAGAGAGAGCCACAGGGGAGACTCCAAGTAGCTGTCAAAGGAGTAACAGGTCTGGACATTCTCTGGTAAGCCAAGACCACATGATGAAACTTAAATTAATAGAAATGAGTTAATAAGAGAGAACTAGCCAATAAAAAGCCTGAGTTATTGGCCAAGAAGTTTATAATTAATATAACCCTCTGTGACTGAAGGACAGTGGGACAAGGTGGAACAGAAAACTTTGTCTTCACCGAATGAACAGATTGTGTTCATATATTTAGGAATATACACACGCACGCACGCGCACGCGCGCGCGCACACACACACACATGCTCACACATACCAACAACTAAAGAAAAAGAAGCCATCATGAATTTGAGAGTAGTGGTACTTGGGAGGGGCTGAAGAGATGAAAGAGAAAGGAAAAATCATACAATTATATTTTAATTTCAAAAATATTAAAGAAATAAAATCTAAAATACGTCACTTTCTCAAAGATACCATTTGTCTAAAAAAAAAAAAAATCAATGTATTTGGCCTATAGATCCAAGACCATTCCTGTCAAGATTTTGATTCTAAAGTGAATCTAAAGAGACATGAAGGAGCCAGAACAACTTGGTTTGTGGTTTTACACAAAGCACGAACATCTCGTGGATCTATTCAGATGGATGTATTGAGCCACGTAAGAGTCCAAAAATAGACTCACATGCAGGAAGAGGACTGGTTTTTGACGAGATGCTGGGGTAGTTCCATGGGGGAGAGCCACCTTTTCAAGTGCTGGTGTTGGGAAGTAGCATCTACATGCAAACCTCATTCCACGAACGAAAACCAAAAAAACTTGTAACTAGTGAGAGACCTAAATCTAGAACCTACAAAACTTCCAAAAGAATCTAACAAAGACTTCCTAAATTGGATGCAGACAGTACAAAATACAAAAGAAAAATATCAGGAAGTTCAGCTTGACTATATTCAATGGTTTCATCCTTCCCCCAGGAAGCAGTAAACAGTGGAAAACACACAGTCTGGGAGGAATACCTAGGAAACATAAGCCCAAAGAGGACTTATATCCGGAATCACATGAACAGATTTTGCAACTAAATATGAAAATAAGCGACTCCATTTTTTTCCCAAAAGGCCAGGACAGACATAACCCTGGATCCTGGCCCTCCCTGGCTCTCCTCCATACTCTTCACCACTGCAGAAGCTAGCCACAGTTAAGTCTCCTAAACATGGTTTTCCCCACCCAGGGCCACCTGTGTGTACCATACCATTGAGGTAATAGGTCCGCCTGCTCCTATCCCCAGTGGGCAGGTTACTCTCCGAGAAGCACACCTTCTTAGGCCTCACGATTTCCCTGGGTTCAAGCAGGGTTTTGTCAGCCAGAGAATCCTGCAAGGGACTCAGGAGTGGGGACATCTTCCTGTCAGCAATTCGTGCCTGTAGTTCTGGAGGACTGAGGAAGGTCTTGAAAGGCACCTGAGAGGTGGTTGCACAGCCTGGGGAGGCCTCATCCTCACTGGAGAGTGGGGCGTGTGAGCATAGCAGGTCCTCCAAGGAAGATGTCTGTAACTGAGAGGGTGTGTCGGGGACACTGGAAAACCTTCCAAAATCTGGACCTGGGGTGGAGAAGGAAAGAACAATAAGTCATACTGAGGTACCCCGACATGACTGGAAGCACAGAGGTGTGGATGAAAACTACCGCTTCTTAGCACTTCACCTGGTGATGGAGGAAGCCGTTATCCCATTAACTCAACAGTAAGCACGTGGGCCTTGATGTGCTCACAACCACACTCACTGCGGTGATGCCTGCGTGCTTTTAAAATTCATCACAAGTGGTATCATAAGTTTTCCTGCAACATAAATCTTTGATATTTATCCATAACCTGTCTCTTGTGTACTACCTGGTTCCTCTGTTTCCTGGCCCATATCCACGCCCAATGACTTTTCACCCCTTTTCATCATAAAAAGCAAAGTTGTGGTTAGGGGTGGTGGCTCTGTGGTAGGGCACTTGCTTAGCTGGGCTAGGCTCTGAGTTCAAAGGTCAGTGCTTGAGAAAAACAAATAGCGAAGCTGTGGTCAGCCTCTCTGGATGTGCCTCCTCGATCTCAGTGAGCCTTTCTGCAGCCACACCTAAGCTCAGCTGTGTGTTTTCCACAGGCTTCATCAATCTGTTCTTTGACTTGGGAAGTTCTTATCTCCCAGAGCTTGTTCTCTGAGCAAGAAAGCACATGTACTTGATAAAATCTTAACTCAAAACGTACACATGCAAGAACCAACTGCTCTACCCCAAAAGTATTTTCTAAGAAAAAAGAAGTTCAGGCTGGAGAGATGGCTTAGTGATTAGGAGCACTGGCTGCTCTTCCAAGGACCCTGGGTTCAATTCCCAGTACCCACATGTCAGCTTATAGCTATCTGTAACTCCGGTTCCAAGGGATCTGACACCTTCATACCAATGCACATAAAATAAAGCTAAATAAAATGAAGAAAGAAAAGAAAGAGAAAAAAGAAGTTAAAACAACTTTCCAGAAAGATGCTAGACCTCCTGTCTGCCCTTCTAAAACCCACTAGTTCTTGAGGGCCTCATGGCCCCTACCCAGACATTCCTTACGGCACTAAAGAGCCTTATGGAGAGCCATACATGGCTAGAAATGCTGACAGGAGAGCTTCTCTTGGAAAATTATGTAAAATGGCTCAGTCAGAAGCAGAAAACCAAAGTGGGCCAATAAAAAAACCTCTAAAAACTCTGAGAAATGAGCCCCTTCAACAAATAGTTCTGGGAAACTGCATTTCACATGTGAAAGTACAAAACTAGATCCTTCTGTCACAGCCTTGGGACCCAGTCAGGTAGCATGAGGCTTGTCAGTCTCTGATAGTGGTCATCAACAGTGAGACACAGAGGCCAATACCTCTACAGCTACCACAATATGCATAGTGTCAGAAATTTCACACATTCCCTGCAGGATGTCACAGGTGACCCAGTTGCATGAGCACAGGGCCCCCAACAAATGTTCTGTTTTCTTGGAACCACTGTCTCCCTCCTCAACTCTAGCTCCCTATGAGGATCCCTGTATATCTAAGCTTCCTCTTCAAGGTTCTGCTAGGACTCAGTAATGGACATGTGGTGAAGGACTCCTCTACTCCTTCAGGCTTTGTGCCTGAGAGACCCCAATGGGCTACAAAATGCCTTTTAAATGCTGGCTGGGCTCAGAGGACATCCAAACTCTAAGAAGTCACCCCACCAAACACAGGCCCTCAAAGTCTCCCTTTTGACAAGTTCATAGCTAACCTCCAAAATACCCCACAGGGGTGGGCCGACTCCACAGTTTACCATCAGCCTGTTTGTCTCCTTAGGGACTTGGTGAGTTGGAATGTATACTTAGCCTCCCACTCTGGCCAGACAGTATGAATGGCAATCACTTCCTTGAGGAAGCTGAACCCTCTGGGTCACTACAGTTCTCAGGCATCAGTGATTAGGGGGAGGGTTGTCCAATGCCTACCATTCTAACCAAAAACCCAGGTCACATCTGCCAAACACACTGCCAGTCTCACTACTATGTATGAAAAGAGAATTCTTTTTTAACCAATCCTTTTTAAAAAACCATGTTTTGCAAAAATTGATCACCACCCCCATACATGCTCACACACACACATACACACACACACACACACACACACACACACACCACTTGCTTGCCCCTACCCCTGAAAAAAAAAAGTCATAGGTTTGAGCTGATACCATTTAGTGAACAGGTGGTATCACCACAGTCTTTGCCACCCACTCACACCTAAGAATAGTCACAGGTAGCAGGGTCTCCCTCGGGTGGGAGCTGCACCTGCCTCCTAGAGCTAGGCTCAATCAAGTAACCCTTTCAACTCACAGCTAATGAATGGATGAGGCACAGCTTACCTCCATAAACAGGCACACTTGCCCCACTGCAAAACAAGAATATGGAGAGATGGCTCAGAGGTAAAGAGTACTAACTGCTCTTCCAGAGGTCCTGAGTTCAATTCCCAGCAACCACATGGTAGCTCACAACCATCTATAATGAATTCTGGTGCCCTCTTCTGGCATGTAGGCATACATGCAGACAGAACACCATATACATATAAATACATTAGAAGAAGGAGAAGAAGAAGAAGAATACGGAACCAGCTGCTACCTGGCAGAAACACACAGCAGGACGAAGCTGTTTAGCCAAGCCCAACACAATGCAAATGGCATCAGCAGGCCTGGAGCCATGTTTTAATCCAGGTGACAGTGCCTCGAGACATGACCAACTGGTATAACCACCAGCTGACATGCCCACTCCACCATTTGAGGTGTGGCCTGAGCCCCTAAGAGAAGGGCTTTCTTAGGGCATTCTACACAGCAGGCTACCTGGCCTGGGAGGTTGGAAGGCACACCATTTCAGGCCTCTCTAAACCCTAAGCCCTTCACAAGTGGAGCTGCCCTGCACCTGGCAAGGCCTGCACCTCACCTCCATTCCCGGGGGAGCAGGCCTCAGGGTAGGTAGGGGCCTTGGGAAAAAGCGGGTCCCGGACCCCTCGGCCACAGCTCTCCTGGTAACTCTCACTAAGCAGCCGTTTCAGCATCTGGTTCTCCTTCAGGAGGCGCACCTGCTTCTTCAGGTCTGCATTCTCACTCATGAGCCTGTTCATCAGCTCACTACCCTCTGCCATGGTGTTCTAAAGTGCTCACATGTGGGCCTGTGGCCCCATGGAGATGGAAATACAGAGCCCACAGACCCCACAGAAACAGCCAAAGACCACGGAGTTCCACGCTGCCCGGCCTTCCACAGCCTTGTGATGTCGCTACCCTTAAAGAGGCAGCACCACAAGTCCAGCACCCTTCTTCCTCTGGTTCTCAGCTCCCCCAGACCAACCTGGGCCTGGTGATACACACAGAAGCCAGGAGCATATGGAGTATCAACCACAGAGGGTGGTTGATAACATAGGCAGAGTATTGATAACATAGACAAAGTCTGTGGAATGTGAAGGCAGGAAGATGGCCTCCCAAAAGGTAGCCTAAACAGGGATGACAGCGTGTACCAAGACCTCCATGGCCAGACCTTGACAGCACCTTCCAGAAGCAGCCAGGACAAGGCATGGGAGGGTCATGCTGTCCACACTATGTGAAGTCCACAGGCCACAGTGAGATGACTTGGCTGTCATCTCAGTGACTGTCCTTCCTATGACATGTGCTGATGAGGGTACCCTGTCATTTCCCAATTCCATGGGATCACAGGCCAGTGGGGTTCCCAGAACATACACGGCATATGATATGCTGTTTTTGAGTCTCACCCTTGGAAGCTTTACTTAAGAAAGAAAAGGGCCAGAGGAGATGACCAGCCTTGGGCAGGATCCCATGATTTCCCCACAGTCCCAGGAACATTCTAGGGGAACCCTGGCAGGCCTGGAAGCAGAGACCATACTGATTACATCATCATATTTCTGTCATGAAAAGGCTTAAGGCAGCCCATTGGTATCCATCACACACACTGGGCATTGAGTGCCTGACTCCAAACCAAAAGCTGGTGGTTCTACAGTGGTCAGTTAATGTACTTGTCTAGAAACTTACCCAGCACCCTACTTTTCCTACTGCATGAAGGGAGTATGCTGTTTCTGAATCAATCAGAAGATCTTCCTGTACTGGCCACTCAGAGACACCAATGGTTGCCACCTGGTTCTTCTTGACGAGAAAGAATGCAACCAGAAAACCCCAATCCAACACCTACCAGGTCCTTCTCTGACACACGGGGCTCCGCATCAGTATCTGGGACAATCTGTGCAGACATTGGCGTGGTCCCCAGGTGAAACTATTCAGTCCAGGCATCATGTTAGTATATATTTCAAGTACAGAAAGCTCAGACTTTGTGAAGAAAAATTCTAAGCATCAAATGCTGGATCAATTGACCTCTCCCCTCAGACAAGGGTAATGGAACCACCAAGGACTTTCAGTAGCCTTCAAAGACAGAGAGCAGAGCACATAAAAGCATGGGTCATAGTCCAGAGTGCTAACCATTACACCACAGAACCACATAGATGAAAGAGAGAGAAAGAGAGAGACCATAATAGAGGGAGCCATTATAGGTTTGAAGAGAAAACTGACTCTAGAGAAATGTCCAGAGACCTACATGGATGACCCCAACTAACAATCTGAGCAATAGTGGAAAGGCTACCTTAAATGCCCTTCCCTGATAAAGAGATTGATGACTACCTTATATGCCATCATAGACCCCTCATCTAGTAGCTGATAGAAATAGAAGCAGACACCCACAGCTAAACACCGAGCTGAACTCCTGGAATCCAGTTGCAGAGAGGGAGGAGTGATAAGAAAAGGGTTCAAGACCAGGCTACAGAAATCCACAAACACATGGAGCCCCAGACTGATAGCTGGGAAACCAGCATTGGACCAACTCAGACCTCCTGAACATGGGTCTCAGTTAGAAGGCCTGGGCAGTCTAAGGGACCCCTGGCAGGGAAACTAGGATGTATCCCTGGTGCACATAAGGACTTTAGGAGCACATCCCCTATGGAGGGAGACTCCCTTAGCCTAGAGGCAGGGAGGAGGGCCTAGACCCTACTCCAAATGACATGACAGACTTTGATGATCCCTCTTGGAAGGAAGGCATCATCCTCCCTGTGGAGTTGTGGGGGGATGGGATGGGAGGGAAGGTCAGGGGTCATGGGAGGGAGAGAGGGAAGGAGAGGGAACTGGGATCGATATGTAAAATAAGAATTATATATATATATATGTGTGTGTATACACACACACACACACACACACACACACACACACACACACACACATCGGGTCAGAAATCAGGCATTCCTAGTTCCCAGTTTCTGGGGTCATGGTGCTTGTGTGGTTTTCCCCCCACTAGCTGACACTGATACTACTTCTCCTCTTCTTCTTCCTCCTCCATTTCTCCTCCTCTTCTTCATTTGTTTGGATTGGGGGGGGGTTCCTTGTTGTTTATTTGGGTTTTTTGTTTGTTTTTGTTTTTTGAGATAGGGTTTCACTGTGTAGCCCTGGCTGTCCTGGGCTCTGTAGACCAGGCTGGCCTCAAATTCAGGTGTCAGGATTGTTTCTAGTTATTTTGCCTTCAGAGCCATATAACCAGAGCCCATACTCTTCTTTAAAAAGAGTATCTTTGACAGAATTGAGACAAATTTATAAACCTGGTTATCAGTACCATAAAAAAAAAAAAAAAAGGAGAAACATGTTGTTGAAATTAAAGCCAACTGAGTAGAGACTAGTTTTCTCGGGCACCGGCACTGCTAGATATGTGATCATGTGATCAGGTAGCTCCAAATCAAAGAACTGAGAGGGGAAAAGACTTCTAATGACCATGACACCCAAGTTCACCTTCCCAATGTCATAATCTAGAAATAGTCCTACAAGAGTCCCGTCGATCAATTCCTTCCTTGCCTTCATTATTCATCACAGGTTGTTTAGAAGTGTGCTGCATAACTCCCAAGTTTTTGGGGTGTTTCCCAACCCCCTTTATTTCTCATTTAATCCCATTGTGGTCAAAGAGCATACTTCTTGATTTCTGAAGATTCTTCTCATGACCCAGCAGAGGGTTTGTCTTGGTGAATGAGGCAGATGAACCTGGATGTGTTTGTCTCTGTTGTTTCAGGTGATAGGTTCACAAACACCAATGAGCTTACATTGGCTAATATTAGAATCTGTTCTTAACGGGTTGCCCTAGTTACATTTCTGGTGATATGCTAAAAACACTTTAACCAAAAGTAACTTAGGAGAGGAGAGGTGTCACTCAGCTTATTATCCCATGCCACCGTCCATAAGGGAAGTCAAGGCAGGATCTCAAGGCAATGGCTTGTTTCTCCACACAGCATGACCTCTGACCAAGGAACTCACTACAGGCAGAGCGTGGGGGGCTGGGGGAAGAACCATGGAGGGGGCTGCTGCTTGCTTGCTGTCTGGAAAGTTTGTGTTCTGTCTCTATTAAGCAAATTTGAAAAAATAAAAATGCCTTGGCACTTTTAAAGGCAACCAACCTTACCATAGACAGAAGAGCCAGCAGCTAGTAGTTTCATGGAATCTTCTCTGCTCCTTTATTTTTGCCAGGCCAGTTTATGGTTAGGAGAATGTGCTTTTTTGTACCTCTGCATTAGGTTTTATAATTTTAATTGATGTACAGACACACAGATTTAAAAAAAAAAAAAAAGAAGACTTGAATTCCAACAATGCCACACTTTGTCACCACTAAAAGTATTTAAGTGTAAAGAGAAGCAACTTTGAAACTGTAAAATCCCTGACTCATAAACATAGTTATTTCTACTTTAGTACAGGGCATAATTCGATGTTATCAATGCTCTTTTATTAAGCACTTGTGTAAGTTCTAAAAGTAATAATAAATTGTCTTCCAAGACTATATACTTGTCATCTGTGTGTGATCAATCACCTACACTGGAAGATATTTTTCTTTTGTGCTGGGACAGGTGGCTGGCCCTTCCTGTTTCCACTAACCAAATCCTCCTAGCTTGAAAGCTAGGGCTAAGCAGTTATTTCTCTTGAGCAGTTTTTAGTTCTTAAATTTTATTGCTTGTATTTGATGATAGATTTCATAGTTTCAAATGTTCTTGCTGCTATGAGAAGTATAGATCCCAGTAAAGATGTGTATCATAAGACAAATATACTTGTTCTTTTTTTCTTTTTTCTTTTTTCTTTTTTAAGAAGCTGTGGTATTACTGGGTCTCCACATCTTAAAACATCCTGCTCTGTGGAAGTCCAGGCTGAATGAAGCATCATCTGTGTACCTAGCACATTTATCAGACAGGATCTCTCACTATTTGATATTTTTTGCATTAGTTAAGACAGGAAGTTGGGCTGGGTGGTGATGGCACATGCCTTTGATTCCAGCACTCGGATCTCTGTGAGTTTGAGGCCAGGACAGGCTCCAAAGTTACAGAGAAACCAAGTCTCGAAAAACAAAAACAAACAAAAGACAGTAAGTTGATAGCTCAGTGGAAAGGGGAGGAGAAAATCTGTTGTTGGGATGTCTGAACTCAGTACCATACTCATCTGGGTCAGATTTAGGAAATATAGCCTCTGTACATAAAATTAAAAGGTCAGTTAAATATCACATAGTAGACAGCCATTAAATTATAAAAAATAAATTTATGAAGGCCTTTTGTGCAGATTAAAAATATTTTCATAGTGATCCATACGATCAAGAGCTAATGATTTCATTCTACTAGTGCTGTGGACTTGCCAGGTGACTTGTTTACTGGGTCAGGATGACTGCAGTATCCCTCCTACGACTTGTTAGAGGCCAAAAGACTATCTTGGAACTGTACATCTGATGAGGTTGTTAGCTTTTATTTTTTTCTTCATATTTTGTTTCTCTTGAGAATCTCTAAATAAAAACATCTGAAATTTTAGAACATAGTAAGAAGTTCCCATCAAGTCCTTCAGCAGGGTGTGGCAGCACATGCCTGTAATCCCAATGTACAGGAGGCCGAGGCAGGAAGACTGGCCCTCAAACTTGAGTGGACATCATGTTGTTGTGAGTACAACATAGCAAAACTGTTTCATGAGGGGGTTAAAAAGGTCAACATTTTCTACTAAAGAATCCCTCAAAAAAGAGTGTAGATGCTCATAGCACAGGGAACACAGGGAATCTACTATGACTCCACAGGAAAAGCTTTCGGCACATTATAAGCTAAAACTTTCACTTCAAGACTCTTTCAGGACTTCTTCTGTTGAGTGTCCCCCACCAACTCCCCACTGAGCCTGGGGGACCCCGTAAACTGCACGACACACTACAGCCTAAAGCATGTTTTATCAGCTGTGTTTATTAAGGGGATTGGTCCTGTAAGCTCAGTGTATTTTGTACAGTGATCTGGTGGTCATGACTAGGAATTCCAAGGGACAGTTGCTGCTGCTGGGGGCTGAGAAGACTGTGCAGTGAACAGCACGGGTTATGATCTAAGGAAGGAGAGCCCTAGGAGTCACAGCACAAGGTGACAGGGGTGGGAGCTGGGCAGGAGGCAGATGGCACAAAGCCTCGGGGAATCTGCACCATGGCAGAAGGCAGGCCTAGAGAGTCCTGGCCAGGGAAAAGGGGATCAGACACAGCTCTCTGCTTGTCTGAGGGAAGACCATGGGCCAGGGAGAGGTTGGAGTTATCACCAGTCCAGAATGTAACAGGGGTGGGCAGCATTAGATTGAGAAGGCACCAGGCTGGACCCTGCTCACCATGGCCAGGGAGAAAAGTAGTCACTTCAAGGAGATGCTAGGACTCTGTCTACCCTGAATTCTGCCTGCATGTTGGCCAGACACAAGTTACAAGAAGCATCACCTCAGAAATCTGGCCCTCAATTGAAGTCAAAGAATAGTTGGCATAAGAGTTAATAATGGCATTTGGGTGTCACAGGCGTTTTCCTGGGTCCCGGGAGTGCCCACAACTGCCTGGCTGGCTCAGTGGGTCTAACTGGTAAGCTGGATGTGATCAGCTTCCTTGCTACAGCTGTCCCACAATACAAACCACCATAACCACTATTGAAAGACTTAAACTAGCAAAGAAATGAAATGAAGCCCAAGTAATCGGAATGCTGGGTAGAATTTGCTAACCACAGGCCCTGAGATAGCAGGATACCAAGAATTTACACTGCCCCTCCTTTCTGTGAGTCAGCAGGTGGTAAATAGGGTCCTTAAGAAACAAAGAAATAGCTGCACCTCCAGTTTGCCCAGACAAGATTAATTAGCACACCCTGAGGCCCTAGGGTCTGTTGACTCAAACAGCAAGACCATCCCGCCTCAAAGGGTCACATACTCAATGGATAGAGGGTCACACCCCCTCCCTAAGCTTATGGGTTTTGCCTTTAAAAACACCTGTGCCCAGGGAATGAGGCTGAGGGAGCCCGTTTGCGCAAACGTTTCCTGTTCATTAAAGCCTCTTGCGTGTTGCAGCAACTGGACTGGACATTGAGTTCTTGGGGGTACCGACCAAAACTGAGAGACTCCTCATTCTGAGGGTCTTACACTATCTACCCTACTGTTGTTATTCTATGCGTGGTTCCCCATGTGTGCCTCTCTATCTCAACAAGATGAGTGGAGAGCAAGACGCTGATATCCTAGAAATACATGCATTGGGTATGAGCTTACTATGTAGGAGCAGAATCAAATGCTACATCTGGCTCCTTGCCACACAGTCTCACACACCTAGGACAAAATGCCTGGGGCTTTATTGTTGTCTTGCTTTTATTTCTGAGATTTTTTTTAATGTGGCTGGGTGTTATACCTACATGTATGTATCATGTGTGCAATGCCCACAGAGGCCAGAAGAAGGCATTGGGTCCCCTGTGAACTGGAGTTATAGAAGGTTGTTAGCCACCAAGTAGATACTGGGAATAAACCCAGGTCCTCTGAAAGAGTAGTCAAAGTTCTCTACTGCTGGGCCATCATTCCAGCCCCAGAATGTCTGTTTATTATGGGAGTCAGTGAATTTAAATGACTTTGAATGACACATTTAGTATAAAAGTTTGCCTTTCCTTTCTGGAAAACTGGTTATTTCATACGATGATCTGGTCATGACTGGGAGTTCCTAGGGACAAGAGCCACCACTCAGTAGTACACAGTGAACAAGGGTCCAGTCTCACTCCCCACTGAGCCTTTCTCTGAGCATACCAGCACCATAGGGTTGCCATAACTGCCCCAGCCCAGCATACACAAGTCTGGGCAGAGGCCCATTACACAGTAGACAAAGGAGGAGATGAAGGAGCCAGCTGCTCTCCTCCCGGGGAGGTCACTGGTCATGAAAACCCTACACCTCACTCCCTTGAGAAGGACGCACCCAGGAGCTGCACAGTGCACTGCGCCTCCTTGGACTTCAAGGTTTATCCCATTCCCTTTCTCACTGAAGCTACTCTCAGAACTAAACCTATATTGCCAAGCACCTAAAGACACCAACCCTGACCCTATCCCCAGCCTCACATCTATAGAAATAGAAAACAAGGCCTAGGGCAGGGCTAAGAAGGCTCATTTCACCTAGCCAAGAACCCCAGCCTCGCCTGGACCTGTATGGTGATGATGCTGGCTAGTGGCAGCACAGACAGACACACATGTTCAAAGGTGGCCAGCGAGGGTATTGTCAGGGTACAGGTTGGAGAAGCGACCCAGGGTCCAAATGGGGAAGATGTTCCTATAACTTGTGTAGCTGATGGCACAGGACTTGTTGAAGACCCCAGAGATGTTCTCCTGGAAGAACACAAAAAAAAAAAAAAAAAAAAAAAAAAAGAGCAGTTAGGAGCTTGTCCCTGGCTTGTGGTCCTGACTATTGAATTTCCCAGCCCCAGAGCAAGTCTGACTGGGAAGAGCTGATGAACCACAGACAGAGAAAATCAGCTCCCAGCTCAGAGACTAGAGCTTGAAGAAAACATTCCTCCTTGGAATAGTAGTCTCTAATAATCACAGTAACCACAGGGACAGATAGAAACCCATCTGCACGTCTCATGAAGGACCACACAGAACACATATAATGGTAAAGCCAAGGTTCTGCAGGAAACATCAACTATCCAGTTCTTTCCCCCAGCCAGTTCCTTTACAAATAGCAATATGTGCTCAGCACTTCAAGACCCAGCAACACATCTCAGATCTACAACCAGGACAAGCCTCTGGCATGCAATGTCCATATCCCAGATCTCCAAAGCACCCTAAAAGGAACATGGGTATAGGAAAGTATGAAAACTAATGGGCAAGTTGGAAACCAATGCTGCAACTACTACATCATGGCCCCTCACACACCTGAGGCCAGTCTCCATTGGAGAGCTGCTTCTCCAGCAGACATCTAATTCCTCTCTCCTGAGCAGAGATGTCGGGATGCCTGAGGGGGTAAGAAGACAGGCTTGAACAAATCTAGCATGTGGCATCAACATGCATCTCAGGAGGACAAAAACTGCCCAAATACTATGGCGATGACAGGTAAACCTAATAACCAGAATAGCATCATCTTCCCAGGAGCCCCGAGCAGCAGAGCATGTATAAGCATGGGGATGGACAGGTTGTGCACATACTTCCTATATACTTGATTCTATCCCTAGAACACATGGTGACATGGCTGGCACAGGTGCTGATAAGATTTCCAAGGAGAAGAAATGTCTGCTCTGCTCACTGGAAACCACAGAAGCTATGTGCTCTGATGTACTTGCTGGCAAGAGAGAGACACCAAAATGACTAAGGGTTTGACAGAAACAAGGCCAGCAGTGGGGGACTGACTAGCAACAGACTGATGACTACCTTGCTCTTGGGGTCCCTGTGTATACTAAGAAGGATTTTAGGAAGATCTCCAAATAGCTCTATGTGTACTGCAGCAACACAGGCTAAAACAGCACATACAACTTTGTGTGTGTGTGTGTATATACATGTATACCTATGGCAACACATACAGACATATACCTAAACATCTACAAGTGCATACATATACATGTGTGTACCTGTGCACATAGTGCAATACATGTGGCTCAATATGAGCTGTGCACACAGGAAGACCAAAAGTAGCTATAGTCTCGTACCCTTAATACTCCCCGCACTGGAAAGTAACTTCCCCACCACAGCCCAGCTCACTCATTTCCCTTGGGGCCCCGCTTCTCTTGCCCTGTCAACAAGTACTGACGATCAATAGATAGATATTTCTAAGAGCTAAGTCTCTCTGTAGGGTACCACTCAGCCAGGTTGGCTGCCACTTAGCATAGGAACAGGGTGTGTGTTTCTGAAGCTGCCTCTATCCACAGTTAATGGCTTAGGTCTATGGCTCCTTTCACCTCTTCCCACATCTGTACACACCCCAGGCCACTTCCTCAAAGTTGAGCATCCCTACTAAACACGCCCAAGGACAGGTCCCATCACCCTCACCTGACAGCCATCAAGCCCATTAGGGCCCAGCATGTGTTATGGATCTGAGACCTGGCACTTTGCACATAGCACCGCTGCTCACAGGACTCGAAGTCCTCCCCCCAGCCTCCATCTGCCATCTGCTGGGACAGGAGGAAGTTGCAGGCCTGAGACACTTCTGCACATGCAGTCCTGTAGAGAGAAAGAGATCTGAGCACCACTATTGGGGGGGACCTAAGTAAGCCCTCTATATCCTACTCTGACAGGATACCCTAGGGTCATGGGAGGCGCCTGCAGAGGTGAGTAGATACGGGTGAACATGTCTCCCAGAGGTGCTGGGCACAGAGGAAAAAAAACACTCTACAGATACAGACATATGCAGGCTGACTATGTGGGCACATGGAAACAGACCCAGGCTCCCTGGGCTGTGCCTGGCTTAGTACAACTTCCCTACTCCCCGATCCACCAGATCTAAAAGCACTAGCTAGGTGGCCAGAGACAGCGCTTGAACCAAGCCCTCTTCCTGAGGCCCTAGACCCTAGTCCTTTCTCATTCAGGATGAGAGACTGAGATCTATAAGACTCTAAGGTAACACATAGCCAAGGCTTTGATTCAAGAAAATATGTCCTTTTTTCCTGAAACAGTGATCTTACCTCACTGTTTAAACATAATTAAATAAAATCAAATAGCAAAGGAAAAGCCACCATGCAGAACATTACTGACCTGGTTTTCCTGTCAACTTAACACACAGACACCTGGGAGGATAGAGCATTAACTAAAGGATGTGGGAAGGTCCAGCCCACTGTGTAAGGAAGCTGGCTGAGTAGGGTTCTCCTCCTTGTCTCTGCCTCAGTTCCGGCCCTAACATCCCTCAGTGCTGGAGTATCACCTAGAAGTACACACCTAAAGTGAACTCTTTCTTCCCCAAGGTGCTTTTGATCAGTGTATCATTACAGCAGCAGAAAAACAGGCCAGAACAATTACCAAGGCAATGCCCTGGCTTGACTGACATCAGCCTGCAAGCTACACTTACCCATCTTGGTAGGTGTGTCCCATGCAAGCAAAAGCTTCCAGGCCAAACCAGGTGCCATAGGTGAAACAAACCCCCCAGGAGCTAGAGGGAGACAAAAGGAGGATCAGACTTGGTCTTCATTCCAAGCCACAGTACAGTTACTCTACCTAGGTATTGGGACACCCTCAAGTAGAGAGGGCAGACGAGAGGTGGAGTGCGGTGGTACATCCCTACATGCCCAGCATGGGCTATGACAGGGACATTGCTAATTTAAAGGCAGTCTGAGATACACAGCAAGATCCTGTCTCAGAGAGCCAAAGAGAAAGCAAGAGACAGTGAGAAGGAGGAGGAGGATTGGGAAGGGAAAGCAAAGAAGGGGAAAGGGACTTGACCAGTCACAAAAGCAGTGTACAACACACACATCCCAGAGAGTGCAAGTGTGAATACGGCTGAAAGTGGTCCTGTTCACCCAGCTCAGCCACTGCTTCCTCCACTCAAGTCACAAAAGAACTGCTGATACACACAAGAGGGGAAATCACATGGAGGCCACAGCACCCTTCCATCATATAACCCAACCGCTCCCTCCAACATAAGCTGTCAGCATAAGGGAAGGGCAAGCATCAGCCAGGGAATATGACCAACCAGGAAGTCCTTCCTGAGCCCCCTAGGAAGAAGGCAGCAAGGATAGATTCCCAACCCCACACACATGTCTTTACCTCACTCCAACCCCTCTGCAGGTGAGCCCAGGTGCCTACTCACCCCTCCCAGGAGCCATCAGCTCTCTGCTTCTTTCGGCAGAACTCCAGGCCTTGCTGAAGGGTCTCTCTGCAATACAGGCAGTTAGCTCAATGAACACTGTGGTGGGCAAAATCATAATGCCATCTCCAACCCTGCACATACAATGGTCTCAGAAAATGAGACTGGCCTTTTCTTCAAACAGATCAAATGTTCAAAGGGGGGGGGGGAATGTAGCTATAGGACACAGAAGGGGCAAACTCAGAGGAAACACAAAGGAAGACAGACTTTGCAGATGAGCACCACAGTGGAAGTAGCTCTGAGAACTATCACAGCCACTGACAATAACACTAGTGTCACGGGCCTGAGCAAATCATATAAAATGACCTAGATTAAAACCACCACTACCACCAACAACACAAAGAGTTTGGGGCTGCCCACTTGAGATGGAGACTGGTCTCCCTGAATCATTTGTAGCAGCTTTCATTTGGTAGAAAATTCTTTAGGTCTTTTGTTTTCATGAGTTAGAAGCTTAGCTGGTGGGGTCTTGCCCTGAGGATATTCCTCCATTCCATTTCAGGCCAGGCCTTAATTTCCTTATCTTTTTCAGCACAGGCCTTGGCTACCACTTTATATTTCCTAGTGCTCTTTTTCCTCTTCAAACTGTACACGTGTATTTCTGCCCTATTTACTCTTTCCCATTATACACCTGTATAAGAGCAATTAATTACTAATTACACACATTTAGCCTCAGGCAAGTTTTTAGGAAAAGGCAGAAATTAGCTATTTGCCAAAACATCACAAGAATGGTTTCTAGTCTGGTTGCTAATATTGTTCCCATCTGGAACCTCTTGAGCTGGGCCTTTGCTGTCTGCATAGTTCTCAGCACTGACTTCCAGACTCTTACTAGGACAGTCCATCAAACTGCTTACAGTGTTCAACCACTTTCCTAGACCAAAGTTAGAAATCTTTCCACATTCCTCCAAAAACCACATGGGTTAGGTCTATCACAGCAATCTATTTTGGTGCCAGCTTCTATATTACTTACTTTCTATTGCTGTGATGAGATACCATGACCAAGTCAACTTATAAAAGAAAGAGTTTAATGGGCTTACAGTCCCAGAGGGTGAGATGGAAGCACTGGACTGATGTTTCATGGGGACAAATGACATCAGTCTGAGTGCTACTACCTGAGCCATTTCTCCCAGCTTAATCTTTTTTTATGTGTATTATTTTATCATTTATGTCTTTTTTTGTGTGAACTTTCTCAATGCTAGGAGTGGGCTGCCTCCCTAGGGGCTGTTATCCAGGCCCCTCAAATATGAAGGCTATTGCCACTGTTGTTGGCTGCACAACAAAACTAGATAGTCCTTAGTGTGTAAGACACCATATGCTTTGGCAAAATTAGGCTAAGTAGAAGTAGAACATCCTCCCCTGTTAGCTGGCTTTCATTATACTGGAAGACAGCATGCAGGCTGTTGGGGTAGAACTGTTACCAAAAGACCATCTCAGTTATGGGCCCTGCTTGTTACAGTAAACATCAGGTAAGATACACCCACTAATACAATAGTAACTCAATGCAACTTTACTGTCTTCTGCTGTAATGTAGCTCAAAGGTGATATTGCAAACCAAAGCTCATGGCTAGGAAAATCATAGGCTCCAATGAGGAGTCCATTGCTACTGTTTAATTAAATGGATATGATATGCCTATTAAGTTGCCTTCCATATTTATGTTTACACCCTTACATTACTGTTGCCCTCAGTCTTCATCAGTCATGAAAAGAGACATTAATAATGAGAGGTATATCACAAAGACTCATAATTAGTTACACTCCTAAGACAAACTAACTGTTGCTATGTCATAAAAACCCAATAGCCAACCATAGATGGAGGGAAATGAACAGCTATGCCAACCACTCCAAGACTCAAGAAACATCACAAACAAGGCAGACCTAAAGAATGCAAGAACCAGGGGAAGGGACGGACTGATTGTTGTGTAGTTACTGCCACCAAAGCAAAACATTCCCTGCACGACAAGTAACAATGAGAGAGTCCTCAGTGTGGACTCCATCAAGGCAGGTTCAAAGTGAGCAACAGTAATCCGTGGCTAAGGAGACAGGAGGGTGGTCCCTTCACGGGGGAATAATGGAGGGGTGTAAATCGGGTGATGGCAGGGTCTCCTCTTGACAATCTCGAGAGCTTCTGACCATTCACTGCTCTCATCACAAAAGAGCACTTACTTAGCACCTATTTACCTAGACACTAACAACAGGTATGTACGCTCATTTTAAAAGATGTTCAAGAAGACAGGAAAAATAACCCATTCTTGTGTCACAGCTGTACTGTTTTCCCCAGACCAACACACTCTCTCTCTCTCTCTCTCTCTCTCTCTCACACACACACACATATATTTGATGGATTTGAAGGCACCTGAAACTGTCCCTGTATTTACTCAAGCCATTACCTCGTGAGAAGGCACAGCCGACTCTTTGAGCATGCTGTGGCTGGGCCATGATCCTGCTCGTTCCTATCCTCACCTTCCTTACCTGATCTCTGCTGCCCTATGGTCTGGACAGTGTTCATGGAAATGCTTCAGAGCCTGCATCACTGCTGAGGTACACTCGACATATGTGTAGTCAATCATGATGTCTCCTAGAAAGGGGAAGGAGGCACCTGAGCTCCACTGTGGCCCAGGGTCCACAGTTCAGGCCAGAATGTGGTGAGCAAGAATACTGAAGCCTGCAGGACTTACACCTAGATGTCACCCCAGGTCAACCTGGGCAATGGGCTACAGTAAGTACAACAGGCAGAGTGAGACCTGCACACCTGTGCTGCAAGACACACATACAACAGCTGGGCTATCACTACTACCACCGCCACCCAACACAACATGTTTGACAGGTGGAAGAATAGGGTAATTAGAAGCCATGAAGGAAGAGGACAGCAAGTGTCAGAGTCAGCAAGGAAAGAACCTGACCTGATAGACTAGAACCTCAGTGACAACGCACAGCTGTGGCCCGGCAGCCCTTGGCATAGGGCTGCCTTATAAGTGCTGTGAGTCACTGAACGTGTGGCACATGGCAGCCTCCACAGCACAGGGCTCTGTCAATAAGCAGGAGAGTGTAAACCTAGCACAAGGTCTCCATGGCCTGAGACAGAACCACGGCCATTCATCAAGAATACAGTTACTCCATACCCCAAGGCTCAAAAAGGTCACTGCATGGACCTGCCTGCAGTCTAGGCCTGGCCTACACACCAAGTCAACCACTCAACCACTCACCGAAGACCTCTGAGGGGTTCAGCAACTCCAGCAAATGCCCCCCACGCTTGGTCTCGTAGGTAGCAAATCCTCCATCAGAATTCCTCATGCTCAACAACTGTAAGCAGACGGGGACGGACTGAGAACTGAGCACACAACTTACAGCATGACTTTCTCAAAGCACCACAGGACTGACAAACAGGACAGGAACGAGGGATAAGAGCCAGTTTTCACACTGAGCCCTGCGGTGCCCAATGCAGCTGCTATGGCACAATATCTGCAGACACAGTCCAGTATCAGGCCAATGCAGATCTCCATAGTAAAACACACACAAGAAGCAGATGTGCTACAGGATTTTGCACAAAAATGAACAGATGTTTCCAACCTTCCTTTGGATACCCAGCAAAGACCACAAGCCTTCCAAATGAGTCCTGCAGAAACCTCAGCACAGATATGGGAAGCTCCTTGAGCTCTAGAGCCAAGAAGAGAAGCCCCAGGGACCATACAGCCCCCTTGGGACCTCTGGGATAGGGTGGGCACCATCTCTTACAGCACAGGGTCCTGTGCACATACCCAACCAAAGTGTTCAAGCCTGGGTCTGTCTCAGGGCCCACAGGCTCAGATTCTGATGCTCCCACACCCTCACCTTGGCCTGCTGAGACAGAACCATAGAAGAGTTAAGTAAACATGAAGTAGGGTACTTACTACAGCCACAGCATCACAGAGCCGCTCACGGGGGACGTGCTCCCTGATTGAGGGACACTGCTTCTGCAGGAGCAGCACAGACTTCAAACCCTCGGCTGTGCAATCTGCAACGATCCAGCCACAGTCCAGTGTGCTGAAGGGGAAACCACCCTAAAGAGACAGAGTGTAAGAGTGCTTCTCCCCTGAAGAGCTGTAACAGGGCAGGGGCCTCTCCACCACACAGCAGATTGGATGTAGTTGAATAGACTTGAACTTCAGCACAGGACTATCTAGGACTTCATGCCCATCCTGACTGCACTAGATCTTAGCAATACAAAGTGGTCTGGGACCCAAGCAGCAGCACAGGTGCCCTATGGACTCCACTATGGAAGGCAGTAGCTGAGTCAATGGCTCATTCCACAACCTGCAGCTAAAAGCAAGCCCTTACAGCAGGAGGTTAATGCTGGCTCTGAGTCCTTTATACCCTCTGCCTTGATTTCAACACTCCAGCTCAGCATCTGGGTGTGCTAGATACCTGAACTACCCTGGAGCACAGCCGCAGAGGCATAGGCTGTCTCAGGGAATGACAAAGCCCCTGACAGTGGGCAACTACAGAGCAAATAGCCAGAACCCCTCCTCAAAGGGAAGACAGCTGAGCTTTGGCATGGGTGGGCTGCCCATACATACCTTGTGCATCTGGCGGTAATACTTCTGATAGTCAGGAAAGTTGTCTGGGACCTGGAGAGCAGCAGGGAACATATGTGGAAAGCAGAAACATGTTGGCACCGAGGACCCTGTGCTGCCTGCCATCTGGGAGCTGGATCTACTGCTAGCCTTGGTCAGTGCAGCACGTGAGATCCATGACCTTATCAGTACTAGGACATAAGATCATCTGCCCAGCTTCGTGGGCTCACTACTCCTGAACTGCATGACTCAGTCCAACAAGAAAGTAAACAGGTCTGCACCTGCAGTCAAGTCCATTCAGACGGGCTAAAGGCCCATCGCTCAGTGTAGAGCCCAGATCAGGCCCTGCCGACTCACTCCCTAAACAGCCCTAGACAGACATGGACATCAACTACATGGAGAATCCTGAGAAAGCTGCATCCTAGTGGGTTCAGAGGATAGTGGGTTAGGGGCACAGGGATCAAGGCTGGAGGCCTCCACTGTGTCTGAAACAGGGTAGGCAAGGCCGGCCTAAAAAAGTGGTACATGATGGGGGCTGCAGGTGCATACGGAAGGCAGGAATGAGAGACACCGACCCAGCAGTTCATGGCCTCAAGAAAGGCAGCCACAGGTGAGGGTGAAGTGATTCTATTGGCCCAGGCACCTTAAAGATGGCTAGGATGTGAGCAGGCTGTGGTGTTCAAGGCCACCCCTCCTGATGGTGCCATAGGCTGGCTTTGGCCCTCTGCACACAGTTGTTTCAGCATAAAGAACAGAAATCACTGGCTGGTGATGGGCTACCACAGGCTACAGTCATAGCTACCTTAGGGTGACTATGTGCACCAACATGGAGCAGGGCAGGATAAAATAGGGCAGAAACAAGCCAAGAAAGCCAGCTTGGGGAAGCAGGATAGATGAGGAGAGGCATGACCTCACCTGTGAAAGCCGCAGGAATTCGTGAGCCTTCTGCAGGCAGGGTAAAAACTCAGGTCTATGGTGTGCACCTGCCTAGAAGACAGCAGAGCAGCATAGTTAACCCCAACGTCCTGGCAGCATCCTGCAGCCCCACCCTTACCCTGGAAAAAGACACATCTTAGAGTTGTCTAGAGTTTCTTTCCTGAGGTTCTCAACTTTAAAGACAGAAAGGACAGGTGAATACAACTAAAGACTGGAATGAACAGAAGAGACTACTTTGAGTAGTTACCCAAATCCTACCAGTTCTGCCAGGCCTCACCTGGGCAGCCCAACCTGGCCTAGGCCCTGAGTTGTCCAAAGACACTATTCTCATTCCCACCTGCAGAGAAACACTTTCTCTCTAGCTCAAGTATCAGAAAATGTTCTAAGAGCCTCAAGCCCACCAGGCCCAGGTACCACCCTGCTCACTTATTTCCTAGGCTTATTTCCCAGAGCCCTAACCCAGTTTAGCATCCAAGTTCTAGAGGATTATCAGCAGGGGAGCCAGGCAGATAGGAAGCTCAAGGGACAGAAGGCATGAAAAGTAGCATCAGCATCATTTTTCTCAGGGTGAATGTGTGCCTCGCACACAGGAAAGATCAGGTAGGGACTGCGCAGAGAAACAGAACCACATACCTCCAACAGTGCTTGGATAGCAAATGAGGTATCCCAGACCTGTGATCCATTGGTGCCCTGTTCACAAAGAATGAGCTGTTATAGTAACCCCATCCACTGACTCCTAGAATCTGAGGGTGTCAGAGATGTACCCAGTTAATACACTTTACCAGAGTCTGAGCCCTCTCCTGTGTGCTGTAGCAGCTGACAAAGAGCAGAAACAATCCTAAACCTTGCAGACAGATGTGGGTAACAGAGCCCCACCTGTCTTTAAAGGCCCCAGCAGAACCGCACTTTCTCAGGACATATGATCCCTTGAATGCTTAACACCCCATGACAACAGGGTACCCCAGTCATGAGACAATCAGAAACAAACACCCTCCATTTCCAAGTATGCCTGAGGTGGCAGGGACCCAGCTGACACTTTACTGTGGCCCCGATACAGTGAGAAAGGTCCACCTCATATTCCACCCAGGAACATGGTTTTCTGGACAATACTCTTGGGTCTCAGGGCAGGAAATAGATGATCCACAGTGGGTTTGGTTCAGGAATCTCTAAATATCTGACAGAAAGCCCAGCTCAAAACTACAGGGTAATCATAGACCCTAAGTACTCTCATAATTCCTTGGGGACCAAAGATCCCAAACACCTGCCCAGAAAGAAACATTTCCACTGCCCTTTGGCCAGAGTCCTAGAAAGGTCTAGGGAAAGGCTGACCATACATCAAGTGCTATCCCCAGTAAACCACTTCTTTGCTCTGTGCAACTACAGATACATCCTCCTTTACCACTAGGTACCACTGTAGTGGGATATTCACTTTGTCTCCTTCTATGGCACTGTCCACGCCCATTGGGGGGTGGAATTGGGAAAGGTATGGTTTAGATGGGATATAGGTAGATTAGCCTATCTTCTTGTGAATTATTTAGTAAGAGTAACATAATAACAGCTTACATTGTTATATATTCTTATTTGTGGTAAGCTATGTAAAATTAAGTTTATATTCCCTTCCTGGAAGAATGGTATATTTTGTCATATTGTGTGAAATCTTTCCATCTATGTTTTATGCACATTATTCTTACCATATTCTATGTATGTATACTTTTGCTTGTGTTCCAGACATTTTGTATATTGATATAATTTGGGATATTTATCATGCTGCCCTTTATGGTTCTACCTCTTGTCTAGACATTTCTACTCTACCTCTATTTTAGGGATTTATATGTATGTATATGTACATATTTATATTGTTTAGGTATTTGTCCCTGCTTTACTCAGGGAAGTTTCAATCAGTTTTTTAGCTAAGTTCCTGAGTATTACAAATTATCTTCACTCATGTTTCCTTTACCTATAAGATTAGTCAGACATAGATGCTTAATCTTCTATCACTTCATAGACATGCAGAACATGGCATTTAAATGTTTTAATATTAGTATTCCATTGACATAAGACACTGTTGCACCTGACAGCACCATGCACTTTCCCGAAAATATGTTGGACACTGCTGTTGCTCCTGCTGGAGTCCATTCTTGCCTCAGCTAATGGCCTCTTGGGCAAAGAACTGCCCCCACCTTGACCACTGATTTGGACATGCAGTCCTATGTGCTTGCACAAGACAAATATAGAAGACTGCTGAACCTTGCCAAGTCAGGGTAAGATAGCTTTTCTACCTCCCTGCTGTTGATGTGGTCTGTCAAGTTCTCTTGGCCTTAGCCAAAACTGGGTGTACTAACATTGCTGTGAGACCTAGGGTGACTGTCCAGGTAGCTTGCTGTTTCTGTCCTCGCTGCACCTTTTAGAAGCTGCCTTCCACACTTCCTGTCTACCCTAGTATCGTTATTTTCCTTCTCAGGTCTTGATGAGGTTGAAGATTAAACTATCACAACTATTATTCTCTCTTCCTAGTTAGATATTTTAGGTACTAGACTTACGTTTTCCAGCTTAGGACAACTCTATTGTAAAGTCCGTTATGCCTTCACCCTAGGACTAGATATGTAGGTAGTTTTGTTCTCCGTTTTCCTTTTCTTAGAGCACACTTGTTATTCACTGTTTTGTATAGTTTTGTATCAAGCCAAAATCTTTTCTTTAGACTAAAAGGGGAATTGTAGTGGGATATTCACTTTGTCTCCTTCTCTGGCACTGTCTATGCCCATTGGGTGGATCCAGGGGTGGAAGTGACCTGTGGAACTAGGTCTGAGGAGGGAGGGTGGGGGACGGGGAGAACACTCTCTTGCTGGCAGGATGCGGAGAGGAGAGCATCCGGTGGAACTTGCTGGTGTTCATCTGTCTAGGCTGTAAGTTATTTCTCCCTGAATAAACATCTATTTGGCCTATTTGTTTATCCTGATCCTTATTAAACCACAATATACCACAGATGGGAACAATTTTCAGGCACACCCCTCTGACCTGCAGGCTCCTCCTGTACTGGTGGCTACAGAGGGCCTATGAGCTGAGAACACACAGCTCTCAGTGTCCTGCCAGAGGAGCCTCCAGAAGGCCTCACACAGAGGTTCATTACCACCAGAGTTACTTTTCCATCACAATAACATGATGAAGGTTTCTAGAGGGTCTGAGCCAAGCCTGGATCTGTCATGGCTTAGTCCACCCTGATGAAAGACTATAGAGGAACATGTGAGAACATACAACAATCACAGAGACCAAGAGGTACTCAAAGCCCCACAGACAAGAGAACTAAAGGGCGATTCCGTCTCTCCTCTTTTACTGTAAAAGAACTGTACTTGGGATGGTTTCTCAACCCCTCCCCGTTTCTTTCCTCTTAATTCAGAAACAGGGTCTTGCTGCATAGCACTGTCTGGCCCCAGACTCAATCCTTGAGCTTTAACCAGCTGAGTAAGGTTACTGTAAGCCACTGTCACCATGCCTGACTGTCACTTCTGAATCATAATAAATAAGTAGAGATGGCTACAAAGAGAACCTGCAGTCTCAGGTCTACAGCGCTTACCTGCATTTTCATGCCATCAAGGCCCAGCCTATGGGGATAAGAAAAGATTATGTCAGGGACAATGTGAAAGCTGGAATTCTAGATGTCAATCAGGAGCCACACACAAGCAAAAGAGGACACAGCTCTCCCCTGGGAGCATCCAAAGTCACCTCCCCCTGATGCTGACTTCAGTGCTGCCCAGCTGGGCTCACAAGCACAAGGCCTATACCCAGCAGGAGCAAGACAGAGGTTTACCCAGGGGCACTGGCCTGTGCCAGGGTTAGTAGAAGCTTCTACAGCCAGGTCTACCCTGCTACCCTCATCATACCATACCACCAGAGAAGATGGCCTTTATGAGCTCAAAGCTTCCTGCTATGGTCCCTCGGACAGTCCCGACCTTGGGCTGACAAACCTCTTGTCCACTGGCTTTTCTCACAACTATCTAAGACTAAACCTAGGCTTCCTGGCTTTAACTCTGGGAATCACCCATAGTTACTGCTAGGTAAAAATACCTTCCCAAAGATAATCTAACTGGCACTGCTCCTGATCCCATAAAATACTATCAGAAGTTTGACACCCTGGCACCCCTAACCATATGAGGCATAGGGGCCCAGCATTATAGTTGCTGGGTCCACAGCCAGCACTTGACACCACATCCTAGCCACCACTTAGCCACACTCACCAAAGGTAATCTGGGATCCTAGAGACATGCTCCTGGAAGGCAGAGGAAGATGGCCCATCCACTGACCAACGAACAAGCATGTTGATGGTTTTTGAGATCTGCAGGACATGTGGCCATCAGGACCCAGGCAACTTTACTCTGGGGCAGAGCTTCCTAAGTGCTCTCTATACATTCATGTCCCTAGACTCAAACTGAAGGTAATGTCACTCAAGATGGGCCAGCTTAGGGTGTAACAAAGAAGGACCAAGAGTCCACAGAGAGGAAGAAGGAAGCTCAGTGTATCCAGAGAACTTATGGGCAACCCACCACAGTATAATCACCAATATTATAACCCACATGCTGATTGTCTCCCAGCTATGATGACAGCTTCCTTGCTGGCTCTAGCCAGTATGAGATAACCACCCGGCCTCAGGCATGTATATACTCCTTAGGTCCCAAAGCATGTGCACAGTTGGCCAGGCTAGAGGCCTGGCATCCTCCAGCCACATGGGAGAGACCAGAACTGGGACATGAGGATCCTGCTGTTTTCATTGCATACCTAGGTACCTATAAACCTTATACAAGGGGTATAAGGTGGATTATCTAGGGTGGGATCTGTGAAGGAGTAAGAGGAAAAAACAGCCCCCAACCAGTAGTCTTCCAGGAGGTACCAGGAATCTTAGACAAGAGCCAGGCAGGAGAACAGGAGCCCGGAAAATGAATATAGGTGGTGCTTCAAATACACTGACCCAAACGGAGACTGTGTCAAAATGCAGTAAATAAGCCTGCCTCATTCCTAACACCACAGAGCCTAGCACCTAGGGCATCTGACAGGACCTCACTGCCACCAAAGCTGCTCCAGACACCCGGGGTGGGGGCACTGACCGGGCCAATGCTGATGCTCTTAGTGAACCGGTCATCGGCAGCAATATGTTCATACAGCATTCGGATGGCCCGCTGCCGCAGGCTGGTACTATGGAAACGCTCATACAGGTTGAGGAGTCCTGCAGGGCAGAAGACATCAGTGGCCACTCAGTGACAGGAGAGACACCTGGCATTCCTGGGCTGGCTATGCTCTAGTCCTTCAGATGGGAAAGGGTTCTACACAGTCCCGCATCTGTCCTCTCATGTCCCTTGGGATCCCTCTTCCCACTCACTCTGCTTCCTCCTTCCCATCTAGGAAGGGCTGCTTCACACCTCTCACCATGACCCTGCCCTGCCCAACCTAGGTGATGCTGAGAGGGTACCACCTAACAGCAGCTGGTCCTTGTTGGGGGACCAGAGCAAAGTTATGTCTCCTTAGCTCCCACTCCAGGGCCCAGCACTGAAGCTATTTATTGCATTAATGAATTATGTGGAGGGCTGAGCAACATCTTAACTGTGTGCTACCCAGGCTCCCACAACCCTCAGGAGGCACCCACCATACACCACATGCAGCAGCCAGCTGTGTGGTGTGTACAGCTCATCAGGGGACACGTTGTTCTTCTGTGCTGGCCAATCGATGCTGGCATAATCTTCCACATAGAGCTCCTAAAGGGTAGGGGGTACCTGAGTGCCTAGCAGAAGCAGCAGGCCTGCCTCCCAGACACAGAAGATGGACAAGCGCTAACCAGGAGTAGTATCTAGCTGTACATTCTCAGGGTTCTGGGTTATATCTTTTCTCGGGGGGTGGAGACCAATGAATCATCACTATAGGGTGTAAGACCCAGTTACTGGGGATAATCTGAGGAGTTGGCCCAACCCTAAGAGCCTAAGTCTCACTCTAGTGCAAATCCTGTTCCAAAGTCCATCTTAGGGTTCTTTTCCAAGAACAGTACCTGCAAGCATAGGTTAGGACTACAGATTGTGAACTTTCTAAAACCCACTGGGTCACTTAACTCAGGCAGATGCCTTTCAGGTTCCTGTGAGCAGTTTACCATTTGCTTACAGGAAGGAAGGCAGAGACTCTGCAGGACCCCAGAGTACCAAGATGCATTTGAGCTCTACAGACTGTGTGCCATTTCTTTGTCATAAGGCTTACCTGGCGGAGGCTCTCAACCAGTGGATCCTCTAAGGCACTTAGCCGAGTGGCATAGCAGTAGCTCATGGGCAGATAGACCTGCCGGCAGTGACACCAGAGGGTGGAGGGGTGGGCAGGGAACCATTCAGGAAACAACCTGGAAGAGAGCATGAGTCAGCAGGACAAAAGAACACAAGCCTACACTATTATCAGCCCAGAGGTCTCGGGCCCTTCCAAGCATTGACATTCGTGCTACTCTGAGTGCATCCATCCATGTTTGCATACACTTGCATTCTGCATTCTAATGCCAAATGACTGTGGAGTTTATGCCCCACATATGTGGGGTTGTATGTGAAACCCTGCCATGTAATGATGAAGCCTCTCCAGCCCCAGGCTTTAGCACCCAACTCTACCCTGCCAAAGCTTTCCTCTGCCTGCATCTCCCCAGGCAAGTCTAGCATCTGGCTAGTAGAGCTGCCAATGATTGGATGCTAGAACAATTCTAGTATACTTCCTTACTTTAAGTAACAGTATATCTGCCCTGCCCCACATGGACAGCTCTCTCCACACCCCTCACTGGTTCAGGCATTTGCCACATCTTCCACTTATCACCACTCAACCAGGCTGGAGAGCAAACCCTTTTTGTCCTTGTTTCAAGACCGTGCTGTCTTTCAAGTGGTCCCTCACATCCCATCTATCTGCATTTGAAAGTTACCTGGTACAGGAACCCTAGACTCTGACCTCAGTAGGATAGCAGGCTCTGCCTGAACTCTGTATAGTTTTGGAGAGCTTACCTACCAGTGCGTGTAAATCTATATATGCATTACATATGGGGCCAATGCTTTTATAAGATATTCACAAAAAAAAAGATAAAAACACTGACCATAGGTTTCTGTTAATAAGGAATAGGTATTGATTCTTCTGAGTAAATATTGGGGGGAAAAAAAAAGAAATTTAAAGATGCACACAGAAGTGTTCATTGGTGAAATGATATCTAGGACTTCCCAAACATTTACCACAAATTAGTTAATAAAACAAGATACAGGGGTGGGGAAGGCTCTTTTCTTTACTCCTAAATATTTTCTATGTCTCTGTAATACAGGTATGATCATTTGTCTATCCCCACTAAATACATGCCACACAATGTGTTCTGTAACTACCCTCCAGGGTCCCACAGAGTGCTACAGAGCTGGGTGGTTTGACAGCTTGCTCTTACTTAAAATAGAATCCCTTTCTATATATGTGTAGAACACATGAAGGGCCTCTGGTGAGAGGCTAATCCACCCTATTAGGTCCCGTCAGTCTACAGTGCAATAGGCAGAGGGCAGGCATACCACATCTCAGGGAATAGGGTATTGAGTCCTTCCCAGCTATAAACATTCAGGATGGCCAGCCAGAACTTCCCCCAGGAGGGGATGGCTACCGCACCACCTAGAAAGAGAAAAAGAAAAATTAGCTACCATTACGTGTGAATACTGACTTGCAGCTCTCTCTTCTTGAAGGAAACCCCTTCTTACATGAAATGAGGGTCAGCCTGCCATGGGTCCTGTAACTCCCAGCCAGGAACAAGTATGACCAACCTCAGAAGAGTGTTTTACAGCCCCTACCCCAAGAAGGAACACATGAAAGCAGCTACCTGTGAAGGCAGCTCAGGGAGGGAAGGAAGAGGCCAATGCTTGGCTGCTCTTTCTTCAACCAAGACCAAACTGTGCATCTGTGCATTTCTGATCAGCAGAGAGCCTGGCACAATTAACTGAAGGCAGTCTAACATGTAGCAGCAGATTCAGAGGCGCCCCTGCCCCAACCAAGCAATAGTTAAGTCTTTTGTCCAGCAAGTGGCAACACTGATTTATATACATTGTATGAGTTCTGTCCTAAATCCAAGTGTGTCAAAGTTAAAAAGACTGATAAAGCTACTAGTTGAAGCATGGTGCAAGCACATTCTTCCTCTTGGCAGGACTCAGGACAAGAGAGCAACAGGGAATAGAGAGTAACTTTAAGAGCACATGACCAATAATATCAGAGGTTGACGATGACTTACTTAATCACAACAGGGGCAAACACCTGAAAGAAGATTGGCAGAATTCCATAAGGCATACAGAACACTTCATGTAGCCTGAGAAGTCAGAGAGAAATACTGAAGGAGTGAAATTTAAGATAAATTGTAAGCACAAGGAGGAATTGCCAAGACAGTATGGTGAAGGTAGAAAGCAGGGTGAGAGGCTATTGTGCATGGGAGCCTCAAGGCAGGAAACCACTTTGACAAAATGAAAGGAGGCCCTTGATCATGGAGCAAAGAGCAAGACAGGAGTGCAGGTCACTGAGAGACAGGACACAGGACCACATGGGGAGCTGCAGAACAGCAATGCAAGATAAGCTCTGTTCTAAGAGCAATGGAAGCCACAGAGCCTGCTGAGGGCTGGAACAGTCTTCAAAGCATACAGGTGAGAAGTAACCGTGCCCCGGCTCAGAGATGGTAAATGTGGAGGGGATGAGCAGAGCCCTCAATGGGGATGGTCACCTATAGCTCAGCTGCCTCTAGAAGGCACACTTCATGGATGTTCCACAAGCACTATTATTAGCATGCTGCCTTTAAACCTTTACCAATTCATGAAGAAGCAGAACACAAAATATCAAATTGCTTTAAGCTAAGGATATAATTTAATTGGTAGAGTGCTTCTCTAGCAGGCACAAAGACCTGAGTTCAAACCTCAGCATTACATAAACCAGGCATGGTAGTACATGCCTGTAATCCCAGAACTCAGGAGGAAGCAGGAAGATTAGGAGTTCAAGGCCAACCTTGGCTACATAGTAAGTTCAAGGCTAACCTGGGCTCAATGAGACCTTCCTCCCCTGCAACAAAACCACCACCATAACAAAACCACAACAACACTCAAGTTACAGCTGTGCTAAGTGGGCAAAGAATTGGCCACACAAGCCTGGTAACCTGAGTTTGTTCCATGGAACTCAGATAAAGATGAAAGGAGAAACCTCTACATGTGCACTGTGGCATAAACAAAGGCACGCACGCACGCACGCGTGCTGCAGAGGTCCTGAGTTCAATGACCAGAACCCAAATGGCAGCTAGCAATGGTCTGTATCTGTAACTACAATTCCAGAGGATCTGACACCCTTTTCTAGCCTTCATTGGTACAGTACACAGACTGGCAAAACAGCCATACTCATAAAAATAGATAAACCTCCAGCTGGGCAGTGGTGGCACACACATTCAATCCAGGTTCAATCCAGCATTTGGGAGACAGAGGTAGGTGAATCTCTGAGTTCAAGGCCAGCTGGGTCTACAAAATAAAGTTCCAGAACAGCCTGAGATACACAGAGAAACTGTCTCAAAACACAAAAAAACAAAGCAAAAACAAGTCTTTAAAAATAATTAAAATAAATAATCATTATTATTAATACTAATAATTATTAAACAGCTCAACAATTTCCACCTACTGGTGTTTCCCCCAGTGTTTCAATAGGGGTGCAGCTCCCATTTATAAGAGCTCATTATGTCAGCATGACACAAACCCCACATGCCATATAGGATGTACCTTTTTTGTGAAGAATGTTCCGAGCACGTACAAGGTCAGGATCATCAGGCCCAATACCCAGGATTCTGAGAGCCACATAGTTCAGTGCAGTCCCAAACACTGTGGACTTGTCCTCAACATGCCTAATGGAAATATGAGACTGGTGGGAAAAGGGCGTCTGTCATCTGTCTCTCTTTCTAAGACATAAAACCATACTGGCAGTGAAGTCTGCCTAGAAAAGACTGCTGTAATCCTCCCAACCACATGACAGTACAGAAAGCACACTGTATCGACACCCAGGGAATGTTCATCCACCCAACAGGAGCTATCCCATTTCTCCAAAACCAGCTGAGCAGGGCCTGCCTACAATCTGTTCACAGGTTGAGATGGGTCTGTGGGTCCCCCTACATTTGCTGCCATCTCTGCTGCCTCCACAATTTTAAAAACCGATGGCTTTAACTTGGCATGTTAAAGGAGACTCAAGAGGCTCCCGACCTTGAGACGCATTCACAATATTGGAAATAAAACTGTAGTCAGGCTTCACATAGGTACCAGCCTGCTCTCCTCCTGCCAGACTTCCTCCCACCCCACCCTAGGTCCATGGTTGCAGTTATCCCACTTCTAACAGCTGCCTGGAAACCCAAGCAAGAGCTACATAAGAACATATGCAAGCACACACATGTACATATGTGCAGTTGGGCATACTCACAGGCCCCATCCACCATCAGGAAGCTGTACTGACCGCAGGTACCGCACCATCTCCTCTCTGTATCCAGCTGGCAGAGGGATGTGTGCCACATGACATGTAATCAGGAGACCTGTGTGGTGAGAAGGATGTCCCACATTAGGAATGGGTGTTCAGCACTGCTAAACCCAAGCTCTTCTTAAGGACCTTAATCCTGACACATAGCTGCCCTGTGGCTTTCCTTCCCATGCAATCAAGCCCAGAAAGACCATTCTTCCTAGGACCAGTGACTTTGGAAACACCAGGAAGAATACAGTTAACACTCTCAGGCCAGAGCCTGCAGAGCCCATGTAGTTATTCCTGACACCCATACCATATTCTGGGTCAGAGAAACACTGCAGAGCCTTGAAGAGGCCTCCCACAAGTGTACTGAAGGCCTAAGAAGACCCAGTCCAAGATCAATGGGACCACAAAGGGCAACCAAGTCTTGCTTTAACACCTGCTTGGAATTGAAATACTAAAATGGTAACTAGAACAGGATAATAGCTATTACTTATATTTTACTGCTTCTGTTTTATAAACTTTTTACATGCATGTGCCACTTTGTATATATGGGAGAAACAATAGTATACAAGAAACCTCCATTTCAAGCCTGGTCTTCGGGTGCATAGCTCCTATCTTCATCATCCATAGAAGAGTTCCAAATCATATGCCCATGGCAAATCATAGGAAGGGTATCATAGGGCAGCTACTACAGAAGCAAACTCATATTCTCCTAAGGATTTAGGCGACTGAGATAGACTTAAAATCCAATGAGGAAAAGAGTCTTAATGCATAAACATAGGTTTCTTTAGAGAAACATTGTCAGGATGCAAAAAGTCTTACACAACCAAACTAGATCAAATGCAATCCTGTTACCACTCACCAACCTGGACCTGTGGCTTCCCTGCCAGAACTCCCTCAGTCACCATTTGACAGCGAGTTCGCAAGGGATATTATAGTGTTCAAACTGCACACACACACGGATACCAGCTCCTCAAGTATACCCTTGCCTACCTACAGACCCTGGCACTGACTGGACCTTCTCCCTAGAGTGCCATCTTGCACTGGGATTCAAGAGCACCCATCCCCCTCTCCTAGAGAAGTCTTTGCTTCTGTTATCAGGGTACCCACTGGTCTACCCTGGGCTAACTATGCTTCCCCATCATTTCCTAATCCTGGCAGCAGGGTGACTGGGATACAGGGTCACCTCCCCAGAGCTTTTCCAGTGTGCTGCTGGGTTTTAGCCTGCCTAACCAGGGTAGGTCAAGCCCCTTCCCCACCCCACCCCCAATCCAGAACAACCTTCCCCTTGAGTTAGGATAGCATGGCCCTACCTGGCAAGAGGAAGAGAGGACCACCATAATCACCCGCCCAGTGTCCATCCTCAGCCTGCAGCTTGGCATAAAATGTTACTCCATTCAGGGCCGCCTCTTGGGCTGTTTGAGCTTTAGGTAAGTCTTTGAAATAATTCTTCTGCAAAAGGAAAGAAACAAATGAGAGCTGAGATTGCCTGGTGACCTTAGGAACCCTCCTCATTCACAATCCAAGTCCAAATTGTGGCTCTAATTCACTTTGGATTTTCCCCCCATTATAGCACAGTAACTTTTATTTTATGAATGTCCAGATGGCATTAAAGTTACTTCTGTGTATTCCAATAGGATTTTTGGAAAGATGTGTCAGGCTTTACAAAAGAGAACAAGCCGGGAGGAACTGTACATAAAGTATGGCTTGGTTTTAGGATTGGTGTCTGCTATCTGCAAAGTTTCTAAAACACAAGGAACTGAGAATTTCTCCAAGTATAACCTTCTTTATTTGATTCTATAAAAATAAAGTCTATTTATCATCCATATTACTGATGTTTATGATTGCCTAAGTATACAATGAGAAGAAAGGACAACTGCTGCTTACTGCCAGGCACAGGTTAATAAAATCTGTTTCTGTATGTTTTTTCAATAACTGTCCTCTGGTCTTAAAATAATTCCCTCATTAAGTCATCACATAAATAATTGTATCCTATTAACAAAAGAATCTTCTGAAGCAGGCCTTCCTTTGCATCAAGTAAAGGTCACAGTAAGTGAAGACTGCTATTAAGTAAATAGCAAGTAAATTCAACTCTATAGTAAATGTCTTAATGTGCACACATTGCAGATAGAAATCACTTTAGATTTTTTTAACTGTTCCTCTCTGAAACGAGTCTTCCTTGACACTACCACCCAGAAAAGTAACAAAGCAAATTCATGTTGTCATGATTTACTTTGCAGCCACCAACCTGAAAATTCCTTCAAAACTTCAAAACACCTTAAATAAACATAGCACAGAACACAGGGCAGGACACTGATGCCAAAATGATACTGGGGGGACTTCTCCCTTTCTCAGACAGGGCCCACACCATAGCATAGCGGATCCCAAAGGTTTTCCCAGCTGATAGCCAGGACTCACGGGAAGCCTGTTAGCTAACTGTCTTATGACTAGCTGACTTTCATTCCTGTATGGGTGCACACACCGAGAACACAGAACACAGGTGGAACTTCACCTTGTGAATACAAACAAAATCACGTCCATCTTTGTGATTCTCTTATAAATCAAATATTTTCTCGAAGGAGAGTGCTCAAAATGAAACCAGACTAGGGCAACATCTTCCACGGGTCTCTGGGATGAAGGGACTAAAGCAACAGGGCACTTCAATTCATGTCTCTGGGAGGAGGCACTGCCCCCGAGTCACCACTTTTTGCTGCCCTGCTTTCAGTTTGGGAGACTGAACTTAGGTAAATGTTCAACTGCATCACCACTGATTTTTTTTCTTTGCTTTGTTTTGTTTTTTGCATATATATATATGGTCTCACTACACAGCCATGCCTGGTCTAGATCTTGCTATGTAGACCAGGCTGGCCTCCAACTCAAAGAGATCTGGCTGTCTTAGCCTCCTGAGCACTGGGCCTATAGCGCCACACCCAGCTTCTTTGGTTCCCCCCTCCCCCAGTGGCTGGGATTATAGAGATGTCCCATGCCCAGATTCACACTTCCACACTTACTTCTTTACTTTTAAACTTGCAAATAAATAAAACAGCATACATCAAAATTAACTAGACACAAAGTTTGTTCTAATGAACTTGGCGTTTGAAAAAGAATTATGCACTAATCCACCACCCAGAACAAAAACTCCACGACAGAATTAAAACTAGACAAACAGCTGGCTTTACACCTTCTTTCGTAACTCGTATCCATTACCCGCTCTAAGTTCTTCCTCATTCCCTTATATTTAGCTTTTCTTTGTGTTACACTCCACTCACATGTATACTTGTTTACTAAACAAATGAAGCTTTCTGAACAAGGCTCGATACTATTTCAGGGCTCTGGCTCAGGAAAGACAGGCAGAGGCTGGTCTGTGGTCACTGCCAGGCTTGAGGTGGAATGGTGCTTGCGGGGTCACATCACTTACTGTGTCCAGTCCCAAAGAGTGGGCCTCTAGCCCGGACTGTTCTCGACCAGGGTCGTCCTCCGCTTGGAAATACGTCCATCTCTGCCGACCCAGCTCATTGCGGAGCTGCCAGCGGGTGAGGTCAGTGGCTGGCTCGGTTTTATAGGGTCCCCCTCGACGGCGCAGACACCTGAGCGGATCAGCGACAGTGAGCAGCTTTCGTTAGGCTCCGCCCAGGTGGGGATGCCTGCAACCCAGGCGTGCAGAACCACCCGTCATGTCACCCTGCTTTCCAGGCACCTTCCCTGCCACCGCCCTGCTGCGTCCCTCGCAGCACCCGCGGGACACCCAGGGTCCGGGACTCACGTGCCCTCAGTCATGACAGCAGCGTACTCTGTGCCACCGGCTCGCCAGCGCCTTACCTGACAGCTTAGCGCACTGCGCAGGCGCGAGGCTCGGCCGACCGGAACGGCTGGGTGGGCCGATGCCGGTGCGGCCAATCAGAGCATCATGAGGTGAGCACGACAGACGCACCGCAACCGCAGTGGTTGGGCGCACGCCGCCCCACGCCGCGAGGCTCCCGGGAGGCGGGGCCTGCGGGGGCGGGAAGAGCTCGGGGCGTGGCCTACAGAGAGGGCGTGGCCTTGAGATGCTTGCTCTGGGTGTTGAGTGAGGATGTCTCCAGGGTTGGTGAAGAAACGCTGCTCCCACAGGCCGCGGAAGGCACGGGTCCTTTAGGAGAAGCACCGAGGAGGTGAGAGCGGAAACTAGCGTAGATCCGTGGTCTGCGGGGGCCACGCAGGAAGCCAAGGAGCCACGACAGGATGGTACCACCATGGGGTAGGGGCTTTGACTCTGTTGAAGGGAGGAGGAAACTATGATTGAGAAGGCAAGGGCGGTTTTCTTGGAAACTATGCACAGGTTTCTGATAGGGACTAGCTGAAGGGCTGGTCAAGGCTGGCAAGGCAGCCTGGACTTCCTGACTGCCAATAGCGGGTGAACCTCTACCTTCCTAGCCACACAGCTACCCGGGGATACCGGGGCTTGGGGGTCCCACTAATTAAAGGAGGAAAGCCTTGATTCTGTTTGAAAGTAGGGCGGGAAGCAGGAAAGCCTGTGGTGTACAGACCGAAACTAATAGTGAGGAACATTGGAGAAATGGAGAAGACTTGAGAAGTAAGTGTTGCTGGTATGCAGGGACAGCCAGAGTACTGAAGACAGAGGTCCAAGAACCCACAGCAGCTGGTTATGGCTTCATCTGGTTTACAGAGTGCAAACTTTGTTACAGCTACCCAAACCAGAAAATCTCCAGCACCCTGGTGAAACACTACCCTTGTGAAACTTCAAGGGGCCATGGACACAAGTCAGAGGAAGAAGTTGGAGGCAGAGAACACCTACGCACCTTCCCACGATGGGATCTTGGAGTTTTAGATGGCTATCCAAGAACACTAACCTCTTCTTAGCCCAGCTTAGAAACTGCTAAAGATACAAGATGAGTAGGCATCATATGAAAGCCTTGCCAAGGCAGTTGGTTTGGAGAGATGGTCCAGTGATTAACAGTGCCTGCTGCTCTCTAAGAGGAACTGGAACTGGTTTCTAACACCCACATGGTAGCTCACAACCATCTACAACTCCAGTTCCAAGGAATCTTATGCTGGGCACCAGGCATGAAAGTGATGCACATACATACATGCCAGCAAAGCACCCATACACATAAAATGAATCTTTTAAAAATCAAAATAGAAAAGTCGGTCTGGAGGGCAAGGCTTGAAGGCAAGCAGAACTACCTAACTCCATCATAATGCCTGCCTTACCCTTACACGTCTCAGGTGGTCTAGGTGAACAACTAGAACTTTGGGTAGTTGACCCACCAAGGACCATGTAAGCACAGTGTGCCAATGAGAAGACCCCAAAAGTGTTGCTCAGGGAAGCCTAGCATCCTGGACCCTGTTTGTTCTCCCAAGTTCACTAAATAAGGTCCTCTGTTTCCCTGGAACAGAAAGAATCTGAAACTTTTTCCAGGGAAGTCCTTCTATGTTAAAACATGAAAAGTAGGAAGGAAGAATTCTGGTTGATTCAGAACCCGCATGGAAGGAGAAAATGGCAAGTTTCCCCTTAGTTTCCTCTGTTGGCAGAATTGTTTGGGAAAGATTAGGAGGTATGGCCTTGTTGGAGGAAGTATGCCACTGGGGGCGAACTTTGAGGTTTCCAGGACCAGCCCATTCCCAGTTAGCTCTCTGACTCCTGCTTGTGGATCAAGATGTGAGCTCTCAGCTACTGCTCTAGTGCCTGCTTGCCTGCCTGCTGCTATACTTCCTGCTATGATGCCATGGACTCCAAGCCCTCTAAAAGCCCCAGATAAATGATTTCTTTTATAAGTTGCCTGTGTCATGCATGGTGTCTCATTACAGCAATAGAAAAATAAGACACAATAAATAAATGCTTTAAAAAATAGCAAAGGTTTATTGATAAACAAGTGACTCGCCTGGGGTGAGGGGGTGGGGGTGGGTTGGCGCTTGGTGAGATGTCTCAGCAGATGAAAGCACTTGCTACACAAGCTAACAACCTGAATGTGATCCCTCAAACCCCTATAAGGCAGAAAGCAGTGGTGTGTGTAAATCCTGGCACCCCTATCATGAGATTGGAGATGGAAAGATTTCCTGGAAGGAACTGGAGTGGTTAAGAGCACTAGCTGCTCTTCTAGAGGACCTGGGTATATAATTCCAGTTCCAGGAGATTCCACACCCTCTTCTGGCCTCTTTGGGCATTAAGCATACACGTGGTACATGCAGGCAAAATGATCAAAGACAGAATGAAATACATATAAAAATAAAAAATAAATAAAGAAGAATTGGCTGGAAGCTCAAGAAGAGTCAGTTAGCCTGGAATACTGTACAGCCTCACAGATGAGGGCCCCTGTGAGAACTGGCTCCTGAAAGTTGTTCTGAGCTATTCATGGCCACAAGTATACACACTTTTGTACACTCGTGCACACATGTGCCAGCAATGTGGCTCAATGGGTAAAGGTGCTTGCCTTCAAGCCTGATACTTGCAGTTCAGTTCCCAGACCCCCATATGGTGGAGGAAAAGAACTGAGCCTGAGAAATTGTCCTATGATGTGCTGCTGCCACACATGTATGGATCAGAGGGAACCTGACCTCCGCATGTACACTGTAGCACACGGTTGCCCATACATTTACAGACAAAATGTAAACTCATTAAAATACATACGATATAAAAGCTTTAAAGCCTAAAGATGTAGTGTGTGCCTGGCGAAGAGAGACTCCCTGGCGGTTTGGATAGTTAGATAAGCTTTCTTCTTAGTGTTTTTGTTCTCAGTGAACTAAAAAAGAACCAGGTGTGTAGGGTCCTGCAGGGACCCCCACCCCAGCACCTGGAGCAAACCTGAGCTGTTGGCTAGAACATTCTGCAACTTTAGCTGGAACATGTTGTGCCACGAACCACCCCAGCCAGGTATGGGGGTCCCTTGGATGAGGCTTCTTAAAGACTAGGTGGGTAAGGATTTGGCAGAGACAAACAGAAACAAACACAGAGGCAGTTTGAATCTGAGTGTATTTTGCAGCATTCAAGCCAGGCTTTTTATCCAGGATAAAGAATAGCTTCTCAGAGATTGTGTTCACTGAAGCAAATCCAGACAGAACAATAACATTGTTGTTAGGCACAGTAACATACAACTTATCCAAGGCTAACAATAAATCAGAAAACCATTCAAGGCTAACCACAACTAATCACCCATTTTCTAAGATCAAGTTAATTATTTTTTTATGGTCAGTTATTGTTTAGCATTTGTTGCCTAGGTGTTGTGAATCTTTGAAATATTTAACTATTTTGACTTTTTTATCGACTTTCTTTACAAAATGTATAAATCTACTCTCAATTACACATGTACAGCCATATGCAGTTTTATTGATGGGAAAGTTTTCATCAATACTATTTGTACTTATGTGAGTGACGTGAATGATTTGAAAAGTGCTGGATTTCCTGAAGACAAGGTCATGGTCAGTGACCACGTCTCGGGATAGTTTCTCATTTGTATCTTTTGTTTAAAATGTCAACGTTGGCTTTCAGGAACATTTCGTTAATATGAGAAAAGAACAGAAGTGCACAGATTGCCATGAGAACTATGGCTCAATACTTTTCTCCAGCCAAGAGTTCCACAACCGGTTTCAAGAGACTTCCTTCTTTTGAAGTTATCACCTCAGTCTGTGGAACTTGTTACACAGAATCTACTGGATTTGGTGTGGCAATCTTGCCCCAGAGTTATTATTGGTATATTGATACTCTTCTTGATTTGCTAACACACTTCTGCTGGGGAGGAATTAAGCCTGAGAACTTGCACTCTTTGGTTTTTTTTCAAGACAGGGTTTCTCTATACTGTTTTGGAGCCTGTCCTGGAACTAGCTCTGTAGACCAGGCTGGCCTTGAACTCACAGTGTTGGGATTAAAGGTGTGCAGTAGCAATGCCCAGTGAGAACTTGCACTCTTGACCCTGGATTGTTTTCCACTGTGCTGTCAGTATGTCAGTTCCTTCCCCTCAATAAACAACATTCCTGTTACACGAATGGCCTGCTGTCTTGTCTTTTACTCAAATCTCTAGGCCTTCGCCCCATATTGGAAGATTATAGCTTGGGTGCTAAACAGGTGTAGTTCATCATGTACATCAGAGGTTTGAAGAGGGCCAGACATTAAATACTCTCCTTGAAAATGGGGGCTATATGATGACAATCTGGAAATGCTTAGTACACAGTTTAAGAAAGGTGAGCATCACCAAGTTTATTAATACTTCCTTCCCTTCCTTGAAAAATGCCATTTTATATATGGGATGGGTGTTCTCATTCATGTAGTGCACCGCATGCATGGTGGCTGCAGAGGTCAGGAGAGGGTGCCAGGTCTCCTGGAAATGGAGTTCTGGATGTTGTAAGCCACCATGTGGGTGCTGGAAACCAAAATCAGGTCTTCTGCAAGAATAACTAACTGTTCCTTTTCTCTCACGAGTGTTCTTAACTGCCAAGCCATCTCTTCCACATGCCTTTTGTTTGTTTGTTTGCTTGTGTTTTTTTTGGGGGGGGGGGTGGGGAGGAGACAAGGTTTCTCTGCGTAACATCTCTGACTGTCCTGGGAACTTGCTCTATAGTAGACCAGGCTGGCCTCGAACTTTGAGATCCACCTCCTTCTACCTGCTAAGTGCCAAGATTAAAGGCATGCACCGCCTCTGCATGGCTTCCACATGTTTTTTAAGAGTAACGGGGAGCAGGTCACTTCTGCCTGGTATTCTCCCACAACTGATTCCCATGGCCCTCTGAATACAGTCTGAGTGGGCTGGCCTGTTCCTTTCATTTGGCCACACAACCAATCAGTGCATTTAGACTTTCATCATACCCTCATGTATACTATACCCTCAAAACAACCTGCCCACATTAAACTGTGTACCTGTACACATCTTCCAAGATGCATGTATGTATGTGTCTTGTTAGGGTTTCTGTTGCTGTGAAGAGACTCCATGACCATGACAACTCTTATAATGGAAAACCGGGCTATCTTATATTTTCAGAGGTTTAGTTCATTATTATCATATGGGGACATGGCGGTGTGCAGCAGACATGGAGCTGGAAGAGGAGTTGAAAATCCTACAACTTAATTTTCCAGTAACAGGAAGTAGCCTGAGACACTCAAAAGCCTACCCTCACAGAGCCATTCCCTCCAACAGAGCCACACCTCCTAGTAGTGCCACTGCCTCCTAATAGTGATACTTCCTTTGAGGGTTACTTTTCTTCAAGCCACCACAGTATGTATGTATGTATGTATGTATGTATGTATGTATGTATGTATGTATAGGTCTGTTGGCTCTCCTGATGAGCAGAGTTGATCTAGTCCAGGCATTTCTGATGTCCACATCAGGCAAAGCGACTTCACTAAGAGTCAATCAAGAGAGGGAAAATCAGTTTTCTCCAGGAACTAGACCTGTAATAGGTTCTCCAATTCCAAATGGTCAGTCCTAAACACATACACTTATCAGCAATATTAAATGAACTCAGTAGATTGTATGTATGTGTGATATATATATATATCACACATACATACACACACACACATATATAAACACAACAATTATAGGATATTAGGTCATGAATTCCAGAAATGATGTATTATATAGTATACTTATACATGCAATTTTCCAAATGTATATGTATAGAAAACAAAACAAAACTTCCTCAGGGTATTTTCTGGGGAGTGACAGTCTAAGACCACAAAACAAATACTATTAAAGACATCATACAGCCTTTCATTCAAAAACTAAGATCTCAGATGATTCAAATAGTTTATTTGCATAATTGGTAATATTTTCCACAGGACACCAAGTATCTGAGCACAGCATAATTTGAATAAAAACAAACCATTAAAAAGAAAACAACACTCCTCGTGTCAGACTGTTCAAATGTCCACCATGTCCAGCAGTGCAGAAAGATGGAGCTCAGAGACAACTTCTTCTTCCCTTGAACTTTGGATCAGCCTTTCCAGGTGCTTCAGCCTTCCAGTCAGAGACGTGTCTGATACCTCTGAGAACTGCAATTGCTCTCCTGCCCCTGCATTCTAGTTGAATAACAAAGAAGCCAAAAGTAATCATCTGGGAAGGCATTACATCATGTTTACATCATTTGGAATTTCCCAAGACTCAACAGACGCCCCCTTTGGTATCCATCCTACATATTTCCAGCTTCATCTACTACACATATAGAGCCAGAATATTCTGCATACTGAAATTGCTTAACCAGATTTCTACCTTGGACATTTGTTGAATATATATATATATATATATATAATAATCAATACCACAGTGAAAAACTTGTATATTAAATTTTGTAACAATCTGGCAATTTCTTTAGAGAGAATTAGTCAAAGAGTATAATTTTTTTTTTTTTGGCGGGGAGGCTTGAATGTAGCTCGGAATAGCCTCAGACTTGCTATGTAGTAGAGGCTGGCCTTGATGCTTCCATCTCCAAAGTGCTGGGGTAAAGTGTATACCTCCATGTTTCACAGTAAGTACAAGAGAAGACTATTTTAAAGTATTAACCAAATTTACAAGTGGGAACAGCACGTTGCCTTAATTTACCTTCCTCCTTATTGACAGGCTTCCTACACCACCCCAGAAACACCTCACCTGCCCTGAGCATGTACCTTCAGTTAAACTGCTTCTGCTTCCTTAGCACCCAAGAAAAACATGGAGAGGCTTTGAAGTCCAGAAGATCTGGCTTTGAAAAAACTATTCTAGGATATAATTAACTTCTGTTAGCTTACTGCATTCACTTATTCAGTTTCCCTAGGAAAAGTTAGGACCAGGATTGAGTCTAGTCAATGACATAGTTCAAACAGTTATGTGGTTCCACGGACAGGAGTTTTCTCCTGCCTATGCTGTCTGGTTTTAAGCTACTGTTATTATGGAAGAGGGGACTTCACCTGAGAAAATGTCCCTCCAAGACTGTTCTAAAAGCAAGCCTGTAGGACATTTTCTTATTTAGTGATTGGTGTGGGAGGGTTCAGGTTATTGTGGGTGGGGCCACCCCTGGACTGGTGGTCCTGGGTTCTTTAATGAAGCAAGGACAGAGCAAGTCATGGAAGCAAGCCAGTTACTTCTGAGCAATGGCTATTCCCTCAAGGTTCCTGCCCTGTTTGAGTTCCTGCTGATTACCTTGGATGATGGACTACAACTGAAGAGGAATTACACACCCCCCCAATTGCTGGTGGGCATGGTATTTTATGACAGCAATAGAAACCCTAATTAAGAAGTTACCAGGCCTTGGGGTGTTGCTGGGACAGACATAACCTTGTATTTTTGAAGGACTGTGGAAATACTCTGGAACTTTCAACTAGAAAAGCCTTTGAGTGTTCAGAGTTTAATGAACAGCTTCAGGAACTTGGATAATGCAGAGAGTAATGCAGATAATGAAGGCCTGGCTTGTGACGTTTGAGAGGGAAGTGTGTGAGTCCTTTCAAAGACTCTTTAGGGTTCTTCGTATGATAAAATGAAATCTCTGCTTTGCTGGGACAGTGGATGCTGTCAGCTGGGGCTGTGAATCAGCTGTGATTAATTAAGAAGAGACCAGCATCATTGAGGTGAAAATCTGGGAATTGTTTCCTCAGGATCAGCACTCCTGTGGTCCAGAGGGAGCTGAGGCTGCATCTCACGTTGGCAGCTGAATCCGGTAGTGTCTCCCTCTCCCAGGTTGTGCTGGTTTTGAAGGTATGAAGGGGTCATGAGGAGCAGCTGAGGCTTATTAGCACTGTGAGATGCCAGGCCAGGCCAGGCAATGGGTGCTCTCAACCATGGTAGAGGGCCCGGGAGTGAAGGGGTTCTGGTGAGGTAAGGCTTGGCACCATGTGGCAGGCTTAAAGTCCCTGAAGATAGCCCAAGAGAAATAAGTGATGGGAGATGTCATTCTGTAAGAAGTTATGGGTGAAGCAGCAGCCCAGCTCCACTGGAGACCCAGGCTCTGCGGCGATGACCACCAGGGCGGCAGCTGGAGAGTGGAGGCAGCCTGAGTCTACAAAACAAGCTGCATATATGTGCTGTAGACAGCTGGCCAAGAATTCCCAAGGAGCCCAGATGCTGAGTGAATGCCAGAAGTCTGACAGGGAGCTTTACCCTGTCATCTGACCATTATGACTGTGTCCCTACTCTTCCTTCCTGGAATAAGGAAGCATGTAACTTATTTCTTATTCTGCAAGTGCTCACAGTTGAGAGACTTTTAACTTTCAAAGAGACTGCGCTATTTTAGGGATTGGATATTTATAGAAACTGGGTGTTTTAGAGAGATTCTGGATATTTTAAAGAGCCTTTGGATATTTTAAAGAGACAGAACTTTTAATGTGTTTAAAAATGTTAAAATGTTTTTTTTTGGGGGGGGTTGTTTTTTTTTCTAGACAAGGTTTCTCTATGTAGCTCTGGCTGTCCTGGAATTTTGTACACCAGGTTGGCCTAGAACTTAGAGATCTACCTTCCTCTGCATGCACCACCACCACCTGGCAAGTGTTTAAACTGTTAAAGACCGTGAAACTTCTCAAAGTTGACATGTTTTAAACTGTGGTATTAATATTAACATACAGTCTTGGTTTGGGACAAATCAAAGAGGAAAGGACCTGGTTGAATAGGAGTATATTTGTGTCAAGCTGATAAATGGTCAATCATGCTGACTATTTTATGTCAATTTAACATAATCTAGCCAATTTTGGAGGAAGGAACCTCCTCCAAACTGAGAAAATGTCCCCATCACATTGGCCTGCTATACATTTTCTAGACTGATGGGTGAGGGTCCAGCTCACTGTGGGTGGTGCCATCCCTGGCCTGGTGATCCTGGGTGCTATCAGCAAGCAAGCTGAATAAACCAGGAGCAAGCTGGTGAGCAGCACTTGCACATGGCCTCTGTATCAGTTCCTGCCTCCAGGTTCCTTCCCTGACGGCCTCTGCTGATGGACTGTGATGTGGAAGTGAAGGAAGCCCTTTCCTCTCCGAGTCACTGTTGGTTGTGGTGCCTTACCAGCTACAGGAAAGCAGCCTGGACACTGCTGCAGTTACTCTCTCTGTTTAACGCATGTCAGCACAAGTATGATTTGCTCAGTTCTTCCTTTTTTGTTTTGTACTTTCTTTCAGTGAACTATGTAGCTAAGGATGACCCTGATTTTAGGTATACAGTTTATTCAGCAATAGGGATTGAACCCAAGGCTTTCTACATGTTAGGGAAGCACTCTACCAACTGAGCTACAATTCTAACCCTGTATTCAGTTGGGTTTTTTTTTTTTTTTTTTTTTTTTTTTTTTTTTTTACTGTGTTTAGGTCCACTCTCCATTTATTTCACAGGCAGGACCTCAGAAATAGTTAGGTAAGTCTCAGTAACACTGGCATATCAAGTTTTAAAGATCTGACTTCCATGAATCTAACACACTGTCCCAGTCTTACTGTGTAGCCCAGGCTGGCCTGAAGCTCACTATGTAGACCAGCTGGCCTCACTCTTGGAATGCTGGGACTAAAGGTGTGGTCCCATGAGGCTGGCTCTCAGTCTTTAATTCTGTACATGCCAAGTGTACTAGTCTCACCTGAGGACTTCTTGTCGTCGATGTTTTCACTACAGTCTGAGTCTGGATAGTGTCAGGGAAAGATATGAGTGTCTGAGGAAGGTAGAGAGGAAGGCAAGTTGACTCTGTGAATGCCTGTGAGTCTTGAGATAACCACTGCTGAAGTTGATCTTCAAACCTGAAACAGTATGAGATTTCACAATGAGAAACATTAGGGCACTGAAAAGCAAAACCTCAACTACCTTTTCCTTTTATTTAACTTATTGTTCTGTGTGTCCGTGAACATATGTGGGTCAGCAGATATCTGTGTGCAATTTCTGGATTTATTACAAGACTGACAGTATGTAACTACTCGTGTAACTGGATGAAATTGTGGAGGAGTGGGCTAGGCACATAAGAAGCGTAGATGAAGTCCAGAGAGTGGGTCTGGCTGCTAAAGAAGAATGGGAAAATCCTTGATGGGGATGAGAAGCTAGGGTGCGATCACTGACAGGGACAGGGCTCATGCCCTGATTCAAGTGTGCAGGCTGCAAAAGACAGAAGGGACGGAGCAATGACTAATAAAGCTGTTTTTATTAAAGAGTTTACTACTGAAGGAGAAGCACGCAGTGGTGACGGGAGAGAAGGCAAGGCCACATCAGAAAGATGTGTCAGTGTGCCTACAGTTTGTGTGCTGACATGTACGATCCAGCGGAGGGAAGGGCGATGTCTCAAGAGAGCCAATGGGCTGAGTGAGTAGGCTGGAGGTGAAATTGCAACCCAGGGGGTGAGCTTTCAACTTCAGATGGAATGCTCCTTCCAGAAACAGCAGGAGAGTATAGCAGGGATACATGACAGACCCAGCTGCTGCAAAGTGTGGCAGGCAGTGGTGGTGGAAGATAACCTTTACAAACTTCTATCTCCCAGTTCTTTTTCTCAGTAAAAAATGACCGTCCAGTAAGGACAGAAGAGGGCAGTACAAGAGGACGGGAAGTGAGTTATACAGATGAGCGTCTGTACCAGCTCCTGCCCACCTAGGATGCAATGATCCACTGAAGCTGCAGGCTCCCCAAGGGCCAAAAGGCATGGCCAGCCATGGTAGACTAAGCTAAGGAGACTCAGCTACACATATTTTTCTCTAGAAAACATAGACTTTTAAAATAATAAACAATGAAGCCAATTCCAGATGAAAAAACTTAGAAACATTCTATCTAGAGTATAGTCATCTTTTAAGAGCTTATACTTTTTAAAAATTATTTGTCTCTTAGCTCGAGTGTTAGCATGATGAAGAGAGATTGGAGGAGGTGGGGTGGTGGTGGGGGTGGTGGCCATGGCAGCGCACACCTTTAATCCCAGCATCTGGGAGGCAGAGGCAGGCAAATCTCTATGAGTTCAAGGCCAGCCTGGTCTACAGTGCAAATTCCAAGACAGCTAGTTATTAGTTACATAAAGAAACCCTGTCTTGAAAAAGTAAAATTATTTTTAGTTATGTATAGGTGTCTGTCTGTCTGTCTGTGTGTGTGTGTGTGTTGCGCGCACACACACATCTGAGAGTACACGAGTGTTCAGAGAAGTCAGATGTGTCAGATCCTGTGCAGCTAGAGTTACAGATGGTTATGAGCCATCTGATGTGGATGTGGCTACCAAAACTGGGTCCTCTGGAAAAGCAGCAAGTGCTCTTAACCTCTGAGCCATCTTTCTAGTCCCAAGCTTTTACTTTATAAATGTCTTCCTGGGGTTGGAGACATGACTCAGTGGTTAAGAGCACTGACTGCTCTTCCGGAGGACCAGGGTTCAATTCCCAGCACCCACATGGCAGCTCACAACTGTCTGTAATTCCAGGACTACCACCCTCACATAGATGTACATTCAGACAAAACACCAATGCACACAAAATAAAAAATGAATAAATTTTTAAAAGTCTTCCTTCCTTCTTTAAAAATAGTCTCATCATCATAGCCCTCGCTGGCCCAACTGCTCCTCTCTACCACTGGCTATCTTGACTTCACAGAGTGAGTCTCCCCCTCCTGCACGAAGTGGAATGAACAGTGCACATGCACAGAGAGGGGACAAACTCACCTTTTGTTCTCTTCCTTCTCCTCCAGCAGACTGCTGGACAGACACTGTGCCAGGAGCTCTTCCGCAGACGCTCCACGCATCAGATCCTCCGTACACAGAGTCCTCTCTCGACCACTCTCATTTTTCTTCCCCTTATGGTGCACGTGGAGCAGTGGAGTAGGAAAACTGCTTGGAGACGGATGAAAAGACTTTGTCCCGGAACTGAAAACACAGGGTGGAAGTTCTTACGGTCAAGAAAGATGCAAAGCACACAGACACAGCTGGACACGTGCACTTTATCGGTGCTTTATGCTCATGTCAGCCTGTACCTGCTCTGGTATTCAAGTAAGAATATGTCAACAATAGACAGCAGCTCTGATACTATGTGCTATACAGTGATTCTCATACATATCAAGAGACACCGCTGAGCTGACATGGTGGCGTGTGCTTTTAGTCCCACTTGGGAAGCAGAGACAGAGACAGACAGATTTCTCTGTGTTCAAAGTCAGCCTGGTCTACAAAATGAGTTCCAGGCCAGCCATGGTTACGTGGTGAGACCCTGCTTAAAAAACAAAAAGTGAGAAAGAGAGACTATTGCTTTAAAAAAATTCCACTATCTAGAGCCCAGAGGCACTGGGCTCTCAGAGCTGCTTCAGTCTAGGGCTTTGTTTCTTAGACCAGGCAGCCAGTCAGTCAGTATGTCTCTCTTTCTCTCTCATGTGTGTTTTAAGATTTATTTTATGTATATGTATGTTGGCCTGTGTTGAGTTTATGTGGTACGACAAACATGCAGGAAACACGGAGGCCAGAAGATGACATCAAATCCCTAAGAACTGGCATTCCAGGTGTTTGGGGACCACTATGGGCACTGGAAGTCAAACTTGAGTCCTCCAGAAGAGCAACTAATACTCTTAACTTTGGAGCCATCTGTTCAGCTCCGTATACTGAGGTTATAAGCACATCTTTCTTTAAGATTTATTTTATGTGTATGAGTGTTTGGCCTAAGTTATATATGTATGTATGTATGTATGTATGTATGCATGTATGTATACCACATATGTGCCTGGTGGAGTTCAGAAGAGAGTACAGACCCTTGGAACTGAAGTTATGGGTGGTTGTGAGCCACCATGTGGGTGGGTGCTGGGAATCAAACTGGATCCTCTGCAAGATCAAGTATTCTTAACCACTGTTAGTGACAACATGGACAGCACAGGCTGGTTCTGGCTTTCATGTCTAATGTTTTACTGAAGGACATGATTTTGTTGTTGTTGCTTTTATTTTACTGGGGTGTGTTTGTTTTGTTAGCTTTATGGTAGGTAGCTGTGGTGGCTCATTTGTCTGAAATAACGCAGGACCCTCTGGGAAGAGAGGCTCATGAGGGACTGTCTAGAGCAAGCAGGTCTGCAGACATGTCTGTGGAGTATTGACTCCATCGGTGGCTGTGGGAAGACACAGCTCACTGTGTGCTGCACCATTCTCTACTAAGGGAATCAAGCATGTCTACATGTACTCTTTGTTCTTGACTGTGACTAGCCGCTTCAAGTTCCTGCTCTGAGTTCCCCAAGTGATAAACTGTAACCTGGAATAGGAAGTTAAGATGATCCCTTTCTCCAAGTTCCTTCTGTCAGAGTTTTCCCATAGCAATAGACATGAAACTAAGAGAGTAAGCAGCCTAGTGTCATGGTGCACGCGTAGAGGACAGAGAGCAATTCTGTGGAGTCAGTTCTCTACTTCCAACTTTAAGTGGACAGCAGGGCTCAAACTCAGGCTGCCAGGCTTACCCAGCAAGAACCATCACCTGCTGAGCCATCTCTCTGACCCCGAGCTTAAGTCTAAAGTTCATTTTGGGAGCTACAGAGAAGAGTCAGCAGTTGATAGCACTGGCTGCTCTTCCAAAGAACCCAGGTTCTATTCCTAGCACCTGAGTTCACAATTGTCTGTAACTTCTAGGAAATACAAAGGTGGCATGCAAGTGGTGCATTGCTATACATGTAGGCAAAACATCCATACATACGAAATAAGTAAAAACTGGAAAATATTATTTCAACATTTAACTGAAATGACCACCTGCTTCTCTACTGTAGCAGCAAATTTTATTAATAGATTTCTACTGCTGATACTGTTTATCCTGGAACAAAGGCTACTTGAATCTTTTTAGGTGTGGCAAGACCATGGATGCTAAGACATCATTTGGTGTCTGTGAATTAGGTCTATGAGATGAGAAACCAGCTTTTTTTTTTTTTTTTTTTTTTTTTTTTTTTTAAATCTGCTTTCTCCAATTAGGATTGACCTGAGCTCATTTGATAAATGGAGGGAGATACCTGTAACTGCTCTAAAAAGTGTCTATGCTATGGGAATGACTTGTGCTTTGCAGAGTTATCAGAACTGGTTTGTAACAGGTTTATTGTTCTAGATGTGGTACAATATGACTTAGAACAGTGACAGAAACACACAATGAACATGGACCTCACCGTCTTTGACTCAGCTGCAGTCCCCTCTGTGTCTGTATTCTGGCTTGTTCCCATGACAAGGGAACATCATATTTCCTTAAACGATTTTTGAAAAAATATACACATATCTGACCATCTTCACTCAGTGCCTCTGAGAAAATACAAAAACAGATTTAAAATGTATATAAATATACATACATATGTATATTCATTCATGCAGACTGGAAGGGTCCTCTAAGAGATAACCTAGGAAATCCATTTCAGGGAAGGGAGTTTGCTCTCCTAGAAGCCTTTGTTTTGCTTTTTTTTTTTTTTTTTTTTTTTTTTTTTTTTTTTTAAGACAGCTGGCCTAGAACTCACTCTATAAATCAGGTTGGCCTTAAACTCAGAGATCTGCCTACCTCTGCCTCCCAAGTGCTGAAACTAAAGGTGTGTACTACTACACTCAGCATTGTTTTTGTTTTTTGAGACAGGATGTCTCTACATGGTCTTTGATGTCCTATAATTTGCTATGTAGACCATGCTAGCCTCAAACTCACAGAGATCCTCCTGAGTGTTGGGATTAAAGACATGGACCAGCATGCCCAGTCAAACCTTAGCTCTCACCCAAGTTAAGTCACCTAGAAATCACTGACCTTAAAGGGAAGTGCTAAGGAAAGGGAAGATCGTGCATAGGGAAAAGAATCAGTGTCAAGAAAACACCTTTCAGCCAGGAATGGTGATGCATGCCTTTAATTGCAGAAGCAAGTGGATCTGAGTTTGAGACCAGCCCAGTCTACCTACTTAGTGAGTTCCTGGCTTGCCAGAGCTACGCAGTGAGATCCTAATTAGAAAACAAACAAAACCTTAACTCTCTCTTTTGTTAAAATTAGACCAGGAAAAATCTCATGAAGACCCAGCCCCCACAGCACTGAGTGGCAACTACCTGCTGTGATGGGGAGCCTGGGGGGTGTCCAGTCACTCAGCTTGTGATTGATGCATAAGGTGATGATGTCATCCCACGGGATCTCAGCAACTGAAGGCCCTGACTCCTGGTCTGCAGAGAGGTTCTTGCTCTTCCACTTCTGGTAGGTTCTGCACAGCAGGTTCTCCACTTGGGACTGCAAGACAGGCTGTGTCTGGTGTGAGCTGGGAATCTGTGAGGTATATTGAATGACCATGGAACACACAGGGAGCCAGGGCGCTGCAGAGAAAGTTACAGGTTTGACCAAGGGTCAGTGAACATGAAATATTATTTACGCTGTGCTTCCTCAGTAACGGGCTATTCTAGTGTTAAGACATAGTGAGAATATGCATGTAAGGCTACAAGCTCTGCCAGCTAAATAGCAAATTGGCTCCCTCCTTCTCAGTACCATTAACTAGGAAAGAAGAGCCCTTGCTTCAGCCAGCCTGAGCTACCTGTGGATTCAACATCAAAGGGACCACAGGCCTCAGCCCAGAGGCACAGTAGGCACAGTGAGGCTGTGATAGAACATTGACATAAACTAGCACGTAAGTGCTGTGGCCCCAGCAGGGTCAGCAGCTCAGACAGTCACATAAGCCTCCTGTCCTGCATCTCAGCTAACCCCTGCATCTCAGCTAACCCATCTCTTCTGGTAGGTGGGACCTGTGGGATAGGTGGGATAGCCTCGGGACTGTCAGGGAAAGGACAACAGCTCCTACTCCACAAAACCCAAAGTTGGTGTACGTATGCACTGTGAACTTCACACTAGAACCCACCTCCTGGTATAGTGCCACTAAAACAAGACAGGAACTCCTCCCTCAGAGTGGTACTTACCCCCCGCAGGTGGAAGGTCCATCTGTGGAAGCTGGAACCCAAGCACAGCTTGCTTCAGCCAAGCTAGATGCTCTGGTGAGTTCCAGTGCAGATGAGGAAGCAGCTGGCTACCCCCCACCTCAGCAAACTCTGTGACAGGCCAGGAGATGTCGCACAGCTGCTCAGAGGACACCACAGAGGCCAGGAACTGCAGCACACTATTAAACAACTCAATAATGGTGCTAGGCTCTTGGGAGGCCAGACCACCCAGCCGCCTTTCTCTTCTGTCATGGAAAAACCGACCACTGAACTCACGGCTGATCCCATCCTCAACATACTGAATCAGGGTCTGGCAGCAAAGGTCTAGGGTTTGAGGGCATCGGGAGAGCAGCCACTGAACTGCTCCAGAAACCTGAGGAACAAGACAATTGGGAGAGACGTAGTCAAACAGTTCGCAATCATTCTAAAAAGCAGTTTTCTAAAGGGGCTTAGCAGTCTTCCCATGGCGGTAGAAGAAAAGTGCCACGAGAACAAAATCTCAGTCACTGCAGGAAAGGGGCACAAGCCCTCTGTGCTTGTGTGTGGATTTCTAGAGCCCTGGAGATACGCCTCACAGAGGTACCAGAGAGGAGTCTCATGAGTGTTATCCAACCAGTAAGTGGAGCCTGCAGAGGCCTCCTAGAAGGGCCTAGAGCCTTCTGAGGTCTTCCTTCACCCCCTGAAGCAGAGCCACACCACCTTATTCCTAGAATCAGCCCCTTCTCTGAATTCCAGGATGCATCACAACCTGAGGTTACCTCTTCCTATAGGACTTTGTTTCCTGTTTTGTTTTCATATGGTGTTGGAGACACACCTGGGACCTTTTATATAATAAATGGGAGTTATATCCTCAGGCCATATGGTCAGTTTTACTAGTCCCATCACTTCTTTTCCTAAATAATTTTCAGCAGACCTTTTTAAGAAATCTCAGGTAATATTACTTGTTTATATTTTCCAAGAGTGATCACTCTTTAAAAATTAAGTAAATATAGCATTCTGAAATGACATTTTCAATTCATAGCCAAAAAAACCTTATGTGAGCAATTTAATATATAATATTACTGAAAGCATAACTACAAACATTTTTTAAAGTTTTAGTTGTCTGTATCTTTAGAAAGTTATACATATGTATAAAACATATGATTCAAATGGAAACCCTTAATATCAGCTGGATATGATGGTATGTGCCTATAATCCCAACAGAAGAGGGAGAGGCTGAATGATCAGCTCCAGGTTACCCTGGCTACCTAGCAAATTTGAGGCTAGTTTGCCCTACATGATACTGTCTCGAAAACCAACCAACCAACCAACAAAACCACTTCTATAAAATTCAAGATAGATCAGAAGAGGGAAAAAGAAGTATCTCGACAGACCTTTACAAGTGATGGACCTTTACCTTCACTGTGCCTTGTAAATCATTAACAGAATCGGGAATCTCCATAACAATGTAATCTGAAATCAGCTTAGCTGAAACCAAATCCTGTAACATCAGACCTTTAAGAGAAGAGGAAGGTCCCATGAAATAGCATTCATTTGCACATGTGACACACCCCCTATGTTAGCCTCAGCCCTCCATGCAGTGGACAGAACAAATAAGGTTCTAGTCTCAAAAGCTCCCAACACTGTACTGCCTGCCATCCATCAAACTCAAGCTCCACCCACTAGATAAAAGCTAAAACCAGGGATGAGACTTCTCTCACTAACCGTCCTCCACTTCCTTTCCCGTGGGGTCTCCTCTGGAGCTGGGCGTGAGAACAACCAGTGGAAGTGCAGGCTGGAAGGGCTTGGCCTGAAGGAGCTGCTTGAGCTGCAGTAAAGCTGACAGCCAGAACAGCTCCTCCTCAGTCTTCACTTTGGGAGGAAGCAGCAGCATGAGCCCACTGGCTCCCAACAGGTCCTTCCGCATCTCCACAGCATCAAGGGCACTGTCACTAAGGGTGCCGTGGGCCACCTGCAACAGAGTCAAAGACATCAGGATGAATGTACCAGAGAACGAGAGAGAAGACAAGTCTGCCTCGTTCACAGTGCTCACCTCTGGCCCTGGCCTGAGTACTAGCAGCTACACCATGGAGGAATGGAAGAAGGCTTTTCTAGAAACTGAACAGCCCACAGAATAGACGCCCAGATCCAAGATACCTGGGAATCCCTCTAAAGAGGTTTGCTTGCCATTCAGTGACCATTTCTCCTACCCCAAACAGAGCTTCTGGCCAACTTTGAAGGCCCTATTCAGGTACAGTCAGCCAGCCTCAGCTAAGATGTCTGAAGAAAGAACTTCCAATATAAAAGAGACCCAGGAGACAGCTGAAGCTCTTACCATCCAGATCTAGACCCAACAGTCCTAGCCACTTATGAGAAATAAGGTGACAGATCTGGTGGATGTGCTAAGCCATGCCTACCTTTCAGAATATAGTGTGAAGACACAGATAGACACAGGATAGAAAAATAAGATGTTCAGAGGATCAACTCATGTGCTTTAACACTGTCTAATAAAAGGGTAAGGAAAAAAGAGCAGATATCGTGGGGGACTATTAGAGAAGCAGAAGGGAATCAGGAGGGACAGATAGAAATGGCACAATGATAGCTGTATACAAAAACGTTACAAGAAACCCATCTTTATTGCAATTTAAAAAACAAAGCAAACACCACAAAACTAACCCAGAAGTAAAATAAGTCTCCAGGTCAGGAGGTTACATGCCTAAAACCAGCTATAATCAGAGCTGCCACTCAAGGGAGCTGAGGCAATGAGACTGCAAGTTCAAGGCCAGCTCAGAAAATTCACTAAGGTCTTTAAGACCTAAAAAGTCTTTAGAAAAGCCTGGGTGTATAGCTCAGGTGGAGCACTTTCCTAGCATGAATGAGGCACCAGGTTCAATTCCACCACTGCCCAAAAAAAGAAGAGTCTCTAGCCTAAAGGGACCTGCTAAGCTCACACAGTGAGTGCATGAGGGAAATCTGGCACACTTGGCACTTCAGAATGAGTTTTTAGAACCCCATGGTTAGGAAGGAAAGGGTACCAAGGGGAAAAAAAAAACATCAGCAGCGGTAGATAATAACAAGTAAAATGATTTTCTACTTACAATCCTACAAACCTAGCAGAACAGCAATAAAAAAAAAAAAAAATAGGACAAACTTAAGTATATTATCAGAGGAAAGGAATCAGACAACTTCCCTCCTACATATACTTTCTTCAGAATCGCTAGGACATACACTGTCAGGCAAGAGCCTAAAGAAGAAAAATTAGACAAGTTCCAAATGTCTGCTAGGCATTGTTCTGTGTACACGCTAAGGACACATTGACTTCAAACTCAAGAGCCTGAAGAGCAGAGCCACAGCACAGTAAGTACACAGTGTCGGGAAATTTATTTCTCTGGGTAAAACAGACACAGTGAGAATATTGTGTTTAAGTGGCACAGGGACACTAAGATACTTGTTAAGATGAAAGAGCTATCAGAAGCAGAGTAACAGGGATAAATGCTCACCAAAAAAATAGCTCTAAGGTATGCTATTTGGATAGAGGCCATACCTTGAATCAAGCAAAATGTGTGTATGTGTGTGTGTGTGTGTGTGTGTGTGTGTGTGTGTGTGTGTGTGTATGTATGTATGTATGTATGTGTGTATGTATGTATAATGTAGTTTGCATCACGTTCTTGAAGAGGTCTGTGGCAGCCAAGGCTCTATGTCTGCTGCAGTCTGAATCCTGACTGCCCCTTGGAAGCTTGTGAGTTTAAAGCTTGGTCTCCAGCTTGCACTACTGGGAGGTAGTAGAGTACCCAAGAGTTGGGTCTAGGGAGATTTCAGGTCACCAGGACAGTCCTATGAAGAACTCTGGGATGCCAGGCTCCCCCTCCCTCCCCCCAGCTTCTCTTCTGTTTCCTGGTTGTCAAGCATCTGGTTTTGCTTCTGCTGTGTGCCTCCTCTACCTCCGCAACCATGTGCTTCCTCCAAAGAGCAACAAGGTCAATCATAGACTGAGCAGCAAGAGTAAACCTTCACTCTTAAAAAAACTGATCATACCAGAAATTTGTAACAGTGACAGAAAGTGAATACACTACCCACTAAAACCTTACACAAATAGGTGGTTATAGTATATTATCAAGATACTATACAAGATACAAAAGAAAAGGGGCTGGAGAAATGGCTCAGAGGTTAAGAACACTGGCTGCTCTTACATCCATAAAAAGATCTGGTGCCCTCTCCTGGCCTACAGGGATGCATGCAGACAAAACATTGTATACACAGTAAACAAATAAATTTTTAAAAATCTTAAAAAAAAAAAAAAAGATGTAAAGAAAAACATACAATGGCATTTGTTTCTGATCTTCTCAAAAATAATTTAAAAGCACTTTTGAGGACAGTAATTTGTAAGTTCAGCAATGTTTGAAAAAAGGAAATGAAGTCATGAAGATAAATACATGTAGTGACCATCACTCACCTTTATACACACATTGACAGAAACCATTTGATCCCCTTTACTAATGAGTGCATTATAAACTGTGAGTGTCTGGATATCACCGGCATTATCACGCGTGTCATCCACCAAGCTGTCATCTCCTGTGAACTTGACCTTTAACCAATTTTCTAGTAGTCTGTAGATAAAAGAAAATACCATTTGAAGGAAAGTCTAATTCTAAAATAAACCACAGAAATGTTGAGGGAAGCAAGAGAAATACCATCCATATTGATACAGGGTCAGACACCAAACCTTATGGTGAAGTTGACCTGGACAAAACAGGTTGTTACTTTAAAATGGAATTGGGACCTCTACCAAGCTATTTATTTGAGTAACTGGGAAAGACAACCATGCAACTTGCACATTCTAATGTGATTTAAGACAGTAAACCAAAAAAGAAAGAACCTAAGGAATAACACCATCCCTGGAGTTAAAAATATCCATTTCAACCAGGTGTGGTGGTACACACCTTTAATCCCAGAACTTTGGAGGCAGAGGCAGGTGGATCACTGTGAGTCTGGGGTCAGCCTGGTCTACATAGTGAGTTCCAGGCCAGTCCGGGTACAAATCTTGCTTCAGAAAACCACCGCCAACAACTATCTTACAGAATCAAGCTTCTTAAAATAATGACCTATGATACAGTTCAGTAGATAAAACATTTGCTGCCAAGCCTGCCAACCTGAGTTCAATCCCTAGAACCCAAATGGTGTAAGGCAGTGTTTCTCAACCTGTGGGTCACAACCCCATTGGGGTCAAACAAGGAGTTGACTAAGACCACATCAGATATTTACATTACAATTCATAACAGTAGCAAAAATACAGTTATGAACTAGTGATGAAAATAAGTTTATGATTGGCAGTCATCACAACATAAGGAACTGTGTTAAAGGAAGGTTGAGAACCACTGTGTAAAGAGAAACTAGGTTCCTACAAGTTTGTTCTCTGATGTCCACATGTGCCATGTGGCACACAGGTGCACACACAGAATAAATATTCTTCAGGGCCAGAGAGACAGCTCAGCAGTTAAGAGCACTGGCTGCTCTTCCACAGGACCCGGGTTCGACTCCCAGCAACCACAAGACAGCAAACTCCAGTTTTAGGGGATCTGATGCCCTCTTCTGGCCTGTGTGGGCACTACAAGCACAAGGTACACAAATACACATGCTGGCAGAATGCCCATGACACAACACATATTATTAAAAAACCAATTCCTATGCTTGAATGTTTAAGAATTGCTACATAACATACATTTCCTAAGAAATTCAGCGAACCAGATGACTACTATTTTAAGAAATGTATAGTTCAATTACTTTTAAAATGCCACAACTCTTTCCATTGTTTATCTGTCCTGTGAGATGAGCCTCACGATTTCCTTATTCCCTTTCTTTAGCCTATATCCCAACAACAACTGTTTAAAAGTGATGTAGCCACTATGCAAAATCTGGCAGTTCTTCAAAGACTTACACAGAACTGTATAACCTAACAATTCCAGTCCTAGGTACATAAGAGAATTTAAATGCAAACTCAAATAGCTACCAACCTGTCAGATAAAATGGGGTATTTTCTTATATTCTCACATGGGTGAGCCTAGACAATATGCTAAATAAGACTTTATATTTACATATGACTCCATTTATGTAAGGCATCTATAATAGGCAAATCTATAAACATAAGCAAAAGAGTTGTAGTTACCAGGAGCTGGAGTTATAGAAGAATGGAAACTACTAGTTAACATGGGTTTTATATTGAAGAGAGAGAAAAAAAAATGTTCTAGAATAAGATAAAGGTGATAGTTGTAAAGCCCCATGAATTAAAAAAAAAAAACAAAACAAAACACTGTGAATAAACTTTATAACATATGAGTTACATTTCGAAAAAAAAAAAAAAAAAGCTATTAGAATAAAGTAACAACCTGTAGCTGGAAGGTTGTTTGTTCTGTTTTGGGACTGTATACATGAGTATGTACACACTGACATATTTGTACATGCATGCATATGAAGGGCAGAAGTCACACAAGGTCCTCCCACACTGTCTTTTGAGATAGGGTTTTTCAACATGGGCTGGGGTAACTGGCTAGTGAGCCCCAGACAACTGCCAGTTACCACCTTTCCAGTGCTGGGATTACAAGAGTATGGGCTACCATGCTTTTTCTTTACACAAGGTCTGGTGCCCGAACTCAGGTACTCATGCACGCACATTTCAGCTGAGGTATCTCCACAGCCTCTATTTGGTGTTTTCTCAGAGATGAGGTCTCTTGACTCTATAGCCCAGGCTGATTTCAAACTCAATTCTCTTTTGTCAGCCTTCAAAGTGGTGGGATTACAGGCATAAGCCTCTCTATACCAACATCATGGTTGCTTTAAGATTTTAGTTTCTGGAAGTTTTGTATCATGGATAGGAGGTGGTAACAAATCTAGCCTGGTCTGCAAAGCAAGTTCCAGGACAACCAGAACCACAGAGAAACCCTGTCTTGAAAACACCAAAAAGAAAATAGTATCATATCATTTTTCAATTTCTTAAAATGTCCAAATTTTTTCCTAAAATGAAACAGACAAAGTATAGCAAAGTATAAACTAATTCCTTCTAAAATCTTGAACAAAGTAGATACTAAACAGGACACGATACCATAGATTTAAATAATCCTCACCTCTTAAAGCTTTTGGACCAAGACTATATATGGAATAATGCCAAGTACAAAGAATAACAACAAAAATCTAAATATCATGAGCAAAATAGACTAAAACATAAATCTTCAGTGTCTATATACAGAAGACAAGCAGCCCCACCCAGAACCACAATTCTGCCTGTGTGAACCTCTCAACAGAAGTCATTCTCTGCATCAGCACCCTACTCCCCATGGAAACCTCCCGACCTGCCAGAGCTCTCTGCAACCTGCTCTTCTCCATCAGGCAGCACCAGCACCAGTTTCCAAAATATTCGCTCATGCTTCCCAGGGAGATGCTCAGCCACGAAGGATGGTAGGTCCAGAGGTGCCCATGCAGCATTGCTGGAAGGGACAGATCAAGGAGTGAGTCACAGTACAGTCCCCAAGCAGGAGGAATGACACGCAGTGAGAACGACAGACCTCAGCAGCCGCTGGTGGAAGTGCTGAACCTTCATCTGGTGAGCTGTCTTGCTTCTGAGCTGCCTCAACCTGCAAAGGATAAAAACAGAAAGACAATAGGACTACAAAAAGGTACTTTCAACCCACAGAAAGAAACTAGTAGCGTTTACTTCCCCCGGATACCAGGGATGGATTACATCTTTTTGAGTCATTGGTCAAAAGGATTCCATAGGCCTCCCCTCAAACACTACAGGCTATTGGTTGCCCTGACAAACCTGGTGGTTAAGACCCTACTGCTAAAGATACCACATACTCATCAAACATGGAGAAATGGACTGGTGCTCAACTTGAAACTTCATCCCTACTCATTACTAAAACAGTGCTGGAAGGTACTATATAAACTACAGGAGAAGAAAAAGCAACCATTAGTCTTAGGCTATGAACTCACAAGGGTGACCCATCTATAAGCTACATCCGCTGGAGCAATAGTGGTGCAAATGTAGTGGCTGTAACCAATACCTTCTACTTGGGTTTAAGGCTTGATCCATGAGATGGAGCCCATACCTTGGCACTATTAATGAGAGCAAGAATCTGGGACTGCATAGGTCATGGTCCCTAGGGGAACACCTACTTTATAAAATGAACATAGCAATAAAATGATTCCTAATGACAAACTGCTATACCCAGAGATCAGTCTTCATCAGAGAAGCTTTCTTCTAACAGTAGGTGTTCTTCTAACATAGAGACCCACGACTGAACAATAATAGGTAAAGAGTGAGAGACTTTGGAACCCTCAGCTCTAATTGATGGAATGTCTCCATCAATTTCCTCCCTTTGAGGCTCAAAAATCTATATGCAACAAGAGATGGAAAGATTGTTAAGAAAGCAGAGGTGATAGATAACTCCAAGGAAACAGCAATTCCAAGACACAACAGGACTGATAACACATAAATTCTTAGAGACTGTGGCAGCATGCAATGCACAGGACCTGTACAAGCTGAAGTCAGACATAATGCCAGTATGGAGAGGGGAAATGGACACAAAGTTCAACTCCTGATCAAGAAGCCACTTAAAATTGATAGCTACTGAGAGAGGGAAAATCGGTTTCCTCCAAAGGAGTGGCACTGTGTAAATCAACCACACTCCAGGGAAGACCTCATGCTCAACACAAAACAAACTTCATGGGTTTTGTTTTATTATTATTATTAGCTTTTGTTTTATTTTTAAGAAAGAGGGAAAAAAAAAGAGAAAGAACATGGAGTTGGGTGGGTGGAATCTGGGAGGAGTTAAGGGAGGGGAAAGAATACAACCAAAATATACTGTGTGAAAATTTTAAAAATAAAAAGTATTTACTGATGTTTCTGAGTGACAAGTAATTGTTAATGTTTCCTCGGCAAAGAGCATTTAGACTCTGATAAACTAACAGGTCATACAACCTCATCAAATAGCTGCTGAACTATTGACAGCGAGCTGGCTCTGGGAAACAGACAAAAACCCTGCCATTCTAGAACACGCTCTCGTGCCAGAGAAGACCCTCTATGATGGCTAATAAGGTTCACAGAACATGCCTACAGATGAGGAGTTGTGGTGCACACGTTTAACACCAGTACTTGAAGACAGAGGCAGGTGGATCTCTGAGTTGGAGGCCAGCCAATGGCCTGACTTCAGAGTATGTGCCAGACTAGCATCCCATTTACATACAGAGATGACCCTGGGATCTGATGAACCAGACGAAATCTTAGAAGGAAATGCTCTGAGAGTACATCCTGTGATGACCAGAGGAAGAAGAAACATAACTCATTGAGGCATTGCCCATGGCACATCCATGTTGTCTCCCTAGGGCCTGCCCACTGGGAGGCAGGGTGGCTTTGAAACCTCCCCACCTCCCCTCTGTAAAAGATGGCACTGATACTGGGCCTGATGAAAAACACCAAGCCCAAGATGGCTATGATTAACAATGTGGACCTCAGGAACTGAACTGCTTAGGGAGACCGGGAGGAGCAGCAAGGAGGCCCTGACTGAGGGACACACAGGAAAAAAGGACATAGAAGATGGAGTAAGCATGATGCACAATGGGAGCAGTGTCTAGAAGCAGAAAGTAGGTAGAGTTAGGAATCACTGAGGTGAAGTCAAGAGTCTACCAGCAGAACCTGAGTCTTTCAAGGTCATGCAAAGCTTGAGCTTCTTTTCCTAGGGGTAGACAAGTCACACTTTCAAATGTGGGAAACACCACCCCTCAAGATGCATTCCTGTCTGTCCTTACTTTCTTCATCCACAAATACATGAGTCTAACTCATGCTGAAACTAATTGGGGTGTGGAGCCCTGAGGATATGCCACTGAGCACTGACCTGGTACAGGAAATGCCTACTTTCCCTGCATGGCCCAGGTCCAAGAGGCCCTTGGTCAGGTTCTCCTCAGCAATGGGGCACTCTGCACTGGGCACCAGTGCCTGCAGCCGGTCATTCATGTCCACACAGCATGGTGCTGCAGGGAAGGCCCGCATCTGACGCCGGAGTTTCTTCCGGGCTGCAACAGCTTCCCTCCACCTGCAGACAGACCAGCATAGCATTATTGGACGGTGTTTAAGGATCATTCCACAGGGGAGAAAAAACAAAGGCAAGTAGAATAATATGGAAATGTGGTTTTTGTTTGTTCTTTTTTACATGTGTGTGAGTAATTTTTCTGTGTACATATATGTGCACCTTGTGCATGACTGTGGATAGTTAGAGCCACCATGTAGGTGCTGGGAACTGAAACCAGGTCCTCTGAAAGAGCAGCAAATGCTCTTAACCACCGAGCCATCTCTCCAGCCTGGAAATGCGGTTTAACAATCTAAGATTTTTGTTTTCAGCAAGAGTGCCTAAAATGAAAACTAATCTCAATTAAAATGTGGACATGATACAAAACAAGAGCCATGAGCACTGAAACTGCCAGATTTAAGAACACTGAATTATCTCAAAAAGTCAATTTGAATACAAATTTAATATACTGGCCCCTTAACCCAGCAAGCAGGAATTTATCTACCAACTACATGCATGTGAACAGACACCCTCTTCTGTCCCCACACACATTTTATTTCTGTAATATAAGGCTTTGTACAGTAAAGGCACTGCAAGTCCTAACATATAACAGCCCTGAATCTCAGACTACGCTCCCTGGCCTGACAGCATCGCAGTGGAAAACCCACATGCTGTGTATTCAAAATTAATCTATAGCCAAGTGTCACAAGGCAAAGGGGTGCTGCCAAAATTCACCTCAGATTTATTACACATTTGATTTCAAACTGATTTCTGGTCCTTGCATACTCAGAAACCTTTTATTACTGCAATTGTTTTATTTATTTATTTTTTTGTAACTTCATAGTCAAGTTATACAACCACACATCTAAGAAGTTTAGTCCTAGACTAGTAGTAACAGCTACACAATACTTTCTCAGTATCATTAGAAAATCTTGTACAGCTAGTTACTACTACCCAGTTAGCCAAGAAAGCAAACACCTAACACTGTAGAGTGTATTACATTGCTAAGCTATGGCACCAGGAAGATCAAGTATAATAAATGAATTTTTGTTTTGTTTTTGTTTTTACGTCCCAACCAAAGATTTCTCTCCCTTTTTCTTCCCAATCCATCCCCCACCCCTATAAATGCATTTCCAACTTATAGTGAATTTATCATGAGGTAACGCCATCATAAAAAAAATATCACACTGGGGGCTGGAGAGTTAGCGCTGTGGTTAACAAGTTGCTCTTGCAGAAGATCCAGGTTTGATGCCCAGCAGTACAACAGCTCACAACTGTTTCTAACTCTAGTTCCAGAGGATGTGACACCTCTTCTGACCTCCTTGGGCAACAGGCATGCATGTGGTGTACATACATATATGCAGACAAAACATTCATATTCATTCAAATATATATGAATACACACACACACACACACACACACACACACACACACACACACACACATCTCGTGTGCGAGTATGTGTTAGTGTTTTGTTTTTTCCTAGACAGGGCTTCTCCGTGTAACCCTGGCTGTCCTGGAACTCACTCTGTAGACCAGGCTGGCCTCAAACTCAGAGATTCACCTGCCTTTGACTTCAGGGTGTTGGCATTTAAAGGTGTGCACAACTATCGATTGGCAAGTGTTTTTTTTTTGTTTGTTTGTTTGTTTGTTTTGTTTTGTTTGCTCTGTTTTTTTGTTTGTTTGTCTGTTTGTTTTTAATTTTAAAGAGGTTATCAGTACTTGTAATTGGCAGACTCATCCATGTTAGGAGGCCGTCCATGATTTATTTGTTTGATATATTCACAGGTATTTCCCTGTGTCTAGTACAGTCCATCAACAGCAAGCACTGTATAAATTTCTGTTCAAATTCAGGACAACCACCCATTCCCTAATCAAATGCCTAAATGCCTTGATAATATCAGCCAAATGTATGACCAATTGTTTCTGAAAGTCTAAGTCTACGGCAGATACTCATTCTTACAGAATATACTGTGAGCCTTTCATCACTGGCTAATGGAACTGATGGCTCACAGATACTGAACCTGGTAAGACTTCCACGTGGGAGGATAATTTCAGTAAGAACAGAGAACTCACCGTTGTAAATACTTGCAGAAGCACTGAAGTTCCTGGAGTGTCTCTTTTGCAGTCTGGAAAATTTCCTCAGCAAGGAACAAATCCACCAGGTGTGCACAGACAGCTTCACAACAGCGGGCTATTCGGACCTTCTGGTCTGTCTCTACTGCACTCCTAGAATATAAAGCAATCAGCATAGAAACCATTACACCAAGGGTTACTAATACTTAAGGGTTTGCTTTAAAAATGCAAGAGTCTTGGCTGGGAACGTGGCAGAGCATCTCTCCTGGTTAGTTCTGTGTCAACTGGACACAGTTATATGGTTAAGGGAAGCCTCAACTGAGAAAATGCCTCCAGGTGATGCCCAGATCACCTATAGGCAAGTGTGTAGGGCATTTCCTTGATTAATGGTTGATGTTGAGAGGTCAGTCAAAAGGGAATGGTGCCCTGGGGTATATAAGAAAGTAGGCTGATTACATAAGGAGAAACAAGCCAATAAGCAGCATTCCTCCATGGCTTCTGCTTCAGTTCCTGTCTATAGGTTCCTGCCTTGATTTCCTGTCCTGACTTCCTTCAACAATGAACTGAGATGTAGCAGTGTAAGCTAAATAAACCCTCTCATGCCCAAGCCACTTTATCACAACAACAGAAACCAAACTAGGACAGCATATGCCTAGCATGTGCAAGACCCTAGTTTTGCCTACTATAGCCACACCAAAAGAGTTGAAGTCTATTTTCATATGGAAATATAATTAACATGTCCACTATAAGAGAAATTTTAAGATTTTTATTTTTACTTAAAAGTAGACACCTAAAAAAAGTAGACACCTCTATCAGGGGCCAGATCAAGTTCAAATAGGCCACTGTAGCAACAGGAGGGATGTGTGTGTCCAGTGTGCCCTGTATCTGTGGAGGTTACAGAACAACTTCTGGAAGTTTTATTCCACTATGTGAGTTCTGCAGATTGACTTCAGGCTATCATGCTTGACAACAAGTGCCTTTGAATTTTAATTTTAAATGACCAAGAGACAAAGTCTTATCAGCAATATATGGTGTCTACAACTAGATGTACCTTACATACATGCTAAACATGTTTCCCTCAGATAAATCACTCTCTCAGACTTTTCTCTAATTTTAAAGACAGATCTCATTGCTAACCCCAGCTGACCTAGAATTTGCTTTGTAGCCCAAGCTTCTCAAAGAGCATGGTAGAGCATGCCTTTAACACCAGCACTTGGGAGGTCAGACAGATGGAGCTTTGAATGTCTTAGGCCAAGGTCAGCCTTGTCTACAGACAGCCAGAGCTACAAAGACAGATCCTGATATACATTACATACATACATACATACATACATACATACATTAATTACATAATACACTACAATCGGCTTGGCCATAGCACTTCCTTCCTCCTACCACACCCCAGGCACCTGGGACCCCAGCACTTCACTCACTGTAACCCTGGGAGCAGGTCTCCCCCACACTGTCACTTCACTTACTGTAACTCCTGGGAGCAGGTCTCCCACACACACTCTGTCACCATGAGTTCTGTCAGCTCTGCAGCCAGGCCCTCGCTCAGCTGAGTTAACACCAGTTCTCTCTCTTGCTTTAACCTATGGGCAAAAGAGAGATGGCTTTGTGGTTAAGAATACATAGTGCTCTTGCAGAGGACACAAGTTCCTGTCCCAGCACCCACATGGAACTGCCTGTAACTATACAGCTCCAGGGACTGTATACCTTCTTCTGTCCTCCATAGGAACCTGCATTCACATACATACACCATCCACCTCCCAACACACACACACACACACAAAACACACACACACTCCTTTCTCTTAATCAAATCATGAAGGTGCTGAAGAGCCTAACAGGGGTCAGATGGCAACACAGTGAATAGCAAGAGGGGTATCAGGTCAGGGCTGGTACAAACTGACCTCTGTGCCCAGCTATAGGGACAGGACACACCCACCTTTCCTCTTCAGCCCGTTGCTTTTCTTCCTCTCTTCTCTGCCTTTCCATGGATACTTCTTCAGCAGCAACATGTCTCAAGATGCCTGTGGTTGCAGCTGTTATCAGATCCTCCACAGCAGCATTAGAAACACTTAACAAAAACAAAGCAGATGGCACTCAAATACAGAAAAAGTAAGCCACCATTCACTCTTGCCTGGTGAGATTTGTTTCTGGAATGCAGAGACACTTCAACACATGAACCAATCACAGAAAAGGTGGCTCAGCAATAAAAGCTGTGCCAAGTAATGTAACCTGAATAATAGTAATTAATAAATAAATAATAATTAAAGTTCTTTTTTAAAAAAGCATCTACAATGAAGAAGAAATAAAACTGTATTTATATCACACAGAGCTGTAATTATATATACAAACACACATGACTTTGTGGCTCTTAAAATTATGTAATTCAGATGATATGATTTAAAATGGGGTTTAAAGAGTAATCAAGTTTAGAACTAAGTAAAAAAAAAATATGAGTGGGCTTATTACATCTCCTCTTGTAAATAATTTCATTTTTGTGAATGAAACAGTAAACTAGTTTTATAAAGTATATTGCTCATATTTAGGAGTGAGAGAGAAGCCTTAATATGGTTAATCTATGGTCACAAACAATTTGAGCTACAACCCCAACCCTATTGGTCGTCTGAACATCTCCATGATAGTCTGGTCTATATAATAAGTTTTATGCCAGCAAGGGCTACAAACTGAGACCCAGTTCAAAAAAACAAAGGAAAAACAAAATCAATGACTTAAATTTAAGACTAAAACTTATAAAAGACATGAATATCTTTGTAACATTGGATTTCGCAACAATGTCTTAGCTAAGATCCCAAAAATTTAAATGTTTTGTGCATTAAAGACATTATTAAGTAATGACAAGGTAATCCAGGGTAGCTCAGTTAGTGGAGTGCATATTTAACATGCCATGCCCAAAGCCCTGAACTCAATAATGCATACAACAGGCATGTTGCTACATACCTATAATGTCTTCATCTGGGAGATACAGACTGGAACAAAAAAAGGGGGGGAGGGAGACAACCCAGAAAACAGAAGAAGATACATACAAACTCTATATCTGATAATGGACAAAAAGTATTACAACTCAAGTTAAGAAATGGCAAACGACTTATTTACATAGCCAGAGAAAATATGTAAATGAGCAATAAGGACATGGGAAAAAGAAAAGAAACAAGCCCAGGCAGTAGTGACACATGCCTCTACAAAAAGGGTTCCAGAGAACCCTATTTTGACAAATAAAAGTAGAAAAAGGAAAAGAAAAAAAAAAAAGAGAGAAGAAATAAAGGTCAGGAACAGGAGAAACTATATCCACCTGGAGAACAGAGGAGACATTTAGGCCTCAGAGAAGTGAAGGCCTTGAAAAATGAGAACAGCTTATTAGGAAGGACATAATTGTTCCCAGAGAGCAAATCACAGCGGCTGGCATGTCAGGTGCCACTCACCCCAGAGCTGCGGCTACGTAGGCCGCCCCAGCAGTGCTGACTTCCTCACAGTCCACTTGAAGAGCCTCCTGGATGAGCTCGTCCACCACCTGCACCAGGTCCTAAGGAGAGACCAGCATAGGAGTTGAATCAGGTTGTCTGAACTGTGCAACTGACAAGTTCTGCTCAAAAAGAAAAACCAGAGTCACCCTCTGTCTATAGGCACAAAGCAGTGCTATGGCCCCACAGGCCCTGGTCAGCCTCCCCACCAGTGTCACACATGAGCAAGTACTGAACAGTCAGAACAGATGTGCCTGGTTACGTTTAGCAGTGTGCTAGGAACCACCAAGCACAGTTCTGACCGCTATGATGAAGATGGGGTCTCTGCAGCTGCCCCGAAGGCATCAGCCTTACATCTGCCACCTGAGGCTAGGACCCTGGAGAGGTCCTCTCCTTCACCTTCCTGACTCTGGCTCCTATCCAATGAGACCAGGCAACACAGCCCCCTCACACAAAATGTTTATAGACTTCATGAAGCTTTAATGCAGGAGACCCCTACCGAATCAGAGTACACAGGTGCAGGCTTTGGAGGCAGCAGCTCAGCCTGCATGGAGGACTGGAAAAGGCCAGATGCCGCAGCTGGGGCCAGTGGCGTAACGTGAATCACTGATGTGGATGAGGGTGCAGGAGGAGGAGGTGGAAGGAGAGCCAAGGGTGGCACATCCACCTCTGCCTCATGCTCCTCTCCTCTCCCACCACCTAGAAAGAAACACAGGTGCTTGTTACCAGATCACATAACTACAATCTCTACAGAAGGACCAGAGCTATCCAAACCCTAAAGAGTGGACTGGCCTCCTGACAACCATCCTAAGGGTACATGTCACAGGATGATATGTGTTTTGTGTGAAATCAGCTTCATAGTGTCATAAGTACTAACAAGGGCTTCAAAACTTCAAATCCAGACAAAGTGAGAGCTATTTAAGAATTTGGCCAAGAGCTAGGCCTCCAAACACAGAATCTTCTGGTGACAGGGAGGCAAGTGCATTACAGTTCACTCACCTGCTGTATCTGAACCAGATCTCTGAGTGCTGATGGGCAGCTCTGTAGCCAGGCTCTCTCCAACGTATTTATTCTGGGAGTTAAAGCTGCACACCGGTGTATGGCGAGGTACAGGAGGCAGTGGCCCTCCATTCACGACTTCTCCAACTGACACAGTCAGCTTCCGGGCAATAAACACGGACTTCTTAGCCTTAGATAATCCCTCTGGTTCCAAGAATGCCGACCGATTCAGCTCAACACAGCTATCCAGACCACAAAGAGCCCACAGAGAGAAGTTAGCCAGGAAAAAGGCCTCCTCAAACCCAACTACTAGATCCCCCAATTAGAGCAAGACTGGATAGATATGAGAAGAGAAAGCTTCCAGTCTCAGGGAATCACAGGACCTAGGATATTAAGAGCCATGCATGGAATGACACAAGCCACTGTGCTCCACTTTCAGTAATGGCAGCCCACTCATTCAAAGTCACACTATTTCCCCGAGGACAGAACTAGAAGGAAGAAATGCACTGGGCCAAGGAAGCACAGACAGAATGTCAAATGTAATGGTGCCATTATTTGGGACAGTTTGTAAGCATCAACAGTCTCCAAGCCCTGATTACAGGTACAGAGAACCTTGACACAGTCTACTGGACTGCCATCTCTGCTGTCAGGTGTGCAGGGGCCAAACGAAGGTGAAAAAAGGCAATCTTCAATAAATAGGATAGGAAAAGTCCCAACCTTTGTCTTAGGTTCTCTGGTAACTAATGCAAAACAATGATTTGGAAAAGAAAAAAAGAAAAAAAAAAAAAAAAAGAACTTTGTCTGATTCTTTTTATTCTCAAATCTCTGGTTGTGCATGCCTTTAATCATACCACTTGGGAGGCAGATCTCTGTGATTTTGAGACCAGCCTGGTCTACACAGCAAGTTCCAGGTCAGCCAGGACTATAGAGTGAGAGCCTATCTCAAACAAAGCAAAAGCAAACAATGAACTTGGTCTGCACCTGTGTGTGCCTTGGGCAATATTGCCTAGGTTCACAGTGGGGAAACAGTACACAAAATAGGCCTTCTCAAGGCCCAAAAAGTAGCCCTTCATCAGAATTTTTAAAAGGTGTGCCTGTGTGTTGGGGGCAGGGCAGAGAAAAGAGAAGTGCACAGGTGTGATCTCAGCTCTTACCCATCAGCTACAGTGAGGCCATGGTAATTGAGGAAAGTTGTCGCCTCTTCACAATCTTTGAACAACAGCATACGTACAACACCATCCAGGGGGAAGACAGTAGAGCGCTGTGTGCTCACTGTGTAGGCAACATTGAGTGCTCGAAGGGCGTCCTTCCGGATCTGAAAGAAGCCGTGTCAGTGCAAACTCAGAGGGAAACCCAGTTAATTGACAAGCAGAGCCAGCCAGCCACACAATCATTAGCTCTTGCTACAGCTCAGTTCCTATTTCCCTATCTAGGAAGAGCTCACCCTGATCTCTCAGCACTCATATTCCCTCAGACTGCCTTTCTTCTCTGTTGTACATAATTATTACTAAATGTACTTAACCTATTTACTGCCTTTAGTTCTGGTCTCTTTCCTAGCATGTCAGCAGTGTGCAAATGGGAATTTTATTGGTTTTGTACTCTGAGCATTAAGAATACAGTCAGGCAGAAGAGCCACGCAGTGGTGGTGCACACCTTCATTCCCAGCAGAATGGGGGAGGGGGGCAGAAGCAGATGGATCTCTGAGTTCTAGAGATCAGTCTGGTCTACAGAGTGAGTTCCAGGACATCCAGGGCTACAAAGAGGAAACTGTCTCGAAATACAAAAAAAAACAAAAACAGTACACAAAATAGGCCTTCTCAAGCCCCCCCAAAAAGAATCCAGGTTCTACTTATTTAAAGTTACCTACAGCAACCAACATTACAGCAACATTATTCATTTAAAAACTAATAACTACCCTGCCTCCTTGGCTTCTTGAGGACCACTGTCAAGAATGACACAGTTATGATCTGGACCAGGAAGTTCATGACTATCCATCTGTTTCAGAGGAAACAAATGGTCACTCATGTCCTTCACCCTAGGGAGGCATCAGTATCAAAGACAAAAATTCAGGAAAAGTAGCCAAAGTCTCTTTGCAACAGACAGAGACAATTATAGAAAACTACAATCAATCAAAATGCTGAGGTATTGAGCCCAGTCCCAAGGGGTAACATCGACAATACCACTCCCACCCCTAAGGCTCAGGGATCCTTGTGGGAGAGGGGGCAGAAAGGTTGTAAAAGACAAAGGAATGGGGAATTTGTCATGAGATTGTATCGACTACAGATATCAGAAGCTACATCCATGAAGTCTTACCAACATGAATGTTTAAACATGAGCTCAACAAGGACAACAACAGTAGATTCACTAATATGGACAGGAAAAAGCCAAGGAGGCCTCAATACTATACAAAGAATTACCAGCAACTAAAGAATGATGGGAGTGGGAAGAAACAATTGGTTATCTAATACCAATGGTCAGCCCTGAAAATGTATATACAGGTAACATTATCCAGACTAAGCAGGTTATCCTTATATTTAGGAGAGAGAGAGAGAGATTGTGTCAGGCCCCTCTCCTTTCAACAGAAGCCAAGCAGAATCACCCCATGCCTGACTGACACAGTATATTCATGGATGGGAAGGACACATTGGGGGAAGAGTAATAGTACCCAGTCATTTCTCATTGGGCCAATACCTGTAGAGGACTAAGCTGGTCTTCTAATAGATTCTCCAAGCCAATTCAAAGTGCTGAAGCTAACAAATGACTAGAACTAAGACCAAGAATTTATAAGAAATCCCTTGATTAAAAAAAAGATAAATAAGCAAATAAAACGTGGTCTTCTGAATGCCTTTGTAGCCCGAAGGCCAAGCACAGGAGTGAAAAAACAGGCCCCATATTTACTGAAATGAATTCATCATCAGCCTCACTCTTGCAAAACAGTTGGCTAGCTTTTGTTTTCTTCAGACAGTCTTTCTATGTTACTCTGGATGTCCTCTCAACATTTTTATCAATACTAGTCATTTTATAATCATTTCAAAACTCAGGATTTCACAGAATATAGGATTTGTTTTCATCGAAGATGATATAGTGTTGAACTCAACCTGCCATAATTCCAAAGATTTCTGTGAGCCACAATACTGCTGTGCATTGCATGGTCTCTCCTGGTGGAGAGTCATGGTAACCCATTGTCCATGGTTATGCCAGAAATAGCTTTCTGGGCTGTGACAGGCTCCATGAGTTGACTGCTGACTGCCCACTGGAAGAGTACAGGACCAGAGAAGGACCACAACACTTCAAGTAACTGCTTTTGTTCCTATGCTGCCAGCAGTGGCTCTACTCACCTGATGAAAGTAACAGTGTAACAGGCACGCATTCAGGTAAGAAGCTGACTGGACCAGTTTGAAGAATCTCACAAAATTATTACTGTTCAATGCAGCAAAAGCCTGGACAGCAAATTTCACCTCTGGGGAGTTCCTAACATCGGGGTGGAACTGTTGCACTTCTCTGTAAGTTAAGGAGGTGAAACTGTCAGAATGCCGATTTAAGTCAACCTGATAAAGTAACTAGGTGTCAGCAAAACTAAGACAGTGAGTGTGAACAATGATGCCCACCACTATGAGTGCTGCCATTCTCACACTCAACTGATACACACAGGTTTTCTTTCCTCTTTATCTTGATTTTTATTTATTTATTTATTTATGTTTTTGAGATAGAATCTTATCCCAGATGGGCTTCAAATTCACTACGTAGCCAAAGATGAGCTTGAACTTCTAACAGGATTACTGGTATGGTTTTAAAATCTTTTCTTTAAAAAGATAATAAGCTGTGGGGCTTAGGAGATGGCTCAGAGGTTAAAAGCACTCGCTATTCTTTCAAAGGACCCAAATTCAGTTCCTAGTACCCACGTCAGGTGGCTCACAACTGCCTGTAACTTCAACTCCATGATATTCAACACCTCTTTCTAGCCTCTACTGGAACCTGCATTCATGTGCATATGCCTACACATAGCCACACACTGAACACAATTAAAAATAATAATAAGTAAAAATCGTAAAAAGATAATAAGCACCTGGGCATGGTAGCATGCACCTTTAATCCCAACACTTGGGAGGCAGAGGCAGGAGATTATCTATGAGTTTGAGGCCAGCCTGGTCTACAGAGCAAGTTCCAGGACAGCCAAAGTGACTACAGAGAGAAACCCTGTCTCAAACCAAGCCTAGCCCCCCCCAACAAAAAAAAATTTTAAGTGCATTATTCAAAATGGGCACAAATAATTGTCATATATGGAGACTAACAGACAATTTTTGTAAATTGTTTATGTTCTATAAAGCTTAAATCAATCATACATATAGACCTACAACAATAGGTTCTTGGAGAAAATATTAACAGCTAATAATTTCAGCTAAGCAGGGCAGTGCACAGCTATAATCCCTGCACTCAGAAGACAGAGGCAAGAAATCTCAAATTTGAGGCCAACTTAGATCATACCTCACAGTGAGATTATGTCAAAGAAAGGAAGAGTCAGAAACACAAAGACAGGGAGGGAAGGGGAGAAAGAGAGGGAGGAAGGAGAGAAACAACACAAAACAACAAATTTCAATATAAAATCAGGGTTTTTTTGTAACTAAAAGGAAGCAATGGCCACTACTGAGTTTAGTTTACCAAATGTGGGACCAGGAAAATCTGCCATATTTCTTATTTCTTATTTAATGGTGTACTGAAATATCAAACCAGCACTTCAAATTCTCTCACTCCAGTAACTTATCCACTAATCTAACTTTTTCTTCTAATATATGACACCAACAAAACTTTCTGGAAACTGAACTGGTATCCCACTAATGGGACTTCCTACCTTACATGTCCTAGTTTCCTACTTGTGGAATGAGAGGTAATATACACGGCATACTGGCCTCTAATACATGCTCACACTTGTTTACCCCTGGCTCAGTTTGGCAATTGCACCACGAATTGACTTCCTTCCTTCCTTCCTTTCTTCCTTCCTTCCTTCCCTTTACTTCTTTCTTTCTTTCTTTCTTCCTTTCTTTCCTTCTTTCAGATTTATTTATCATATATACAGTGTTCTATCTGCATGCATGCCTGAAGGACAGAAGAAGGTACCAGATCTCATCATAGACAGTTGTGAGCCACCCTGTGGTTGCTGGGAATTGAACTCAGAACCTCTGGAAGAACAGCCAGTGCTCCTAACCTCTGAACCATCTCTCTAATGCCAGGACCCTGGACTTTCTATACGTCAAAGCCCAACTTTTGAATCTGAAAACACACCTCAAAATGTCTCCTTTGTTGAGATTGAGCAGGACATTGTAGCCCTGGAACTCTGCCTCACTGGCACAGAAAACAGCCTTGTTCCTCAGGTCCTGGTACATCTCCTTCAGACTCTGCAGACACTTGGTCATGTTCTCATTGTTGATCTTGGCATCGAAGGAGGACATGGGCTCCTCACACATGAAGTGGGCACAATGGATATGAAATCGGGTACACTTCTCGATCAGAGATACTGTCAGGGGATCACAGAGGTGCTGCTGTGTGATGTCCTATTCACAGATTAGAGGGGAGGATTACACCTGCACACTTGCATGGCTCACTCACACATAAGCCACACACATGATCCACGAAAAGTCAAAATTATGCTTATGAATTTCAACTTGAAATGAACCCCACGAAACACAATCCAATACAGTTTGTAATGGCTCAAATAAAACCCTATTTTTGTTTCAGATAAATTAAAAGTTCAATTTGTGAATATACATGCATTCCGTAGTCATCACACTGGAGAGAGTCAGTACCTTTCGTATGCCCCGTGTGCGGTTCCACACGAAGTCATACCAGTCCCGAAGGCTGCCTTCTTTTTGGTCCATGATCTGGGTCACCAGGTAGTCCATGGTCCTGCTGAGAACTGCTGAGGGCCTCAGCTCATGAGGCAGGGGCTCTTCCTGATCTGCAGAGGACCGGCTATACTCCTTCACGGCTGCTGCATGGTCCACCTAGGAGCAAGTAGAGACAAACAGCTCCATGCAAGTGGAAATCACATACACACCCACATGAGATCTACTTGGGAATATAGTGTTTAAATGAAAACGTCTGTCAAAGATGACACATTTTAAGGACAATATAAATGAAGAAACTTGGTTCAGGCAAATATAAGGAGTCGAGAGAGTGTCACAGGAGCAGGAATGTAAGAGAAGAACCATCAGCCTACCCAAAGCACGGATGTAACAGGTAAAGGGGCTTCAAACAACAGAAAACATCCCGAGGTCAAAGTTAAAAACAAAAACAGTGCTTCTTGGTGGTCACACTTGTCTTCAATGCCAGCACTTGGAAGCCTGGTCACAGAGTGAGTTTCAGGACAACCAAGACCATATAGAGGGACTCTTGTCTCAAAAAACAAAATTAGAAACAAGAAAAAATAGGGGGCCCAGTAAGATAGCTCAGCATGGGATAGAACACTTGATACTCATGACCTGAGTTCAATCTTCAGAACCTACATAGTGAAGGAGAGAGCCAACTCCTCTAAGTTACCCTCTTACATACACACATTGCGGCACATAGGTACACATGCATGTATACATGTGTGTGCGCGCGCGCGCACACACACACACACACACGCACACACACACACGCACACACACAGAGTAAATACATTTTTAAAACTCGAAACAATAAAAAAGAATAATGGAGCTCGTTAGGACACATGGAGTCCTACCTGGTCAGTCCCTGGGACTACTTCAAACACACTCAGCTGGCTCCGGGTCTCCCGCAAATACCGCTCCTTCTCAGGACACATGTCAGGGCATGTGCCAACAAATGCCCTTGCTTTGTCCAGATCAGTCCTCTTCACCCGAGCTAAAGGATACCAAGCCAAAGGTAACAGTATGTATACCACATCAGCACTGAGAATTCACAAAAGTATAGTTTCATAAAAGGAAAAAAGAAAACAAAAACGCTGTCTGTAATCCCAGCACTCAGGAGGCTGAGGCAAGAGAATCCTAAATTTGTGGCCAGCCTGGGTCACATGAGTTCAGGATAGTCTGGGTTATATGGTGAGACCCTGTCTCATCTGTGCACTGTCCCCCACACCCCCCAAAAAAGTCACACACACAAAAGAAATGTTTCTTAAACTTTGAGCTCTGGAGAAAGGAACTTGTAGCCTATCCTGAGGCAATGGGCACCTAGTCAATAATCAAACACATTCACTACACACTTAAGATGGAGGACAGGGACTGGGGAGATGGCTCGACTTTAAGAGCACTAGCTGCTCTTCAAGAGGACCCAGGCTTAATTCCTAGCCCCACATGCCAGCTCACAGCTGCCTACAACTCCAGTTCAAGGGGATCTGGCCTTCTAGGGCATGAGGCATAAAAATGATACACAGTTATTCAAACATGAAGGCAAAACACTCATAATATGAAAACAAATTCATTTTAAAAACGGATAGAGCATACCATCACTTCCACTTAAAGATATGTGTACTGTCAGCATTCTGTAATTCTTACCAAGACCTCATTGGTAAAACAGAACTTTACAAAGAATAAATTTGTGGGCTGGACACCAGTGGCACATAACCTTTAATACCAGCACTTGGGAGGCAAAGACAGATGGCTCTCTATGAGTCTGAGGCTAGCCAGGGACTTCACAGTGAGACTATATCTCAAAATAAAGACATACATAAAATTTAAAAATTAAAAAAGCTGTTAAGTACAAATATTCAAAATATACCAGTATTCTAAGATTCTGTTTGAGTATTCAGAATTATATAATGTAAGTTAGCTGGGTGTCTGAGTAAGTATACCATTACTTTTACTCACAGAATGAAAGATTTTAAAGGAAACATGACAATATAACATATGCACACTTATTTATACTTTTAAAAACTACAATACTTAGTATTTATTTCAATTTTTTTTTGTTTTTTGCTTCTGTGACCAGGCATCATTACATAGTTCAGGCTATCTTGGAACTTGCTGTGTAGACCAGACTGTCCTGCCTCTGCCTCCAGAGTGCTGGGCCTGCAGAAGAGTGTGATCATGCCAGGCTCTAGGGTTGCAGATATGAGACTGAGCCAGGTTTTCCTGGCTAAATATCTTTATATCAACTTGACACAAATTAAAGTCATTTGAGAGGAAGGAACCTTAATTCAGAAAATGACTCCACCAAGCTCAGGCTATAGTGATTGATGGGGAAGGGTCCAGCCCATTGTGGATGGTTCCATCCCTAGGCTGTTGGTCCTGGGTTCTACAAGAAAGCAGGCTGAGAACGCCATGATAAGTAGGGCAGTAAGACAGCGCCCACCATAGCCTCTGCATCAGCTCTTGCTTTCAAATTCCTGCCTTGCTTGAGTTCCTGTCCTGACTTCCTTCAGTGACGAACTATAGAAGTGTAAGTCAAATAAACCCTTTCCTCCCCAACATGCTTTCTGGTCATGATGTTTCATCGCAGCAACAGAAATCCTAACTAAGATAGTAAGTTTACTAGAAATGTAAAAATCACCAATTCTATAAACATGGCAGCAGTTTTTATTACCATCTTAAGAAAGCTCTGTGAGTATTACAATTATTTTTAGTTTTTAAAAGGAAAATTCTAGATATGTGTAGTAGAAGCACTCAAGAAACTGAAAGAGAAGAATTTTAAGCTCTAAGCCAGCATGGGTTATATAGCTGTTAAAAAGAGAAAAAAAAAAAAATCATACAGCTGAAATTAAGAAATAAATCATGGGGGAAGAGAGATGGTTTAGAGATTAAGAGAACTGACTACTCTTCCACAGGACCCAGGTTCAATTCCCAGCACCCACATGACAGCTCACAACTATCTGTAACTCCAATTCCAGGGGATCTGACACCCTCAGACAGACATACAGGGGGAAAAAATGCACATGAAATAAAAATAAATTTTTAAAAAGAGAAAAAGAGTTGGAAAAAAAAAGAAAAAAAATTGCAAAGAGTATATGGATTTTCATTTGGGGTACTATATACTTGTAATGTTAATTTTTCATTGTTTGAAAGTAATCAAACTCTAGGGCTGGAGAGATGGCTCAGAGGTTAAGAGCACTGACTGCTCTTCCAGAGGTCCCAAGTTCAATTCCCAGCAACCACATGGTGGCTCACAATCATCCATAATGAGATCTGCTGCCATCTTCTGGCCTGCAGGGATACATGCAAGATGAATGATGTATACATAATAAATAAGTCATTAAAATCGTTAAAAAAAAAAAAAAAGAAGAAAGTAATACACTCACAATTTAATATTCCAAAGGAGAACAATACCTGGAACGGAACATCACCTCTCACTTCTGTCTTTCAGACACCTGTTCCCTCTCTACCAACCATCTCTACATACATACTCCTATACATACATAAACACATGCACTTATCGCACATTAGCACACACACAGCTCCCACCTCCAGGAAGACCAGAGCACAGGCATACCAGGCACAGAAGAAGTCCCAAGACTCAATGATAGGGGAGTCCCTGGGGCTCCCCAGAAGCTGCCTCACAACCTCACCAGGGACTCTGGAACTTCTGTCTCCTTGCACCATACCTTGCCGCATGATTCGGTCTCTCTGGTCCAGGAGGCGGTACTTCTCTTCAGATGTCTCAGCCACAGTCCCTATCAAGGTGCTAAGCGATGACACACATGACCCCAGGCCCTCAGGGCCCTCGGATCCAGAGTCGAAAGGGTCTGCCTCACACTGGTGGATCTTTAGAAGGCTTGGTTTCTTCACTGGAGAGCTGCGGAGAAAAGCACACCTTCATTTCCACTTCTGAACCTTCCAAGACTCTCTGGTCCTCCAAAGCTAAGTATGGCATCAAAACCAAAGAAGCCAGCCAGGCATAGCAGCACATGGCTTTAATCCAGCACTAAATAGCGGATTCAGGGGGAGTCCAATGCTAGCATGGTCTACATAATGAGATCCAGGACAATCAAAGCTGCATGTAAGACCCTCTAAACTCCCTCTCCCCAAATAAAATCAAAACAAAGCCTAAACAAAGTTGGTGATGAGTTTTTTTTTTTTTCATTTTTAATTAAAATAAAAAACTAAGCCTGTTGCTCCAACAACTCAGAAGGCTGACACAGGTTAGGCTGAGTAACTAGCAAGATCCTAAGAGAAGGTGGGCAGGGTTGAAAACAAAAATATTAGTTTTATTGGCTTTTTAATAATTCTGAAATATTTCATACTTACTTTTTTTGACTGCACAGATTGTATTTATAGACATAAATACACATGCTCACACACGCACACACAAACAAAACAAAAAAATACCTCTCATTAATTAAAGAAAATTAGGTCATGAATTTGAGAAAGGCCAAGGAAGTTAAATGGCAGGGGTTATGATTACTTGACACAAACTAGGTCATCTGAGAGAAGGGAACCCCAATTGAGAAAATACCTTCATAAGACCGGGCTGTAGAGCATTCTCTCGATTAGTGATTGATGGGGGAGGGCCCAGCACATTGTGGGTGGCACCACTCTTGGGCTGGTGGTCCTGGGTTCTATAAGAGAGCAGGCTGAGCAAGCTATAGGGAGCAAGCCAGTAAACAGCTCCCCTCCATGGTCTCTGCATCAGCTACTGCCTCCAGGTTCCTGCCCTGTCTTCTCACCATATCCTTGAGCTCATGTTTAGTAGGAGATTATATCTCAAAGAACATGGTGAAGAGTTATAGAGGAAAACACCTGATGTTGACTTTTGGCCCCCCACATGCACACATACTGACATATATATGCTTCCAATTACATACACCTACATTCGTAAGAAAAAGTAATACGAGTAACAAGCCTAATAGGGCTGCTTTGAAGATTGTAATAGTTTTAAGCAAATGGGTGGTGCAGAGTTTGGCACAGACTGAGGATTTCTTCCTGCATTGAAATTGGGAGGTTTTTATTGCACTGTTTCAGGTAGCATACTTCAGATGATGAAGAGCCCACTGACACCCCAGGCTCTGAGAAATGGCTCAAACCAAATCTGCTCTGTTATCTATCCACAATTAACCAGTGTATTTTATTCTGGTTATTACAGGTGATAGGCAGAGTGAGTCTGGCCAAGGAACTGCTAAGAACTAAGTAGTTATAAATGGGATCAACCCTTCATGCTCATTCAGCACCAAGTTCCAGATAGCAGCTTTTATTCTGTGGAATTTGATGCCCTCTTCTGACACATGGCAAATAAACATACGTGCAGGCTAACTTCAAACATATAAAAATAAGAAGGGTAGACAAAGCAATGAGCAAAGGCAGGCCAGCAGATAGGCTGTGGACTACAAACTAGAAAGTGAGAAAAACAGGGCACTGACCAAAAGACAAAAAGGATTAAGAGAGACCTGTCAAAGCAGGCCCAGTGTGAAAGTGGATGCCCTGTATCTCAGACCACCTAGGCTTTGGAGGGAATAGAGTTCCTTAGACAAGCAAAAGGGCTATGCTAAGAAACAACCAAGCTTATACCAAGTGCCAGGGCACCACAGTCCAGAGAGAAACCACCTGCTTTACTGAGATAAACTGGGCTACCTAAAATCATGCAGAAGAAACCACTGATTATTAGGGATGTGTAGTTTTTATAGGCAGTTAGACATTAAAAAAAAAAAAAAAAAAAAAAAAGCAGGATCTCATGTAACCCAGTCTGGCCATCAACTTCTGATCCTCCTAACTAGAATTACAAATAATGCAGGTAGGGTGTGGTGGCACATGCTTCTCATCCCAGCACTCAGGAGGCAGAGGAGGTGAATTTCTGAGATTGAGGCCAGCCTGATCTACAGTAAGTTTCAGGACAGTCAGGGCTACACAAACAAACCCTGTCAAAAAAAAATATCAACCAACCAAACAAACAAACAATAAAACACATACCACCTCAACCAGTTCAAATTATCCTATGTGCATTTATATGCTAGGGATGAGGGACTTCAAGAAACAAGAGAGGAAACGTATAAAGATGATAACTTGCATAGGGCACCACATTCTATGCTCCCCATGGAGTAGGCAGCCCTGAACAGACAGAGTGGTGGATAGACACATACATGTAGTCACAGGTATAAAATAAAAAGAAATAATTTCTGTTTGTTTATTTTTTTTGAGACAGGGTTTCTGTGTAGTACTGCCTTATCTGAAACTTGCTCTGCAGACCAGGCTGGCCTGAACTCCAAAATGCTGGGACGTACAGCATGCACTGGAGTAACACAGCTAAATACTTTTTTAAAAATAAAGGACTAGAGCAGAAATAGCTTTGTGATAAGGTTTTTCTTAAGAAAATCTGTTTGAAGTTAGACCTGCACCAAAGAGGAATATTACAACAAAACAGAATCTTCAATCAAGCTGGTACCTGCTCAGATCCACTGTCCTAGAACGTTCCCTGCCCCATAACCCCTCAGTCCCTACTTGAATATCAAAGTGCCGTCACCCCCTCACCCCAGCCGCGATGGCCACTTTGGTTCTCTTTTATGACCTTTTAAGAAAGGTAAATCCCACCTTTTATTGAGCAGGCTGCCAGTTGCAGGCCTCACTATGGGCTTGCCAAGAGGGGAATGCTGAAAGGGGGGATCTTCTATGCCTTGGCTGGCTTCGCCGTCACCAAGCTTCTTCTCCTTCAGGGAAAAAGGTTTTTTGCTGGGACCTGAAGACACAAGGGTCAGAACAAGGTTTACAAAAGCTTCCAGAAACAAGTATGAGATATGGGATTCAGCTGGAATTAGCCACTCCACTGACCTTAGGGAAGAACACACATTTTGACTGTCAAGGGTCTGCACAGAGCATCAGATATGGAAACAATTAACTGAAAACTCACTTATTTTCTTCTTGTGCCAAAAGATAACCATGTCCTTATGCAGACCTTTCCCCTTCTTCCTAGCCAGGGCTGCGGATGCCTGAAAAACAGTTCACAACCAATCAAATGCTGCAAACAGAACAGACCACTTAAAAATAAATAGAAGGAGGGCCAGCAAGATGGCTGAGCAGCTAAAACTGCCTGCCACCATACCGGAAGACTGGAATTCAATCTCCTGGACCCACACAGTGGAATGTATGGACCTTCAAACGTTGTTTGGCACACTAACACTCCCTACCCCCTGCCTCCCCCAGAGAGAGGGAGGGAGAGGGAGAGGGAGAGGGAGAGGGAGAGGGAGAGGGAGAGGGAGAGGGAGAGGGAGAGAGAGAGAGAGAGAGAGAGAGAGAGAGAGAGAGAGAGAGAGAGAGAGAATAGTCTGTATGCAGTACTTGAGGAGGCCAGAAGAGGGTACTGGATACAGATGGTTGGTTGTAAATCACCATTTGTTTGCTGTCAACTGAACCTCAGCCCTCCATAAGAGCAGCAAGTGCTCTTAAGCACTGAGCCATTTCTTTGGCCTCATACATAACATTTTTCAAAGTGTGGATCATAAGATATAGCAACATTGTGCCTAAGGGAAAAGAAAAACTATAGCCTAACTCCCCCCCCCCCCACACACACACAAATCTACAGCAGGGATGCAAACAGCTACCAATACACCAATCATTCACAGCAGCCCATTTTCAACAACAAAGAACATATTACCAAAATGTATAAAGTACAATAGAATGGTATTCACCCAGCAAAAGGAATCAAGTTCTCATCCATACTACAATTTGGATGAACATATTGTAGTCAAATAAGCTATAAAAAGAAAAATTGTATGATTCCACCTAAAATAGGCAAATTCTAGGATAGAATTTAATAGTGATAGAAAATAATAGTAACTTAGTGACTACTGAATTTCTGCTTGGGATGATAACATTCTGGAAATAGACAGTGGTGTGACTGCCAGGCATGGTAGGTAGTGCACACCTTCAATCAGACCACTCAGGAAAAGGAAGAAAAAAGTCAAGAGTTCTATGTTTGGGCCTGGAGCAACGGCTCAGTGGTTATGAACACTGGCTGCTCTTCCAGAGGACCTAGAGCCATCTGTGCTCACAACTGTCAGTAGCTCTAGCTCTAAAGGACTAGACAACCTCTTGTGTGCTCCTCAGGCCCCAAGCATGCATGTAGTGCACAAACATACATATAGGCCAAATGCTTATACACAAATAATCATTTTTTTCAAAATGTTTTAAAGTTCTAGACCAGCTTAGGCTACAAGAACTTGTGTCAGGAAAGTGACTATAATGCACATAAATATGACTAATTTTTAATCAATATAAAGAAATAAACAATAAAATCCCTAAAACACTATGTTCCTGCACAAAAATTTTATTCTCAGAGATTTGAACAAAGAGAAAAAACTATTCCAAAATATGGCAAAGCAGGGTACAGTGGCACATACACATAATCCAAGCTGGGAGGTGGTGGCACACACCTTTAATCCTGGCACGGGGGAGAGGGGGCAAAGGCAGGTGAGTCTCTGAGTTCAAGAGTGACTTTCAGGATAACCAGGACTAAAACCTTGCCTCGAAAACCCAAAAATAAATAAATAAATAACAATTTCAAGGCTAAGCCAGGTAACACACCAAGCTGTAGAGCAATCAGCCACACAGCAAGACCATGTCTTAAATACTACTGGCTGGGATGCAGCTTAGTGGTAGATCACTGGAGCGTGTTCCAGGTCCACACTCAATCCCTAACAGGAGAGAACCCCCAGAGCAAAATCCAGACTCATAAAGAAAAAACAAAGCTCAAAAACAGAGTCAGTTGGATGCTATGGACCCTGCCTCTAGCCCTGAACTGCTTGCTCCACAGACTAAGGCAGGAGCCCAGAAGTTCAGAGTGAGTGTGGGGCAATATGACAATAGCCCCTCTCTCAAAATTCAGCAAATAAAAGTAAAAGTTGTAAACTGAAAATGGAGGTGCATGTCTACTATCCCAGTGTCTGGGAGGGAGAAGACGGCATGGGCTGCATCAGACACCACAAGGAAGGAACAAAAAGAGCACTGAGGGCCAGCGACACGTCTCAGTGAGAAAAGGCAAGTTTTAACCCAAGTTCAATACCTCCGACCCGCAAAAGGGTGGAAGGAGGGAACGGACTCCACAAAGTTGTCCTCTGACCTCCAGGCATACGTCTCTGACCCTACCTACTCTGACCCTACCTACGTCACACACTTGCAATCGCAAATAAATAAATAAATAAATAGAATTATGTTATGAAAACATGCTTTCTCCTTTTTAAATTCTTTTTTTCTACTTTTTTATTATTTTTAACAAAAAGGCTGTAAGGACCCTTTTTAAATTCTTATGTGACTTAATCTTCCTATAACAATATTTAGAAAGACAATAAAGACATAAAGCCCCATAGGGTGAAACCATACAGCCAATGTCTCATATACACATTGAAAGCTGGCTATCAACCCAACAGTTTTTTCTAGGAAAGGGGATTATGAAAACTTTCTTTTTCTCTGTATTGTCTGAATGTCTACACTAATCATGAACTCACACAGATAAAACAAAAGCAAAACTAGAAAATTCAAGCTTGAACAAGTACTCTGAGTTACACATGACTCTCAGGTCTTTCAGAGGAACCAGACTCCATCTGCACCACTGGGCACTCCCCTACGACACTTAGCTCCACAGGGACCTCAGGCACATGCACCCCTAAGGCAGGAAAATAAAAACCATCTCGACTCAAGTGAAGCACGAGATTCTTAAAAAATTATTTCAGTAAGCATATCTTGTATGGGTTATAGTGTGTGTGTATGCGTGTGCATATATTATAGCATATGCATATACGCTATATATTATATATACTATATATTATATATATAGTATTCATTATGCCATTTCATGCATATGTATCATTATATCTTATTGTAATCTGTTCCCTTCCCTTACATCTGCCCCATGCTCGGGTTGGCTATCTCCCTGCATTCACCCAAACAGTCTCCCTTCTGTTCCCACATCACAAGTCCATCACCTTTTTATCACCCCTCCCCTCCTTAAGATATCTTCCTCTTCTTTTAGGGGCCCTTTTCTAATCTCATGACTCACGCCAACCCCCACCACCCCATATGTAATTTTAAACCTAGAATGAGATTTAAAGAGAAAAAAATAAGATATTTGAGTCCTTTCCCTATCAAGCAACAACTTATGGATGAAAGGGGGGGGCAGTTAAAAATGACAAAATTGGAGCTGCAGAGTCAGTAGTTAGGAGCACTGGCTGCTCTCTCAGAGGTCTGGATTTTATTCCTAGAATCCACAACCATCTATAACTCCAGTTCCAGGGGATCTAATGCCCTCTTCTGGCCCCTAGGGCATCAGGCATTTGAAAGGTGTACAAGAAGCATGCAGGCAAAACAGCCAGACACATACAATAAAAAATAATTTTAAAAATCTTTCAAATGACCAAGTTGAGGACTCAGAACACAGCTCAGTGGTAAATAGCTTCTGTGACAAGCTCAAAGCACTGAGTTTGATCCTCTGCACTAGGAGAAAACATGTCACAAAGCTCAAATCTAGAATAAAAAGAGGCAAGTTGAAAGTACTCACGTGATCAAAGAAATGTATCACTGCAAGCTTTTTGCTGCGCCTGGTGAAGATCCGCTGAACTTTGGCAATTTTGCCAAAGTGATTCTCCAGGATGGTCCTGTCGTTGAGATAGTCGGGGATGTTCTTGCACTGGATGGCTGTGGACTCTAATGAAGACAAGCCCCCGAGACTGTCTGTGCTCTCGCTTCTTTTACTTTGGCGTGCAGATGTGCCCCTGAGAGAATCTAGGAATTCAGAGGGCAGACACATAGGTCCATCATGTATAACACATCCAAGCAAAAGGAGTCACTGCTATGTAAAAGCATACCAAATGTTCATGGACGCAAGGCCAGCCCTAAGGCTCTATGTTAGGATCTCTAATATTGTAGTGGGGACTTAAATCAAGCTAACACAAGGGAACACACAAGAGCCTGGCAGCAAGGTCTCCTGTTTGGGGTTAGAACTCACCTTCTTTTTCATCTCTACCTTCTGTTTCTTCTTCTTTATTCATAGCTGGAAGCCGGGAAGGTACCAAGGTAGACTGACCTCCTCCTGGCATGGCCATGTGGTCACTTTCCCCAGATCCCACAAAGCCACTTTCCTTTTTAGATTCCTTGCTGCCCAGGCGACCCACTTCTTTATTGCTTTTGAAGACATCCTGTATGGTCCGACCAAACAAAGTGCCTCCCCGGGGTCTGTTCAGGCGGACGGGTCGTTTATCTGGAGGATGGTCACCTCGGGACAGGGGGTCCAAGTCTTCTGCTGCCTCATGGCAGTGTCTCCTTGGGGAGCGTTCCTGGTCCTCTTTCCTTTTTAGTCCTTTCATGGGGGTAGGAAGTGGTTCCACTACAGAAATGGTCTCCTCAGATCCTTGACGGACACCCGTTTTGTTGCTTGAGAAGGGCTCCCCCAAAGGTCCAGAGGATGACATGGGGAAAGTAGTAAAGCTACTGTTTGAACTTCCAAATACTGATTTAGGTCCTCTCTTCTCTTCCTCTACATTTCGGTTAGACAAAGCAGGGGTGAGGACCGATGTTGTATTACTATTAGCTGGTTTTGAAAAGACAAAATTTGAACTAGTCACCGAACTGTTTGTCACCTGAGAAAAAGAAAAGGGGGTCAGGCCTCCAGATCCACTACTCACGGGATGGGGAAATGTGAAAAATCCAGACGCAATTTGGCTCTGGGTTTTCTCTGGCTCTGACTCAGCCCCCAGTATTGGTCTGAACACTGCATTTTCCACAGGTTTAAACTTAAATTCTGTTTTCCTAAAACCAGAGCTTGCTACTTCCCCAGTTTCTGGGCCAAAAGTAGAGCCACTTGGGAAAACCCCTACGGTAGAGGGTGATTTAAAACTAAATCCTGTATTTCCCGGCACAGATGAACTTGAGGGCCCAGAAGAAGCTGCAAAAGAAGGTGTGGATTCAAGACTAGCAAACAGTCCAGCACTTGAGGTCTGGGTGACTCCAAATGTCGGCAATGAGGAGGAATGACTTACTCCAGAGGGTGTTGCAAAGCTTGAGACCTGTGAAAATCCAAGGCTCTTGCCCAGTGTGTTGTTTTGCCCAAAAAGGGAAGGCTGGCCAAACCTAAACGGTGACTTAGTCTGATATGTTCCTGTGGTACTAGAAGATACTGCAAAAGCACTGGGCTGCTGCCCAGTGAAGGGGTTCACGGGGTTCATCTTCAACCCAATTATTTGAAGGAAATAAATACAGTCTATACACAACTAGTCCCCTTCTTTAAACTGCCCGTCACTTGGGGAAGCTCTCCTTCATCCTCAGGATAACCTGAAAAACAAAAGTTCAGAACATCCCAGCATGGTTTGCCACAAGGTCTTAAATAATGGGTAATCTAAGGACAACTTAAAAGGCAAGCGCACGATGGGCCAACAATTCACAGAACCCACAGGTGTTTTTCTATTTTGGACACTGGATGAGAGAGTACAAATAAGTTACTGTATACTGTATAAAGGTTTGTTTTGTTTTTTTACGACAAGGTCTCATTTAGCTCAGGCTAGCCTCAAATTTACTATCCACTCAAGCACAACCTTATGTTCCTTTCTCCTGCCATAGCCTCCCTACTACTAGGATCACAGGCGTGCCCCACCAGGTCTAGCTAAAGCTAAAAAATCTCAATAATAAGACGGAAAAAACATCACTTACGCCAGATTCTTGCGATCTCCAAGGCCAGAGAATTACAATGTAATACTGATAAAACGTCACAGGTTTTGGTTTCCTACCATCTCATGTTTCTCCTGGTAACTCGAACTTGAGATACCTTGCCCTGGAACTAAGTTTTGTTTCCTACGCTGGCAATTCTCAGGAAACAGGGCGTAGTGTCGGGCGAAGATGGCGAAGCCAAGCAGGCCTTCAGCACCTCGATAGGAACACAGTGAACAGCGAATGGCGCCGCAGGAGCGGTTCCGCCAGATCTCGCCCAGTCGCGAGCGCCGAGGCTCACTCACAGTCAACATCCAGCCGCCACCAGGCGCACCTCACTACATCACACAGGCCACTGGGGCCGGCCCTTAGCTGTGTGCGGCGGACATCAAATTCGTCGGACCGACTTCCGGGCCTCCGCATCCGACTTCCGCTCATGGGGGTGTGCTGCTATTGATCTTCCGGCGAGCGATTTACCCGGTTCTCGGTTTCCCATGCTGTTTTGGTAAGTGTGCAGCAGTTTCTCCTTGGGTGTGTAGAAGCACCCGTGCTTGGATCCACTCGCCCGAGTGTCCGAGAGACCCCCATCTTTTCACCCACGCTCACCCTTACCTGGTCCTACACCTCAACAACCGCCCCAAGCCACCTTATTCCGTATATTGTGTGTGCCTTGTCTACCGTGTTTCAGTTTCCTATGGTAAATGCAAATTTCCTTAGAATTGACGATAAGTTCCACCAAATAAAATTTTTGTTTGTTTGGTTTGTTGTTTATTTATTGGCTTTTCGAGACAGGGTTTCTTTGTGTGGCCCTGACTGTCCTGGAACTAGCTCTGTAGATCAGGCTGGCCTTAAACTCAGAGATTCGCCTGCCTCTGCCTCCTGAGTGCTGGGATTAAAGGCGTGCACCACCACCGCCCAATAATAAAGTTTGTTTTATTGTGAGTTCGTATACATTTTCACATAATTTATGACTTTCTAGTTCTGATGGGTCTTTTTTAGAACTTAAACTACAGGTTCCTTCCAATTTTTTTTTTTTTTTTTTTTTTTTTAAAGGCTGGATGTTCTTCCCGAAATGAGTTTGGTGATTAAAAATCTGCAGCGGGTGGTCCCTATCAGAAGAGCGCCACTTCGAAGGAAGATGGATATGATCAGGGGTATTTTAGGAGTGAAGAATTTTGACCTGGGGATTATCTGTGTTGACAACAGGCGTATTCAGCACATTAATAGGATCTACAGGAAGAAAAACGTCCCAACTGATGTGCTTTCTTTCCCATTTCATGAGGTAAAAACAATGTTCCTCACATGCAGCCTGCCTTTTTCCAGAATGGTTGCTATGGGTTATATTACAGATATGGTTATCTTTGGGGATTTTTTGGAATGCATTTACATCTGGCCTTTAATCCCATCTATTCAGGATGCAGAGGCAAACACATCTTTGTGAGTTCAAGGCCAGCCTTGGTCTACTTGGTTAGTTCAAGGCCAGACAGGGCTGTATAACAAACCCCTAATCTGAACCAGGCAGTGATGGCTCACACCTTTAATCCAAGCACTTAGGAAGCAGAGGTAGGTAGATCTCTGAATTCAAGGCAAACCTGCTCTACAGAGTGAGTTCCAGGACAGTTAGGCAGACACAGAGAAACCCTGACTGGAAAAACCTAAAAATAAAACCAAACAAACAAACCAAAAAAACCCACATGTATTAATCAGGGTTCTTTAGAGTCACAGAATTTATGGATTGAATGTATATAAAGAGGTTTATTTGCATGACTTACAGACTACAGTCAAGCTAATCTAACAGTGGCTAGGTGAAAATATAAAGTTCAAGAATCTAATAGTTGCCCACAAGTCTAGGTGTTTCCAATGGTCTTTTGTATCTGCTGGAATCTCGAAGAAGGCTCCAATGACAATGAAGAAATGCATGTGCTGATGAGGCAAGGTAAGCAGGCAAGCAAGAACAAAACCTTCCTTCCATGTCCTTATAAAGGCTCCAGCAGATTTGGCCTAGATTAAAGGTGTCTTCCCACCTTGAAATCTGGATACAGGTATGTGTCTTCCAGCCTCAAGATCTGAATCACAGGTGTGTCCTCCATTTCTGAATTGTAGTTCAATCCAGATATAGTCAAGTTGACAACTAAGAATAGCTATCACAAGCTCCTATCTCAGAAATAAGCAAATAAAAACAAAGGGGAAAGACTATGGCCTATGACCCATGCCCATTAAGTATGTCTGCCCCTAAACACCACAATTCCTCTATTCAGGGACCACACACCCTCCCTCTGTGCTATTAGGGAATTCAAATAAGGGCCTCTGCAATTTTAAATGTACCTCAGTAGTAAATGCTTGGATAGAAAAATGAAAAGTGAAAACTGGTAAACATTTTCAACAAATTAACTACATCATGTAAAAACACTTTTACCCATTGTTGGCAACATAAGTTGGAAATTCTTTTTTAAAGCAAATTGATAATAAACAGTGCTTCAAAAGACTTAAAATGTGTATGTCATTATCTACCGGTGTCATACCTACAGAAATAAATCCCAAGAATGAAGAAGTACAGTGTAACATGTGTCTAAATCTTCACCTTATTGATGTTCTTAACAGTTAAAAAAAAAAATGGAAGGGGGCAAGTGGGAAAGAATGTAATTGTGTCCATATGCCAACTTAACTGTATAGAATGTAACTTACTTTGGTAGGGATAAAAGAACTACATATACTCAGGAAGGGATGAATAACTACTTATACTCGATAACAAAAACATAAATAATTTGATGAGATCAAAGCTTGTGAGGGCCATTGTGTGTGACAACTATGCAGTCTACTCCCTTTGATGGTACTTAGCCTCCATCATGTGGTTTTAGCATCCTTGGTCAAAAGTCTTGTGTCCTCTGATGGACAAGGGAGCCAAGTCCCTATGGTTGGGCTACTCCATGAAAGGCCTCCAACTTTGTTTCCTCATTTTCAGGATCTGAAAGCAGGGGACTTTCCTCAGCCATACTCATCAGATGATTATAATTTGGGAGATGTTTTCCTAGGAGTGGAATATATCTTCCAGCAGTGTAAAGAAAATGAAGATTACTATGACATCCTGACAGTAAGTAGGGATGCAAAATTACATATACTTGCTAACAAAACTCAAGCCATAGAGAAGATTGAGAAGGGGACTCCTGTGTGTACACTAGTATTCACAGGTACCATTGTATTACTCTTAGATTAGCAATTGTCAGCCCTGTTCCTCTTGCTTGTATTTAGCCTCTCCCTCTCCTTTCTGCTTAACTTTTTTTTTTTTTTTTTAAGACAGATGTAGGCTTAGGATAGAGGGATGACTCAATGGTTAATAGGATGCACTGTTTTTCCAGATGACCTGAGTTCTTGTCCCAGCACCTATGGGGTGTTTCACAGCTGCCTGTAACTCCTGCTCCAGGGAATCCAATGTCCTCATCTGGTCTCCCAGGTCATTTGTACTCACTTGTACATACAGACACATACAAACAAATTTAAAATAATAAAAAATGAAAATATGTATAGTCACTACATTGCCCTGGCTGGTCTTAATCTTTTTGGTTCAATCAATACTTCCCTCAGCCTTCTTGATCTGAGACTACAACAATGAGCCACCCTTCCCTCCTGCTTTATTCTAATTGGATTCCTGATACTGCCTGCCAGGGACAGTCAACTCTCTTTAATTGCCCAGTCCTATTGTTACTCCATACTAATTAAGTGAACTGTGTGAAATGTTTCATTTTATTTTGTCTTTTTTTTTTTTTTTAAAGATTTATTTATTATGTATGTAGTGCTGCTGGCAGGCCAGAAGAGGGCACCAGATCTCATTATAGATGGCTGTGAGCCACAATGTCATTGCTAGGAATTAAACTCAGGACCTCTGGAAGAACAGCCAGTATTCTTAGCTCTGAGCCATCTATCCAGCCCAAAATGTTCCATTTTAGATAGGAGGGAACTGAAGTTGGAATGTAGATCAATAATGAGCACTTGCCTAGATAGGAGGGAACTGAGGTGTCTTAGCTTCTGTGCAGTGAAGTAACTACATGTCCTTTCCCGGTGTCCTGCATAGGACAACTCAGCCTTACAAGGGTACTCCATGTCCCTGAAGGGGCAGCTTTCTGGTAGATCATACCATGAGTTGACTTCTCATTTACTTCAACAGGTGACAGCCACCCATGGACTCTGTCACCTTCTGGGCTTCACCCACAACTCCAAGGCTGAGTGGCAAAAGGTAGGAACAGTACCTGTGCAAGGAGCAGATGTAACCCTAACCCCTGGGTTACTTGACATGCACCCGATGGCAAGTTCCTGAACTATGAGCAGGTTTTTCCCCCAGCCTAGTCCCACAGTCACATTAGCCCCAAGTAACACACAGAGACTCTCTGTATTAGATACAAAGCTGTTGGCCTGTTACAAGCATTTCTTATTGGCTAGCTCTGTCTTAAATATTAACCAATTTCTATCAATCTAAGTATTTCCACATGGTCTTATCTTACTGGAGAGAGGTTCTGGGGTTCTGCTCTCTCAGTCCTACATTTTGAATCTCCTCCTACGTCTCCCTGAATTCTTGTCTCCTAGTCCTGCCCATCTTGCTCTTCTATTGGCCAACAGGGCTTTATTCATTAACCAATACGAGAAGCATATTTGCAGAATGGCATCTCCCATCATACACCTTTAATCCCAGTACTCGGGGATGGGGGCAGAGACAGGCAGATCTCTGAGTTCAAGGACAGCCTGGTCTAGAAAACGAGTTCCAGGACAGCCAGGGCTACAAACAGAAACCCTGTCTTGAAAAGAAAAAGAAAAAAAATGGTGAGGTAATGTTTTTAAGTAACTGACTCCTCATGATACTTGTATAGTTCACTGCTGAAAGGCACCTGAACAGACAGATTAAAAGTTAAATTCTGAAGTGCTAGCTATTTTTTTTTAAATGATGTATTTATCATCTCTACAGTGTTCTGTCTCCATGTATGCCTCCATGCCAGAAGAGGGCACCAGATCTCAAGATGGTTGTGAGCCATCATGTGGTTGCTAGGAATTGAACTCAGGATCTCTGGAAGAATAGCCAGTGTTCTTAACCTCTGAGCCATCTCTCCAGCCCCTACTAGGGGTCAATAGATACTTAATGTTTAGAAGAACCCAACATAAACAAACAAACAAAAACCACCATTCCCCCCCAAAACAAAACAAAAACGGCCATTTGGCAACATGTAATATGAAGTAGTGGTTCTTTTTTTCTAAAGGCTGATGGGTACCACATTTATAAAGCGCACTTTGGTTTCTAATAGGCTTAGATTGTGTTTTTAAGGAAAGTCTATTGCTCAGAATGAAATTCTATAAAAGCAATATTTTCTGTTTATGTGTGTATACCTTCATGAGTTTATGTGCACCATGTGTGTGCAGGTACCTGCAGAGGCCAGAAGAGGGAGTTGATGTCTTGGAACTGGAGTTTCAGTGGTTGTGAGCTGCCTGATGTGGATGCTGGGAGCCAAACCCAGGAAATCTATGAGAGCAGTAAGTGCTCTTAATTGCTAAGCTCAGCTCCCATGAATGAATTTTTTTTCTTCAGTTAAAAGTAAACCTTCTTCTGGCTCTGCTACCACCCAGCCCTTTCTATGCCAGATCTCTTGCTGCTCCACACTTCCCTTGGGTCTCCAAGCTTCTCCCCCATCCTTTGAGGGACCCCGCTCTGACTTTACTCCTTTGCACTGCCTGTCGTCACCTCCTGTCCTCCCATGGCTCTTTCAGTCTCTGTACAGGTGCTACCCTCAGACTTATATATAGCTGAGATGGGGGCTTGTGCAAGAGGAAATCTGAGAGGAGTCTGACTGGGGACAAGGGTCCCAGGAGTACCCTCTTACCATCTTGTGTGCTGCTGTGTCCCAGATGTACAACCAGGAGAAGCTGGTGCTGGAGGAACTGAATCGCTACACTGGAGCCAGGCTCCAGCCCCTGAGCAGGGGCCTCTACTAATGCTTTGATGCCATGAGACGGAGACCTCAATGGACAGAGTCCTGTCCCTCCAGAGTGGATCTCTGCAGGTCATGCTGTCCTGGATGACATCAGCCCACACTAAAGCTTAATTCTGTGAGTGGAAACTAACTTCAGAAAGTATCAAACAGGTGTCTGGCTGGTTCCTGCTCTGCTTAGAAGGCTGCCTTGTAAACAGTAGTTCTAAGCCATTCCTAAGAGAAGAAGCATGTAACTTTGTATGCTTCTTTGGATTTCTGACTGTAGAGTTTGGGTAGACTGCCCTGTCTCCCTGAAGTGGAAACCCCACCTCAAAACACTGAAGTCTGATCTTCCTAAGAGGATGGACACTGAAGAGATGCAGGCAAGGTTGCCATCCCAGCCCTTAGGGACTCTGTGACCTGAACCTTGCTTGCTCTACTCCTAAGAGCTACCTTGTGTTCTCAATTTTCTTAAGCCATTGGCTGTAGACATGATAAGAAAGCCCACTGACCTACAAATCCTGTCTCCTGAGGGCCAGAGATTCAGCCAGGCCCATCTCCAATCCCTTTATGTTGCTGTTGTAATTTTAAATTAAATCTTGTTTATTTGATGTATGGGTGCTCATTCTCCACAACATGCATGTGTAGGTTAGAGGACAACTGGGGGGGGCATGGGGGACGGGTAGAGAGATGGCTTTCTTCTCCTTCTATGGTGCAAGTCTGAAAGGTTGAAGTCAGGTTGTCAGGCTTGAAAGAAAGTTTTTACCTTCTGAGCCATCCCACCGACATCTTCTTGCCCCTTGTGGTCCTGCTACTGGGGCTCCTCCTATTTGATGTCAGAGGCATGATAATTCTGCTCAAGACCTGGAGCATGGGATGGTGGTCTACTTGAAGTTCAACTTTACTGGACGTGCTAAATGCCTATGCAAGTCTGGATCACTTGTCTTCCCAGCATGTATCCAATAGTCATGTGCCTACATAGGGTTTTCTGCCATGTCTACACTCATATACCTATGCCAGTCCATTCTCTCCTCATCATCTTTGAACAACGACTGCTCCTGTGTTGCTTAGTTTTCTGTTTTCCTTTTTCTTCCGTTTGGTGTTTCTGGTTTGGTTTGGTGGGTATTTTTTGGTTTAGTTTGGTTTTGTAGTGCCAGGGATGGAATTTGAGGTCTTGTCATCCTTAGCACGTGCTCTACCACACTTCTGGCCTGTTGCTCTGCTGACCTAAATCTGTGGTTTGGTACCTGAGACCAGCCAACCTGGCGTGGCTCCCAGCCTGTGGGGGCAGGTTCTGTCTTGCTGCTCCAGGGGTACTCTGTGTTACTTTGTTAGTTCGTGCTTATTCCAGGTTCAGCACCACCACCACCCCTTCTGTGAAGGCTCTATGATCCTGATGAAAGAGAGTTACATGAAATCCATGGACTGGTTGCTGGTCTTTAATTGATGCTTTTAAGGAAAACAAGGTTCTCTGGAATCACACCTAAGGTGCACTGAAAGATGTTTCTGTAGGAAGCGGATGTCACCACCCTGAAGCTCCCATGGGAGTGTGTTGCATTGTCTTGATTGTCCCCATGGACATCATATCACTGTCTTCACTGTGGAAGCCGGGTCAGGCACAGGAAAGGTCCACATAGGGTTAACTGGCAGTTCTGACCTATAGGGTTCCAAGGATTCAACAATAGGGACCAGCTTTTTTGTGAGGAACATAACAAATGAAAAAAAATGTGACCATAAGCAAATGAAAGCTTTCTGTAATCCTTGAAAATAGCATCTGTGAAGACAGGTGGAATGTAGCACTCCAGTAATCCCAACTACTAGAGAGGCCGAGGCAGAAGAATTACAAGTTTGAGGACAGCCTAAGCAACTCAGTGAAATGTTATCTCAAAGTGGTAAAAGGGCCATGGGTGTTGACTTAATGGAAGACTACTTGGCTAATGTGCTCAAAACCCAGGGTTCAATCCAGTATCACAAAATAATACATCTTTAAAAATAAAACATTAAGCCAGGTATGGTGACACATTCCCTCCCAGCACTCGGGAGGCAGAGAAAGGAGGATCCTTGTGAGGGTAGGCAGGCTTGGTCTACACAATGAGTTCCAGGACAGCCAGAGCTACATAGTAGACCTTATCTCAAAACATTAAAACAACAAGGAAGCTAAGCATGGTTAGCCATAACTTTAGTCTCAGCTTTCAGAAGTCAGAGGCAAGTGGAGCTCACTGAATTTGAGTTCAAGGTCAGCTTGGTCTACATAGTATGTGGCTAGTCTGGTCTATGTGGTAAGACCCTGTCTCAACAAACAGACAAAAGAAGAAGACAGGCATTAATTGTACATATGTGAAAACCAAGCAGCAGGCAAGCTAAAATAGAACTGTAAGTTGGTTGTCAGTCTGGGCTCAAAAACTAAGCAACAAGAAAACCCAAACTGGAAAGAAAACCAATTTTACCATAACAACAAAAAAGACATCAGAAAGTCAAGGAAGCATACACACATATATGAAAAGAAAACTGACAGGCCCAGGGGACAGTTGGGACAGGAAAGCAACAATCCATTCTCTACAAGCCAGGGATGATGTGTAGGCACAACTCAATGCAGTAGTGGAGGACTGAGGGACAACCAGCAGAAGTCGGTCCTTGTCCCCCATCCATCCATCCATCCAGTGTGTCCTGAGGATAAAACTAAGTTTTATCCTTTACCTTCTGAGAAAACTTGTTGGCTCTGTATGCTTTAAAAGAAATCACAGCGAGGCGGTGGTGGCACACACCTTTAATTCCAGTGCTTGAGAGGCAGAGGCAGGCAGATTCTGAGGTCATTCTGGTCAAAGAACTAGTGTTCCAGAACAGCCAGAGCTGTTACACAGAGAAACCCTGTCCTGAACCCCTCACCCCCCCCCCAAAAAAAAGGAAAAGGAAATCACATCACTTGTTCTTCTACTTGCTTCTTTCACATTAGACTGAAGTGATCATTCCAGGTATGACAATCAGGTCTCCCCAGTTACTATGTTTGACTTTCTCTTGCTTTGTGTGTGGGCATGTTGTAGCGCATCAAGGACATAACACAGGTCCTCACAAATGTTGAACAAACTGTCTACTACTGAGCTATATCGCTGGCCCTAATTTGACACTTCTTCCAGCCTTCCATAGGAATGTTAAATATCAAGTCTTTCATAATAAAATGTTGGTGTTTCACATGGGTGAGGCATCGGTCTCCTAGCTTTCCCAGATGGCCTGGAGAGTAATCAAGGCTGAAGACCATGATGCTTACTGAGATAGGTCAATGACCTGACACACCTGGAAAGGCAACATGGTTTCTGGTGCATCCAGAGGGGAAAATCAACGGTGTCAAATGGGGGTGCTCCACGACCTGGCCTGAGATAAAGGACAGTCTAGGGGACCAGTCCTGATAAGCTGTCAGAGATATAAGGCAGCTTTCCCAGAGGGTGACATGGCTCCACATGGTCTGGCAACAGGGGCTGAGACCTACAAATGACATTTTTTTTTTTTTTTCTGGATCCTTCAAATCAGCCACAGTGCATTGGCCTGACCACAGGGTACATGTGTTCTTTGGCATAATTGAGGAGAGGTGACCAGGCCCATCTTTCCACTTACCTGCTTTCTCTGTCTAGGCTTATGTGCTAAGGGTAGCTGGGATGGGAAGTAGTTGGCTCAGTCAGATGGCTCACAGTGGGCAAGAAGCTGGCCACATGTGGGAGGGCAGCAGCTGCAACCACTGGAGGCCATGCAGAATATCCTGAAGGGGCTCCAGATGTGGAGGCAGCCTGCAGCTGGGTGGGGGGTGCATAATGGTGGTGGTGGTGCACTGGGGGTGGCTTCTGCTTTTCAGCTCGCAAGACTCCATGGTGCACCCATCGTTGGTCCTGGCAGAGTACACATCCAGGTCAGGACTGCAGCATCCTTACCCTATGCCTGGGCCCAGCTTGGTGGGAAGGGCAGCAGAATGTGATGGGAGTACAGCCTGGGCTTAGAGTTCTCTGCCCCAGCTATGTTACCTGTTCCTCATTGCCTTCACCACATACCCTCAAGCCAGAGGAACCCTTGCACAGGTACCCAGGAGCACCCCACTCCCAGTCAGTGGCTAAATCTCAGCATCCAAACCTACCTGGAGGGTAGCAGCACGTGGGCCTGTGGGCCCAGGTGGCAGGGCTTTGAGCATCATGTTTTGCATGAGGATCTGGTGCATCTGTGCATTCTGCATCAGCATCATCTCCACCATGTCTAAAAGGAGATCAGGTCTTACATATGTGTTGGCTGTCACCAGGGTAAGGAGCCTGACTTATCCCTTGGCCTCCACTAGTGCAGTGTGATGTGTATACAACCCTACCCCCATGGCTAAATAAATGTAATTAAAACTAAAACATGTGGCTGGAGAGATGACTCAGTGCTGTTCTTTCAGAGGACCTGGATTTAATTTCTAGCATCCACGTGAAAGCTAACAACTATCTGTAATTCCAGTTCCAGAGGACCTGATGTCTAATTCTAGCCTCTGAGAACAATGCATGAACATAGTACACTGATATACAAGCAGACAAAGTTAAAATCCCTTTCTAAAATGACTTAGAAAGTATCAGGTCTCAATACCCCAAAATGACAGTCTGGGCTCAGTTGATGCTAGCTAGACTCTGACCTGGAATTCTAAACATTCAGCATTCCTCAGAAACCTTGTAATGTGGATTCCTGTTTGCCTTGAAAAGCCACTTCTTATCTGCTCCTACAGGCCCCTGTCTCCAGAAAGGGCATTTAGTTCTCTGATAATTCAAACAAGCTTCTAGCAGATCAGAGCCCCCACAGAGGCAGAAAATAAACAACTCACAAGTCTCAGGAAGTCTTTGGAACCTATCAGATACACAAAGTACCCCTTCCACGATTATATAAGTAGTAAGGACTGCTGAGGGATCAGCTAAACTATCTGGAAGAGACCCTTTGACCTATTGATTTGCAGAGCTCTCCAGCTTTCACAAGTCATTACCCATCCTGGGGTGGGCTTTTGGTGATTCAGCTGCCTTTTTAACCCCAATAAACTCATTGACTCATGAAGTTTGACTTTAGTGGTACTGTTACTTTTGTGTGCTATTGGTTCTCTATCTGGGCTGACTAGAGTTTATGTTGCATCTCACCAGGAAAAGCGTCACATTACACCTACTTACAAAATACTTTCCCTTTCACTATATAATTTCACAAACCTAAAAAAATAGCAATCTAGAACGCATACACACCTTCCTTGATACTTCCAGATCTTTGAGTGGGAAAGGCCTGAGGAGGAGAAATCTGTGCAATCAGTGGCTGCTGGGGTAACTGCTGAATGATGGTGGCAGGAGGCTGGGGGACCTAAGAAAGGCCAGTTGGTTAGCTATCTGGATGTACAGTCTTCACAAGTACTCTCCATCCATCTGTGTGCACACTTAACTATCTGTCTATCCACCCAGTCATTTATCCATCTGTCTGTCCTTCTACCTATGCACATACCCATCCACCCACCCATTCACCCATTCCTCTGTCTATCATCCATCTGAAAAGAAACTTAAATGATTAACACTAATTGAATAGAATTTTTTTACATCTGGCTATCATTGGGACTCTGTTTTGTTTGTTTTGTTTAGTTTTGTTTTGTTTTGTTTGAGACAAGGTCTCCCTGTGTAGCTCTGACATAGAACTGGCATAGAATTCACTATGTAGACCAGACTGGCCTTGAGCTTGTGGTGGTCCTTTGGCCTCTTAACTCCAGAGTATAGGATGCAAGTATATTTACCACATCCAGCATGTATATGATATTTTTAATGTTTCTCCCATCTCCTATCTTCAGGAAGGTAGTTAACGCCTGGTTAATTTTGCTTTAATAGATTTAACAATTGATGTGTTCAGTTTTTTAACTTTTGTACATTTTAACAGGAGTAGGGTGGAATTTCATGGTGTAAGGAGTCTGGGGTAACCCTGCTGGATGAAAGCCGGGTGTTCACAAGTCTCCCAGTGGCTTGTCTATTGTAGCACCATCACCAACTTTGCTGTTTACTGCAGCTCTCCCATATAAGACAGGGCATATGTAGACCTTGTGCACAGATAGCCTCTGGTTTCTCCTCTGAGTGAAGTAAGTGTGACCGATTTCAAGCCAACACCAGAGACTTGTCTAATCCCCATTACAAACCTCCAGTGAACTTGCCCCTTCTTTCTATTCTGAGACCAGACTCAGGAGCTTTCTCCCCCAAGAGATGCAGTAAATTAGGGCTCATGGGCCACGTGGGCTCAGTTTAAAATGAGAACAGCCACAGACAGATGTCAACATGAGCTCTTATCAGTACTATTTCATGAAAATCAAAATGCATCTTCCTGTGTTTCACAAGGTAATTTTTTCTCTATCTCTCTGTAAACATGTAAGAGTACGAAACCAGCCAGATTAAAACCAGTGCATGGTTTTAATCTCAGCACTCGGGAGGCAGGGGCAGGAGGCATGGTCTACATAGTGGGGTCAGCCGCGTGAGTTCCAGCCAGCCAGGGATACCTAGTGAGACCTGTCCTGTCTTGATAGCAAACACAATGGCCCTGACTGCAGATAGAAATGCAGGCCAGACCATCTGAAACCTGGGTGCAGACAGCTCACAGCAAAGGGCTTCTGTGGGTTCACTCCCTCTGCTAAGTGCTGCTGCCAGTTTTCCTGCCCATAGGGCAGTTGTCTTCCAGGTCACCAACATGGTCAGAACATGGTTTTCTCCTGTGCCTATTCTCCTCAAACACACTGAGTCCCAAACATAGGCCTCACCTGGACTTCCTAACTCCTCTGCTTAAGAACATTCTTTCTGAGCCATTGAGATGCTTAGCAGATAAAGGTTAGCAGATAAAAAAGGCTTGGTGACTTGACTTTGGTCCCCAGAAGCCATGTAACAGTAGAAGGGCAGAACCAATTGCACAGTATTGTTCTGACTTCCACATATGCACTGTGACGCATGTGTCCCACATATGTATCTCACACACACACACACACACACACACACACACACTAATAATACATACAATTGTAAACACACACACACACTAATAATACATACAATTGTAAACACACACACACACATACATATATTATTTACTCAAGTAGTCAGTTGATTTCTGTTGCTTGCGACTCAGAATGCTGTGTGTAGGTCACACCACACAAAGCTCTCTGAATGGTATGTTCTGCTATTGGTCACTCTGTCCCTAAGCCAGGATCTTAAACATCCCTGGTTACTTGAAGTATGAAAGGGTTGTGTTTCTCTGAATTCAGGGCCCACTGGTGCTAAACTCCCCCGCTAATGCTTCCAGTGCAGCCGTTAGGTTGGTCTAGTCTGGAAGAGATGAGCGAGTCCTTGGCCTCCCTCCCTGGACTGGGAGAGAGAAACAACTCTGGCCTCCCTACTGGAAACACAGTACACTTCTGTGTTGCTATAAAGTCTCAGTTCTGACCCTCCTTCCCCACCAGAAGTTGCTGTTACCCAAGAGTCCTACCTGGTGCTGGATGATCCTTGGTGGCTCTGGGGGTAGGGGCAGAGGTAGGGAGGCAGCAGGGAAGACATCCATGGGAGGCACCTTTGGGTTCAGGGCTGGCGCCAGGGTTCTTTCATGTGTCCTCCAGGCATGGGCTGGAGAGTGCCCATCCATCAGTTGCTGTTCCTAAAAGGTTGACAGCCTGTTGCTTATAAAGCCATTAGCAGAGGACTCTGACTCAACCTACAAACCTCACTGGGTGAACAGGCTCTCTCCAGTATGGTTTTCCCATGTCTGACCCCTGCCAGGGACTATGGCACCCAAATGTTCAGTGTGGAATCCCTGGAACTAGGGATCTCTTTGTCTTTCTTCCCAATACAACCATATTGAATAAATCTTTTTGTTTCTGTTTTCCACAGTTAATTTGATTTTAAATTGGCTTGTTGAGAATGGGTGGCCAGATTGGACTTGGGACAAAGGTTGTGACCCCAAGTTCAGTAATACTCCTTGGTAAACACTTGGAAATTCTGTTTCTCTTAACATATACCAACCACTTGCAGTAAGTTTCTGGTTGTTGTTATTGTTTCCCAGCCAACAATCTAATGGTTCTTCATGCACTTTGGCATCTGCCCTGCTGTAGAAAGAGCAAACCTCTTGTTCCAAGGGGGTATGGAGATGACACCCACACAGATGCTTCTAGGCAGAGCCACTTCTTGCTGCTGGCCAGTTAGTTTATGTGAGCTCTGTGTTCAATGGGAATGGGCCTTGACTCATTGCCTGCTCTGTGGCAATGGCCTGAGCAGTCTCTAAGTTCATATACTGATTATACCTGGCATTTTTACTTTCTCTAATTTCCTCGGGAAAGTGATGGGCTGTGAATATTATTAGTCTCTTAAATGCTCACGGTTCAGTTACCCAACCCCAATTTGCAAACATTTGCTAACTGATTCCAGGAATACAGACAAGCATTCATTGGTGTCACTGAGCCAGTGTATTAGCCCATGGAGAGTTAGGATTGGATTCAGCAGAGGGTACAAGCCTACCCATAGTCTCTGTAGAAGGTCCTTCCTTCTCCTCAAAGCACTCTGCAGGGCAGTGTCTGGCTTTTCCTGCTTCCCTGGATAGAGAAGGCACACATCACTGAGGAATGTATCCTAGCTGGTGGCTATGGCACCCTGCACCTTAGGGTCCAGAGTAGCCTGGAGTCTCTTAGTTTGTGTCTGTCATAACATCTATACCAAAGAAGGAAGGACCAGGGCTGGGGCGGGCAGAGAGGGGGCTTGGTAGACAGGGAAGAGCTTGGTTAGTCAGCTCAGTGGATTTTCTTGGTGCTGGAAGTCATGGAAAGTCAGTAGAACATATCTCTCTTAGTGTTCCAGCACTCCTGGACTGCAGGAGGCCTCCTCAAGCCCAGTCATACCTTGATAGCTCTGGCCCCAAGCTGTCTAGAAAAGACAGGCATGCTCACCAACTGGAAGGAGAGGATCTTACTCCAGAGAAAGCTCTGGAAGTGGTCTGCTTGCCCTGCCATCCTACTGGAATTGGGAGTTTGATGATGCCAGGGCAGGTGTCTCCGGAAGCTTTACCTGGGATGCCCTCTGGCACATCTGTGGCCATTGGGTTGTGTGTAGGTACCTGAAGCATATAGCCTGGTTTGCCATTTTCCATCTAGATTCAAGACTCCCAGGTTTGGCCATCTGCCCTCATTGTTCCCAGAGTTACCCACAGCCATGAATACTCTAAAGACTAAGACATGTTCCTCTGGCCTCACATCCTCATTCAAATGCCCATTAGCCTATATTCTGGGATGAAGAATAAAGATTGAGCCCCTGCCCATCCCTGGAATTAGAGCGATATAAGTCTGAATTGGTTGGGATAATTTCTGCACTGAGCAATCTGAGGTATGTCACTTGACCACTCTGTGGCTACATTTTCTTATCTACAAGATGCGTTTCCCCTAAGAGTCGGCTTACTAAGGTACAGCATGTGTACATGCATTTGTTTTACAGGTGAAAACAAAAGCAAGGCCTGCTCTGCCTGCCCATCTCTTGGTCTGTTCTCCTTCCTACCTGTATGTGCCCAAGCATCTTAATGCTCTCACCTTCTCTGTCCAAGTTTTCTCGTTCCTGTTCCAGCATCTGTAAGGAGGAAACTGTGATGGTGGTTTGACTCCAGGTTGGTGAGTGGACGCTGCACTGCCCACCTGCCTGTGTAGCTGATATTCCAAAAGCTCTAGGAGTGGTCAGCTCCCAAAATGAGGTATGGAGGGCAAAAAGTACTTTTCAAGTGAGTAGATGGGGCAAGATAACCATTCTCTTAAGGGTATTCTGGTCATAGTCTCAAACATAATGTATGCTATCCATCCTAAACCCAAAGGGGTTACTCTGAGGGGCCCCAAGGTGATGATCCGGTGAGACACAAGTAGGACACCCTGATGCACAAGGGGTACACTGGTGAACTCTGGGGTTTTCCTACTGGGATCCAAAGGGGACACTCTGATGGGAACCAAAAGGGATGTTCTGATGGGCCCTAAGAGGGCACTTTTATGGGTCCCAAGGGTTACCCTGAAGAGCCCTGAGAGGGTTGCTCCAGGCAGATTTCTGAGTAGCAACCCTTGCAGAGACTACCCTCAGTTGGTATCCAGGACCACTAGGACCCTGAACTAGGGGTTCCAGGATTGGTAATAGGTAGGAAGTAAAAGAAGAACGATGTAGGAAAAACATACGGAGAAGTTAACCATGGGCAGCACAGGTCCCCATGGACCTAAGCATCATGACTTGTAATGGTCATGGATCACTCAGAATTTCACAGATGGCTGAAAAGGTGGAGAAGACTGAGCATGACCAAGTTTCTCCCTGGGCATGTTGGGCTCTATCTCCACAGTAAGGAGTATCCCTTTAAACAAGAGTCTGGAGGTACAGGGGCTTTATAAGGCTGCGCCCTAGAATGGGCCAACAGGGATTGACCACAGCAATGGGTAGGCTCTGTCTTACCTGTTCCAGGAGTCGCAACGTCAGCCGAGTCATCTGATCTGTCACTGAGGAGTCTGACATCCTAACAACTGTTTAAGAGGCCTGCAGAGAAGAAGCTGAGGTCCCACTCTGCCTTGGCCCTTGGTTACATTCAGCAAAGAGCCCCCTCAGGGGTCATGGTGCCTCAAGACAAGAGAAGAGTAATAGGAGATTGCCTGGGCTTCAGTGCCAGACTTTGCCCTGGAGTTGTGACAGTTGCCAGCCTGTGGAAGAGAGGTCTTGGGTTGCCAGGATGCCTCTGAGAGTCCAGTGAATGGGTTGCCTGTAAACAATGATCCACAGGCGTGGTCAGGCACAGATCAGTGGGGGGGTGGGTGGGGGGGTAAGAGGCCAGGGGGTCAGACTTCGGAATCCTCCAGATGCCACTTACCCAGGGAAATAGTGTAGATGAATGAGTGGAGGACTCCCCATCCCCTCTAGAGACACACCCACTGCTGTGGTCACCCCTGTTGCTCTGCTCAAATCTCCTGCCTGTGCAAACTGCCAGGAGAAGTTCCTGCTTCCAGAGCTAGCCCTCCCCCTCCCCCTCCCCCAAGTCTGGCTTCATAATGAAGAGCTTTGACATCTTTTTATTTTATTTTATATAACAAGTCTAATTAAATGAAAACAAACATTTATACACAATATTTGGGAAAGAGCTTTGACTTCTTGTTTGCTTCTTTTTGCAGCTTACAACCAATTAGTTTCTAGCAGTTTCCTAAGTCAGGAGGCAGGCTGTACCTACCAGCAAGTGCATTTCTGTGCATGGCCCTGTAAAACTGCCTTAGCGATGCTCTTGTCCTTACTTGGAATCTTCAAAGCAAACAGGCAGTGTGGCTGGACACCCAGGAGGAACATGGGGAAGGAGCTTCCTGAGGGCTTCAGGAAATTTTTTGTGCCAGAGACTTTGGCCACAGAGGAATAAAGGGCACCTCCTAAGGGGACACCCAGCTAGATGATGCACTTGCATAGAGGGTGCAGACAAGAATACAGAAAAGGAGGTCACATATGGGGGTGGAGGTTCTAAACCAAATGGGATGTAAGTCAATGCCTCCTCTTGAAAAAGGAGATGCAGCTGGGCCATACGCAGCAGGGTCTAATTAAGCCCTATGAACCTAAGAAACAACGGAACCCCTGGAACCCTGCTAACTCTGGAAACTACATCATATTGAAGGAGAGTTACAGGGACATACACAGAGAAGGAAAGCAAAAGCAGGTTCCCTGAGAAGGTAGCTTCTTTTCCCAGAAGACATTGCTAGAAGAAACAGCAAGGCAAGGGGGTGGGTGTCATAAACAAGACCAGTAGGGGAAAGGGGAAAACTGTCCTCAGCTGGGACATCTGGGATATTTTCCCTCAGTTGACTTGGCTTTCTGCAAGTTAGTGCCTTTCTTATGACATTGTACTGAAGGCATAACCTATCAACACCACTTTACCCTTAGAAGCAGCTAACCTGTTTCTCTATTGCAAAATGCCTATCCTCTTTCTGTGCTGGCCTCTTTGGTAGGGAGTTGCTAGGCACAGTAAATGTTTACAGGGTAGGGAGCCATGTCCAATGCCTGTGAGAGCATCTGTGTAACTCACCTGAATAGCTTTTAATACTAAAAATAAATTGAAATAAGATCCCAGTACTATGATTGCAGAGCTTCCTTCACGTTTCTATGTAAATGACTTTCTGCAGATATTGGCTCAGGTGAGCTGGGCACACGCTCCCCTACTGCCTGCTGTAAATGGATAAAAATAACATTAAAACTGGAGACTGAGGTATGATTCAGGGTTTTAGTTGTTCTTGGGAAATCTGATCTTGCTATCTTTCTTGCCCCTTCTAATGAGCCTACTCTCATTTGCACAAAACACCTGGTTCTGAATCTAGGACTCAAGAGGATTCCACTAACCAAAGGGGACTGTAATTTGACCCAGAGAGGAGTACTTCTTTGTGGCTTTGTTTCCAAAACCTCCTGAAGTTTTGTTTAAGTTGTAGCCACTTAGGTGCATGTCTTCCACTAAGGCTGACAGTATCACTCCTGTGAGTTAAGGGTATGATTTGTTTCTGCTTCTGTCTGAAATGCAAACCACCACAACAAGCCATGCCCAGGTGGAGGCATCAGGTAGGTCAATTTAGCAGAAAGTACCCCAAACCCACTGATCTAACCCAAGGAGGCATTCAGTGTGTTAAGACAGTGGACTTTATCAGAAGGCCTGCCCTCCTGTGCCTCCATCTTTCTGGGTCATCTCCTAACTATAGTCATTTGGGGCTGTGTTATATTACTAGCTTCACCAGGTAGGGCTGCAGCAAGTTCTGTGGATGTTCACCTTTTTCCTTATGGGAGAACCATCAAGAGGTACTGAAATACTTAAGAAAGGTCAGGTTGTGCTGGGCATTGTTATCAAATGTCTTTAATCCCAGCACTCCAGAGGCAGAAGCAGGTGAATCTCTGTGAGTTCAAGGCCAGCTTCAGCTCAGAGCTAATTCTAGGACGGCTGCAGCTGTTATACAGAGGAGCTCTGTCTCAAAACAAAACAAACAAACAACACCAAAACTATACCTGACAATGAACAAATTACTTCTCATTCCTCTTCATAAGTGTTTTGCCACACCAAAAGGGTCCCCCTACATGCTGAGAAAGGGTTTTGATATGTAAAAACTGTCATGTGATTTTTACAGTATCACTTGTAAAGGCACATGATGCACCCCCCCCCCCCCCCGTGCCTCAGTTGCACCCAGTGTGATGTCATTTCAGAATTTTGAATTTAAAAACCGTACCCTCCTTTGCATGGAGCTCGAGTCTTCTCAGACAAGAGCTTGCTTGTGGTCAGCTGACTCAATGTACTCTCTACTGACTCATAAAGATTGGTGATCCTACCTTTCTCTAGTGAACCATTAAAATACAACTGCTCAGTATTTCCTGTTTCCCATTTGTTACTCCCCCCTATCCTACTCACAGCCTCTAGCTCTCTCTCCCCCTTGCTCTCTCCCTCTGTGTGTGTGTGTAGGGGGGACACATCATATCATAAGGAATGGTTTTAATGAAATGAAAAGCATTTACAGAAATATACATGACTACAGAAAGAGAAACGTGCACTTGACATCAATTACAGGGCTCTTAAATCTCCTTCCTTTGATATGTGAATGTCAAGAATAAAGCCTCTTCTTGTCTTCCCAGCACAGTCGACCTGGAATGTTTGCCTTCATTGTGAGTACTATTCTTTCAGTGAGACGCCATCTGCCCACACCAGGTGTTAAGGTTAATTGACAGTTCACAGTTAACTGACAGAAGAGGACGGGTATTGGAGCTCCTGAAACTAGAGTTACAGGCAGTTGTGACCTGCTGTATGGTTGCTGGGGACTCAATCCAGGCTCCTTTGACAGAGCGTAAGTGGAATTTAGACTGATGTGGAGAGCAGGGACAGGCTCCTTTAAGAGGGTCTGCGTCTGTGATGATTGTAAGGGAGGGTCCAGTGAACCCCTGGACTAGGCCACTCTGTTGGAGGAAAGTGTGTAGTTAGAACCCCCAGCTCACCTGGGCATGATCCAGAAAGCCCCATTCCTGTCTCTCTCCACACCCTGCCCTCTCAGAGAGTGTCCAACAAAGAAAAGGCTCCAAAAAGCCCAGTTCTGCATTCTTGGTGACAACAGCAGCTTCCTCTCCTGTTGCCACCAACAGGCCAAATAGTGAGCTTTTGACTGTACTTGGGCACAAGCCCAGCTTGTAGCAGATACCTCCTCACTAAATAAATTGCTTCACTTTCATTACTTAAAGAGTCTCCAGGAATCTTTTTCTTTTCTCTTCTTTCTTTTTTGGTTTTTCGAGACAGGGTTTCTCTGTATTGTTTTGGAGCCTGTCCTAGAACTCTCTGTAGACCAGGCTGGCCTCAAACTCACAGAGATCCGCCTGCCTCTGCCTCCCAAGTGCTGGGATTAAAGGAGTGCACCACCAACACCCAGCCAGTCTCAGAGTGTTTCTCAAACTGACGAAAATGCTGGCTAGAAGGGGTATTCCCTCTGGGCTGACCTGCCCTTCAGGATATGCTGCTTTTGTTTGTTTGGTTTTGTTTCTTTTGGAGATGGGGTTTCTCTGTGTAGCCCTGGCCATATTGGAACTCACTCTGTAGACCAGGCTGGCCTGGAGCTCAGAGATCCACCTGCCTCTGCCTCCCCAGTACTAGCATTAAAATGCTCTGTTGGGTAATTCATTTAGTGAGAAGGCAAAGATGCCTAGCATGCAGATTTGATACAAAATAGTAGTGTTTATGGCCCTGAATGCATTTCCCTGTCCCTGAGTTCCTCACTGCTAAATCTTTTAGGAAGGTACAAGATCTTTCAGGTGTTTTATTTAACCCTCCAGATTCTCCATCCTATGGATGCAGGAAGTAATGCCTTATCCAACATATATCCTGAAGCTCAAGATCCCCTCCTTTTTCCAATACATTGTTTTAGTCACATTAACAGCTCCAAAGATAAAAAGTGCTCAGGCAAGCAGGCACCAGCTGTTGGCTAGGGAAGACAGAGGCCTAATCCTTTCTGATTATCTGTGATTCATTGATGAGTTCTAGAAGCGCCTCTTCTTTAAAGTGGAACGTAGTTGACTTATTTCCTTACAGTAACACCAGGGAGACTGTTTCCAGGTAGAGGTGGTGGAGTCACAGTCCGAACCCTGAACACTGTGACTCTGTGCATAGAATAGTGTGCACGAATACAGAACGGCCTTCTCAGTGGCAACTCGGGGCACAGTGGGGACACCGGTCTAAGCTTTAGGTGTCATTTATTGAATAATTACGCTTGTACTCGGCTCTTTGGGTCTGGGTTGAAGACGGGTCAGTATTTAGGAGGGCCAGAAATGGTCAAAGCAGGGTAAGCAGGAGGAGGCTACAGGTTTGACCGCACCAGTGGATAAATAATTCACAGCACCTTCCTAGAAGGACTAAAGGGAAGGCTAGCGTCCTACCAAATGCTGAGGAACTGTGGGGGCTTAAGGCAACAGCGGATTCGAAGAACGACTTCTGCAAATTCTACCAAGAGAGTGGAAGGAGCGAACCCGAGGCTCGGACGGCCGCTCGCGTGTGAGTCCTCCTCCTGTCGGGAGGGGGCGCCAGGCAGTGCCGCCACCGGGAACCGGTTTGCACGAACCTTCCCGCCGGACAGTTGACGAACAGCAGCGAGCCCCGGGAATTCTGCATCCCGCTTAT